TCTCTCTCTCTCTCTCCTCTCTCTCTCTCTCTCTCTCTCTCTCTCTCTCTCTCTCCTCTCTCTCTCTCTCTCTCTCTCTCTATCGCCCGGTGGGCCGACCAACTTCTATATTGCCGTCGTAGCTGTTGCACTGCTGCCGGCCGGAGCTCGGCAAAAATCCTCCGTCGCCAGCACGTGCGTCGCTGATGACGATTTAAGCCATATAATCGCAGTGTGTTTGTCACGACGGATTAAGGCTGACGCCTGTAGAATAATGACGCTATTACCAGACGGTAGACGCGTGAGAATAGATGACCAGCCGAGTGAAAGTATAGCGAGTGTGCCAATCTGAGCGATGGTAATGGCGCCGCCGCCAATGGCGATGGCGCTGCTATTGATGCCGACGGCGTCTGAGGCGACTGTGGTTTGCGATGCCGGTGGCTGTATAGAGTATGGCGGCGTCGGCGGCGTCTGCGGCGGCGGCTGACCGAGATATATCCCTAGGGAGCGGCACCTGGTCGATCCGCGAGGGCTGACCAGACTCGACCTCAGATGGACAGACGTGAGAAAGGTCACTGCGACACAGCTGAGACGCCCCGGCCTACCAAGTGGGACTGTGACTGAGAAACGAGACATGAAAGGTGTCGACGCATGAAGACCGGATGGGGCAGCCCTGGGAAATTTTTGATGAGTCGACGTGATAGGCCCATTCTTGGTTTGGATGTGTGTAGATGTAATGGTAGCGAGTTGTATTCTCTGCACTCGACTAATAGAGCTTTTAAATGAGCTGATCATCATTTGGGCTGTTCGACATATCAGCTACCACATTGGCCATCCCTTACACACGAGTAGCCTTCACTCGCATACGGCTCCTCTATTCACAATGCGCCACCTCTCCCCCCATGAACCTTTCCACCTCACCTCATCTCAACTCATTTATTTTCAACAAAAAATGCAAAATAAGTTCAAAAGTGAAACAAGTGGGAATCATTCACACCGTACCAAGACCTACTTATTCCTCAACGTTTGCCCCTCCACCCACGGGACAGCTGTTCCACGTCCCTTCTCGGTCGTCCCCTCCCCCGCGGGTGGCCGCCCATCATGTCACGTCTCGCGCCGCATCCCGGCACGTCATTGGTACTGGGAGTGACCAGACCTGTCGACAGACACGCTATCCATTATTCATGGCTCGACGCCGAGGCAGAGTAGCGGCGCTGCTCCTTATATGCAGATGTCCATTGCCAGTGTATGAGCGGTAATGTGGGCGCCGTATATTGAATGGTAAATGAAATATTCGGGCGGTGGTGGGTGGTGCTGTAAGTAAGTTACAGCGATGTTACTACTTGTCGTTCGGCTGTCTGTCAGAAATGCCTAGTGGGCGATAAGTTGTAAGCGGAAGTCTGGTTGACGAGTTAGATCTTCATGTCATAATCATCCGGACCCGGCTCGTATTGTTTATGAGAAGAGCTTTTTTTGTCTTCGTGCGATCTAAGCTGATCTTCATCGTTGTCGCCACGAATCCTGGGCCCACAATCTTAGCAAATGCCGTGAATGCGCTTTCACGGCATTCGGTAACATTCATCGCTATTCTACCTTCATTTATTCATTCATTCATTCATTCATTCATTCATTCATTCATTCATTCATTCATTCATTCATTCATTCATTCAATCATTCATTCATTCATTCAATCATGCATACATTCATTCATTCATTCATTCATTCATTCATTCATTCATTCAGGCAACATTCATAATCATTGACGCGATAAAACACATTCGGCGAGATAAGCTGGACGTAAATAAAAAGAATACGTTTCATAATATTGCCGGTAACTCCGGCCAGTGCTGTCAAATCCTTTTCACTGCATTGGTAAGATTGGGCCCTGGATTACGCCATTTCCCTTGCTAGACACTTTATTTAGCGGTGTCGGCAGCATCCTTGGCATTTTATACGTAATGTAGAACTGTAAGAAAGTGTCTAAATGGTCCTAGTTTACATTCAGCACCTGCTGCGTCGCTATACGCCATCGAACTGCGCTAGTTTCGACCAATTGACAGAATTTAATGGAGAAAGTTTGACTCCCTCAGAAGTTTGATCACAGGGCTGGCCAGGAAATGAAATCATTTCGCGTTGGACTACTGTAGAAAACACGCGTCACGACCAGCGATAAATACCAAGGACGGAAGTGATTGACTCCCACGTTTGTCCGCCTGAATGGTCGAGATATTGCTGTGTGCTACTTGATTGACAGTCGCTCGTCCTCAGTTTTTGTCCTTTCACAGTGCTGATAGATATATTATTGGATAGCAGTGACATATACCCCAGTGCTTTTGTGCGTTGAACGGCAATATTGCATGGAGACCATGCCATATTACCGCCGTATCGCAAAGGGATTCTGTGATGCGTTATCTTTTCCTTGTAGGGCTTGAGACATTCATGTCAGATGAAAGAACTTACAAAGGAAGTGTTTCAATGCTTTTGGACAAGTCTTATTGCATTTGTTCTCTTGTTCCGGAGATCAGGATAATGTGATGTTTGTAGATGCATAAAACAGTTGATTATATATTTCCTAACGTTATTTAAGTAACTGCGCCTTTATGGCAAAGAGACGTGCTAAAAGTTTTGTGCATAGAAATACTAGTATTATAGCTGCTTACCTATTTGTCATGGTCCTAATCACTCCGACTTGCAAATAGATTGCCTTGATAATGCTAGATCCTCACAAAAACTCTCTTCCAAAGATTATTTTGTGACCACGCTGGACTCTCCCTTGACCTTGTCAAGGGTGTCTCACTGTTCAGTGGTATTGACTTGACACGACTTAAAGGGACTATCCCACCTTTAACATAGGGTTTGAGTTGAGATAGCCAAGTTTGCGGCGAGGTTCAGAAACCACTATCTATCTAGGTTGCAACCCCCGCGGCCTCTTGGTGTTGAAGAAATTCGTTCCCTTCATTTGAAAATGGGCCTTGTACAAGGCCCTATCTTCAACATGGAGCGACCGTTAGTGTGACGTCACCTCGTTTAGTCATTCTGATTTAAATGGGTTTGTTCGTTGAAAAATCGCTTAAAACTTGGTCTGAACTTTGTTGTGGTGCCTACAGAGTAAAAAGAATCAGCTTTATGACAGTAATGTGGCCTGGGGAAGGAGGTAATTTTGGGCTGTGACGTCACATATTTGAAAGTTTGTGTTTGGAATATGGGAAGCCTAAGATGTTTAATGAAAAATAAATGCCAGAACCGTGTTCCTGGTCATCCAATCTATAAAGTCGGGCACAATTTAACTGGTTTTAACAACATTTTAGAAGGTGGGATAGTCCCTTTAACTTGAAATTGACTCTCTTGACAGATGAAAGATCTCCACCACGATCATCTGGTGCGGTTCATCGGTATGAGCATCGAGTCGCCGCACCAGGCCATCTTTACCGAGTACTGCCCCAAAGGCAGTCTGCAAGACATCCTGGAGAACGAGCAGATCAAGCTGGACTGGATGTTCCGCTACAGTTTGATGCATGACATTGTCAAGGTCAGTGCAGGGTCACGACGGGCATTGTGGATGTTTCCACCCCTCACCTACCACACAAGTGTACTCACCAATATACTATTCGCTTGTATGATGAACTCCGTAACTTCTTCGGGCTTACATATGCATTTGGTTTGGTTTTTAGCATGAATTGTAATAATGGTGACGCTGATTCTGGCAACATTCGTGGATGAAATGTATGAATGATTTACGTAAACATAGACACTAGGACACCCAAATGCGTACGAGATTTGAAACTGCAGGCAAAGTACCTTATCAATATCCCAACTCCCCTGTTCTGTCCTAACTTAAACAGTCAACCTTTTTTATTGACTATATTCGGGTCTATTTTTAGAGGCGTTTTGTTTTGCACGACTTTTCAAGATGCTAAAAGACATCTTACACGGCAAAGTTCAAACCACAGACATTCGAGGCATCTGTTTGTGTGCGGTTCGTTTCACGGGGCTTACCTATACTGTGAGGAGAATGGACTGCCGACAGTCCGATTTAGGATTGAGCAGAACAAGCTGGGATGATGTTTACGGCTTCCCTCCGGTATCAGGTGGCGTCGGAGTCTGACGCGCGGACATTTATTTCCATATTCATACCACGTACGGTGAATGAATTCTGAATGTGATATAGAAAGAAGCGCGTTGGAGAATGCTGCATGGAAAGATAAACCAGGACGATGACATGCATGACTCAACTAACGAATGCCTGCAAACTTACTGTAAGGTAAGTTTGCAGGCATTCGTTAGTTATAATTTACTAATTACTGTTAGGTAAATCTAACAATTTTCCACGAACTGTAAAAATGCGAGCTGTTGCCGGCGGACCATCCAATTACATAAATGCAGCCTAAAGCAGTGCAAAATTGACACCCCTGAGTCACTTTCGTTCAAAGAAGTCGGCACAGTTGGTGACCGAGCCATTTCGTCAGTGTAACCTTTGTAAGACTGTCCCGAGGGGAACAGAGACTCGAGTCCGTCTGAGGGCCCTGGGACGTGTCAGTGTTATCAAAGCGCCCGCTGCGGTAAACACAGTGCAGGGGTGATGCTTGAGTTGAGCTGTTTTTGGTGGTGCTAAAAAAGACAACAGGAAATACTTAACCTGAGCTTTAGATCGCTTAGTAGTAACAATATCGCCTGACGACCAGGATACAGGCGCGCTCAATGAGATTTATATCTTCATTTTTGTAATGGACCTCTGCTGAAAGGAACGGCCAAGTCAACGAACCCAGTACGTTCACAGGGCTGGATTTTCTAGGAATCTTACTCTTCTACGTATGAAAAAGATATCCTGTCCTGCTTTCCGATCAGTGTTTATATTGGCCATGTGTCATCGAACTCCTTAGTATCATTCAGTAAGACGCTCGATACTCCATAGTCCACACTAAGATTGAGCCCATCATTGACAGCACCCTTACCCAGTGTGGCGAAAATAGTCAAAACTTTGGTTTTCAATGTCCGGAAACAGACCCTTTGTCTATAAGCATGTGCGCAAACTTTGCCTATTATAGCCATACTAAAGGCGAAGGCTCAAGTCAATGTAGGCGGAGAGGCTTATTGAAACCGTTGGGCACCGCGAGTCCTTCTGTTATTATTTTCACGCTCTAAAAAAAATGATTCCTTCCAAATAGTGAGAAGAGTAGAGCGGATAAATTTCATAGTTGGCGTTTTTTCTTAAAACCCCTCGGCCCTCCCCCAAAACAAATTCTGACTGCTCGCCACTTGAGTTATGTCTCATTCTAAGCAGCATTTAGCACAGCACTCGTGTAACACCAATTCGCACAGGAACTTAACCTATCTCCCCGACGCCCTCTGATTGTGTTCGATCCGGTCGTGTTTCAGGGCATGGCGTACCTGCACAGCAGTGAGATCCGGGTCCACTCCAAACTCAAATCGTCCAACTGCGTGGTCGACAGTCGATTCGTGCTGAAAATAACCGACTTTGGTCTGCATCAGCTCGACACGGACGACGAAAACCAAAACCTCGACTCGTATGTGTATTGGAAACGTAAGTGAGAGATTCTCCAGCGGCTCGTACTGCGCACTTCATAGGAGATCTTTTGGTCTTGAACAATCGTTGGTCCCATTAAAAAAAGTCATTGATTGGTAAGTCACATTTTGCTCAAATATGCTCAGCACCAAAAACCTTTTCGTTTGGCCTTTTCGATCTTTTAAGATCAATCAAGACTCGTGGAATGTAAGTGGACGTTGGAAACCTGGGATAGAATCTGGAGTCGACGTCTGACTGACGTCGCACACAAAGAATCAGTCCATCCCATTAGGACGGGAGTGAGCCAGTGTGACAGGTTACTTGGACCAGCCTCTCAAACGGTCACTATGGATGGATGCGTTCCTTTTGGGGCTTCCCTCTACTGGCTGTCTGAGTTTGGCGGACGTCAGCCCGGAGCATAAAGATGTTGCCAAATTCGAGAGCATTTTTAAAGATGTGTTGCTGTGGATGAGGAAAATAGTTGACATAGAACCAGAAAGTCAATGATATCCAAGATCTTTGTTTGATTATGCGGAAGCTGCATTAGAGTCAAACTAGCGTTCATTGCCCGCCTCTTGCGAGCCATTCTTCTTCGTTAAAGGCACCTGTTACATCGTGCTGCCTGGCTTATGCTCCTTCCACAATGTACGTCTTCATTTGTTTTTTTTTGTTTTTTGTTGGGTTAGGCCCTTTCGGTCGACAAGACCATTGCAGAGCCGGAAGGATGATAGGAATTAGGGGGAGACATTGGTCTGGGCAGGCACCCTAGTGAGTCGCCGGGGCTGAGCCCGTCCAGAGGACAGGCCACCCAGCCCCAAGGCACTCACTGCACCCGGCTACGGGGTGCGCTCCCTCAGGAGTAGCGGTGCCGCTCCAAGGGAGCAGCCCGCATGAGATAAAGTTGCCTGTCCAGCCCGGAGGGGGGTTTCGGCTTGGAGGAGAAGGATTTCAGTATCCTGAGGATAGAAGCACGGATAGGTGGCGTCTTCATTTATTAGCTTGGATCCCGAGCTAAGGCTACTGGTATAGTGGTGTTGGTCAGTCCTTGATGCAGACGATTGTGCTGCCATCTGTGGCGCTGAACAAACACCGTATCTTGTGCCATTGGCTGAGGTGGCGGCCAAAGCTCGCTCTGAGGGCGGAGGACGGCACTAGGTAGACCTCCCTAGGTGGCGCGCAGCACTGACTAAAGCCCAGAGGCTGGCACAGCTCGCTCTGAGGGCTGAGGGCGGCACTTTTGGTAGACCTCCCTAGGTGGCGCACACTGTGGTGGTGTGCATCCCCAGTCTGTACCTGGGGTTTGCATCTCTACGACCGTGTGTGCCCTCGGGGCACGGTCCGGCGGCGGCTCCCGGCCGGACCGTGCGGGGCCGCGTCAGTCTCTACTGGGTCCGCGCCACGCTCGCTCGCTGTGATCAATACACCTGCACCGGTTCAGAGGCGTCTTCACATGGCGCAGCCTGCAGGGTCGTGAACGTGCGATTACCAGTGCAAGTGTGACAGGGTGACGTGCATAATTACTGTGCATTTTCGACCCAGCAATGGGGGACTCTGACGCCGACAGCGTAGCGGATGCGTCTCGGGAGCCGGATGCGTCTCGGGAGCCGGCCGCTTCCGTCGCGGTTCGGGCTGCCGCGCCGCGGCAGCGGGCCGGCCGCGGTCGTGCGTCCCGCAGCGCGCCGGCCCCGTGGGCGGGCCGAGTACGAGCACCGGACAGCCTGGACCTCTCCACGGACCGGGGTGAGTCTTTCCTGGTGTGGAGAGAAAGCTGGGAGGACTACGTGCTCCTGACCGGCTTGATAGACGCTGAACCTGACATTCAGCTGGCTGCCCTGAAAAATGTCATGACCCCGGAGAGTCGCCGCGTCCTGAGGAACCTGGAGCTGACCGAGGTCCAGCGTGCCGATCCCGAGGTTGTACTGGACGCGCTGGAGCGTTTCGCAGTGGGCCAAGTAAACGAGGTTATCGAAAGGAAGAGGTTTAACGAAAGGTTTCAGGCTGAAGGGGAGGTCTTTGATGATTTTCTAACCTCCCTGCGTGAATTGTCTCGTGCTTGCAAATTTTGTGACGCGTGTAATGATTCGCTAATCAGGGATAGGATTGTAATGGGTCTGAGATCAGCGGAGACCGTCAAACGTCTCTGCGCCGTCCAAAACCTCTCGCTGTCGCATGCCATCGCTGTTTGCAGGGCTGACGAGGCGGCCGCCAGAGACGCCGTGGAGCTGCGGGCAGGCGGACTCGCCCGGGCCGCCGCCCACCAAGTGGACGCCGCCGAGCGCCACCGAGCGCCGCCGAGCGCTGGACCGAGGCGGCGCGACGGCGGCTGGTGCGCTGCGTGCGGCCGGCGACGTCACCGGATGGGAGACGCGTGTCCGGCCCGGGGTCAGCGCTGTCGCAGCTGCCGTCAGCTGGACCACTTCGCGGCAGTTTGCCCCGACGCATCCGGCGACTACGATGACCGCCGACCGGCCACGTCGTACCAGCGCCGCCGGCTGACCCCGTCTCGGCCGCGGAGCTCGCCACCTGGGCGGAGATACAGGCCCGACCCGTACCGCTCGTCGTCGAGATCGCCGTCCCCGTCGCTGGACACGCGGCGATCGCAACGGCGCCAGCCGTGGCGCGGCACCCGGGTCCGCTTCCAGTCGTCGGAGGGCAGCAGTGACCGGAGCCCGGACGGTGCGGCGCGGCGACCGGCCGCGTCGGCCATCATCGCGGTCGCTTCGGTGCAGAGCGCCCCCCGCGTGCGCCTGGATGTCACGGCGCAGCGCCGCGCCTCGGTACTCGCGCTGCCTGACACCGGGGCTGACATCTGCGTCGGAGGACTCGACTTCCTGAAGGAGATGGACGAGTACCCGGAGAACCTGCTCCCCCCGGAGCAGCATCCTCGGACAGCCAACGGCGAGACGGTCAAATCGCTGGGAGTCCTGCCGGTCTCGCTGAATCTCGGCCGCGTCTCGGTGCAGGAGTCGGTGCACATCCTGGAGGGCGTCAGCGGCCTGCTGCTCTCCTGGAAGGCCGTGAAGGGACTTCACATCATTCCAGCCGGCTATCCGCAGCAGATAACCGCCGATCTACCGGAACCCGCCTCTGGCTCTCGCACCAGGGACGCACCAGACCGCCCTCGGCCGGGGCCAGCGCGGCATCGGCACCGGTCTCGCGCCGCGCTGCCCGACGGTGGCACGTCATCGGACTGCGTGGCGGCGGTGTCGCGCGACGGCGCTGCTGGAGAGGCGACCGCGGCGACACCTGTCGAGCGGCCTGACAGCAGCCTTCCGACCGGTGCACCTGCATCTGAAGACGGGTCAGCAGAGCCGCCTGTGGACCAGGGAGGCTCCTTCCCGGACATCACGTCCGAGTTCCCCACCGTGTTCGACGGCCACATCAGAGTCATGCCGGGGGAGCAGTTCAAGATTCACCTCAGGGAGGAAGCCGTGCCGTTCCGCGTGTCGAGCCCACGACGAGTGCCCCTCTCACTCCGGACGCCGCTGAAGGACGAGTTGCAAAAGCTGGTGTCCGAGGGCATCATCGTGCCCGTCACGGAGCCGACTGAGTGGTGTGCACCGATCGTCGTTGAACCGAAGAAGGAGGGAGGAATCAGGCTGTGCGTGGACCTGTCTCGCCTGAACAAGTTCGTCCGCACCGAGCAGTACCAGGCACCCACCCCGCTGGAGGAAGTTGCCTCTATAGCGAGCTCGGAGGCGAAGTGGTTCACCGTTTTCGACGCGGCAAAGGGCTACCACCAGTGCCCTCTTCATCAGGACAGCGTGCTGAAGACGACGTTCATCACGCCGTTCGGCCGGTACGCGTTTTTACGCGCGCCGTACGGGGTCAGCTCGATATCTGACCACTACAACAGGCGCATGGACGAGGCGTTCTCCGGCCTCACCGGCTACAAGAAGATCGTGGATGACGTCGTGGTCTACAGTCGGACCAGGGAGGACCACATCCGTGACGTCCGTCGCTTCATGGAGCGCTGCGAGGAGAGAGGTATCTCCCTGAACCGGCGGAAGCTGCAGCTGGCCCAGCAGAAGGTGAAATTCGCCGGCTTCATCATATCGGCGGACGGCTACGAGCCCGACCCTCAGCTGACGTCGGCCATCTCGTCGTTCCCGACACCGAAGAACATCTCTGAGCTCCGAAGTTTCTTCGGCCTCGCCAACCAGGTCGCCCCATTCGTCGACGAGCTCTCGGAGCTCCTCCTGCCTCTCAGGCCGCTGCTCAGCACCCGGAACGAGTTCGCCTGGGACGAACAGCAAGAACAGGCGTTCATATCAGCCAAGAAAGCGCTGACATCAGTTCCGAACCTGGCCTACTTCGACCCCAGACGACCAACCTCGCTCTCGACCGACGCCAGCCGCCTCAAGGGATTCGGCTTCCTCCTACGGCAGCAGCAGGAGGACGGCAGCTGGCGGGTTATCCAGGCGGGATCGCGATTCCTGTCTTCAGCGGAGTCCCGATACGCCACCATCGAGTTGGAAGCCACTGCCGTGGTATGGGCCATGAAGAAATGTCACATCTTTCTCTCCGGACCGACGAGCTTCACGATATTCGTCGACCACAAGCCGCTCGTCCCCATCATCAACGGCAAGACTCTCGACGAGATCGAGAACCCGAGACTACAAAGACTGAAGTTGAAGATGGCATACTACGGACCATTCGTAGCCAGCTGGGTGCCAGGATCCCAGCACAAGGCGGCAGACGCTCTCTCCAGGAGCCCCACCCAACCAGCAGCTGCTGATGACGAATGTGGGGAAGACGACGACGCACCTGCCCTCCAGAGCGTCTTGGTAGCTGAGCTTCGAGCGTGCGACACCGACATCATGCTGGACCGGGTGGAGTGTGCGACGTCAGAGGACCCCGAGCTCCAGATGCTTCGAGACATCATCTCCACCGGCTTTCCGGCATCCAGAGCGGAGCTTGCGGAACCCCTCCGGAAGTACTGGCCGGTGCACGACCGACTGTCGGTGGAGGGCGGCATCATCTTATGCGGCATGCGCATCCTGGTGCCGCTATCCCTCCGTAGATCGACCTTAGCGTCTCTCCATGCGAGTCACCTCGGGAAGGAGAAGACCAAGGAGCGAGCTCGGCGGGTGGTCTACTGGCCGGGAATGGACGCCGCCATCGACGATGTCACCAGAGGATGCAGTAGGTGTCAGCAAGAGCTGCCATCCCAGCCGAGGGAGACCATGCTGCATCATGAGCCTGCCGCCAGGCCGTTCCAGGTCCTGGACATGGACTTCGCAGACCACGCAGGTGGCAAATACCTCGTCGTCGTTGACGGCTACTCTGGGTGGAAGTTCATCGAATGTACGGGCACCCGGTCTGACACCAAAAACGTAATCAAAGTAATGCTTAAGATTTTCAGTGAGGTCGGTGTGCCAGAACTTGTCAGAACCGACGGGGCCCTCTGCTTCACGTCTCTTCAGTTCAGCACGTTCTTGAGCAACTGGGGCGTTCTGCATCGCACATCATCCCCACACTACCCCCGATCTAACGGCCTGGCCGAGTCTGCTGTTAAATCTGCAAAAAAACTTCTCAGGCGATGCTGGGACGACGGCAGAGGACGGCTCAACGAAGAGGAGTGGACGCGGGGCCTGCTTCAGCAGCGGAACACGCCGGGCGTCAGCGGGAAGTCGCCCGCCGAGATCGTCTACGGCCGGCCACTGAGGGACGACCTGCCCACGCACCCGTCGCACTTCAAACCATCGGCGCGCTCGCAGCGGGCGAGTGGAGGCGGAGCCCAGCAGCGGAGGGGGACGCCACCGCACCAGACTGTGGACTGCGACGATCGCCGCGAGTCACGCCGCTGCGCCGCCAAACGGTGGTACGACCAGCATGCCCACGACCTGCCCGAGTTCCCCGTCGGGACTCGCGTCCGTGTGCAGGACGTCAGGACAAAACGATGGGACAGGTGCGGCGTGGTGACGTCGGTCGGCCCCCACCGACGCTACAGTGTACGCTTCGACGATGGAGGGGAGGTGGATCGGAACAGGTGCCACCTGCGCAGGCGGCACGCTCTGTGCCCGGTGCCCGGAGTGGAGCCTCCAGGGAGAGCCGGCCCGCGTGTCGTCACACAACCGGACACTGGTCGGATGAGTCGTGACCATGCATCTGCGAGCGAATCGCGCGCCTCCACACGGCCGGATCGCGCGCCGCGCACTGAGCCGCCGACTGTCCGCCGATCCACCCGTGTGCGGAAGCCGGTGCGTCGGCTCATAGAGGAGATGTGATGGTGTACTACGTTTCTTGTTATTTTCGCTACTGTGTTATGATTCCGTTCTTTTCGTTATACCTCGAGCGCGCTGGGGGCTTAAGGGGGGAGATGTGGTGGTGTGCATCCCCAGTCTGTACCTGGGGTTTGCATCTCTACGACCGTGTGTGCCCTCGGGGCACGGTCCGGCGGCGGCTCCCGGCCGGACCGTGCGGGGCCGCGTCAGTCTCTACTGGGTCCGCGCCACGCTCGCTCGCTGTGATCAATACACCTGCACCGGTTCAGAGGCGTCTTCACACACACCATTCACCAACACCCAGGTGATGAATTAGGAATGTTCCTGCTCCGACCACTGACTGTGACTGGTTAGTGGCATATTCACAATAAAATGTTAGAAGTAGGAAAGGATAAAATGTAAAATAGTGCCTACAGAGGCTTGTCGCGATCCTGTTCATATGTGTCTATATGCAGACCTGACGGCTCCGAGGGACGGCGATCTGTCTGTGTGCGTCCTGCTGCGTGTTCACCCCGAAAAATAATCAATGGTGGTGACGTTAGCGCCCCCGCAGATCACTGCAAATACAGCTCCCAGCAGCAGCTGCTGCTGCTTCGTTGTCTAACACACTACAAAGGCACCATTAGTAGCATATACCATCTCTGACATTTTTTTGTGTGCCAGTTAATTGCCATTTTTGTGCATAGACCCGGGAACAGGGGGGGGGGGCAGCGGGGGCGCTTGCCCCCCCCCCCCCAACTTGGGAGCCGAGGGGGCGGCGCCCCCTCAACATTGAGGCAGCGAGAAAAGATCTTTGCCTCCTTTTTCCGGACTTCTTTCCTTCTTGTTTTCTTTACACATCTAAACATCAACACACGGCATTTTCCTTGCCATCTGTATGGTTTCTGCTGATACAGTATCGATTTGACAACATCTGCTATTGTCATCCCGCTTTGATTTGGACCTGATTTTGGTCATAAGTTTGGCAGGCCATATTTTATACTGGACCATTTTGAGTCAACTTTGAGAAATACATAACGCACAACGGTGGTAAAATCGTTGCTATAGGTAGGTATAACACAGTTAACCCTCTCCGGGTGTGAGGGAGGGGTGTGGGGCAATGAGTGCACTGACGTGGCGCCCTCGGAGGGCGTGTATGGGATGAAAGCTCAGCGACACAAAGGGCTTATGTGGTGCCTTCGGTTATCGGTAGCACCCTCAGAGTCACCGGCGTAGGGCCCTCAGAGCCGCCGGTAAGGGGCCTTTGAGGCACCGGTGTGGGGCCGTCATGCATGTGCCGGTGTGGGCGCTCAGAGGTGCCAGTGTGATTCTCTCAGAGGCGCCGATGAGGGTCCTTACAGGCGTAGCTGTGGGCCCTCATAGACGCTGGTGTAGCCGTTACAGACGGGTGAGGGGCCTTTAGAGCTGCTAACGCGAACTCTCTACAAGCCGGCAGGGGGTCTCAGTGACCGGCAGGTCCTTAGGCCGGCAGAAAAAGTCCTGTGGGGTCCTTAGAGACCGGCATGGTACTGTCAGACGCCGATGGGGCCCTCAGAGTTACCGGTGTGGGGCCCTCAAAAGTCACCAGTGGGTGGCCTTTAGATGCGCAGGTGTTGGTTGGGTCGTCAGAGCCGCCGATATAATAGGGCTTTAATAGGCACTGGTGTGGGCACTCAGAGTTGGGGGTGTGAAACCCTCAGAGGCACCGGTGTGGGCCCTCATAGGCGCCGATGAGGGCCCCACATTTGCCGTTATGGGGCCCTCAGAAAAATAAGTGTGGGACCATCACAGGCGGAAAATGCTCCTAGAACTGGCCCCTCATAGGCCGGTAAGAACTCTCAGAGGCCAATAACGGGCCTTTGGAGACCACCGAGGCGCCCTTAAAAGCCGCAAGAGGCCCCCAGGAGCCGGCGTGGGGACCTTATGGAGATCTTAGTGTGGCTATTTAGGACCCATGAGGTGCTCTAACGAGCCCCATGGGGCCCTTCTGAGTAGAAATATGGTCCTCGTTAACCCTCAGCGGCCAAATGGCGCCGCAGGGCCTCTCGGACCCGAGGGTCCCTTTGAACCCAACGGGGGTGGGGGGGGGGGGGTACGTGTCCCCTTAGACCCCTAGCTACGCCACTGTTTCATATGTATCATGTCAGGTATTTTAGGCTCCCCCCCCCCCCCAACTTGAAAATCGTTCCCGGGCCCCTGTTTTTGTGCATTTGCAATGTCGTAGGCTGATGTAGTCGACTTCACTTCAGTCGGTACTTGCGCTCTCATAAAAATAGCATGCCCTTTCAGTCCCGAATCACCTACTCACACCCAAACCGATCTGCAACGATTGCCAGCCCTGTCCGTAACCTATCCCTAGATGGCAGTGTGATGCGGTGCTAGATGCCGCCGTCAGTCGCCGTCACCGGCCGTTCTGCTCCGACAGGACGATTATGGACGGCTCCTGAGCTCCTGCGAACCGCGCAGCCCATGGGCCACATCCGCGGCACGCAGAAGGGAGACGTCTACTCATTCGCCATCATCGTTCAGGAGATCATCATGCGCATGGGACCGTTCTTTGTGCACAACGAGATATCGCCAAAAGGTGAGCTCCGGTGATCGGTGTATGAGACTTGTGTAATGTTGAGGTAGGTGTTGACAGCATGTCTGATAATTTACGACAGGCATAAGAACACACAAGTGTCGCTATACGATCTTGTACACGATCCGTGCACGCAACAGCAAATTCAGATCGATTAACTGGTGACACCGCTGAACTGTTCTTCGAAACCTTTGGAGAGTGGCCTGCTTTTTAACGGCTTCAGTCAAGTCGAGTTAAATCGGAGGAGGAACACATTCGACATATTATTGTAAAGTCTTCTATCGTAGGCGATTTACGTTTGGTGAAAACAGCAATGCCCAATGCACTTTGCTTAGGCGTAAAATACATTGCTACGAACTATAGTACATGGCTGAAACCATACTGGCATGCGCTTCAGGCTTTAATGCCGGACTTTTTTGTCTTATCCGAACTTTGCAAAGAGACGGTGGCTTCTCATCTGTGAATTCATCTATGTGCTTTCGTGGTTTGGGAAGGCTAGCTTGGTCACAGGGCTGTATGTTTTGCCTTCGCATTTTGGATGACCGAAGACTTTAATATAAATAATTATGATTTTATGGTCCCCGAAGGTTTATCGCCAATGCATGAGGCCGTTTTCTTTGCAAGATCATCAGGACTGCATTTTGGACACGTTGGGCGTTGTGACTTTACGTTGTTCTGTGTTACTCTTCTCGTGAATTTGGTTATATACAAGAAATACACAAAAAAGCACTCACAATTTTTAATCCAAAATGTTTTTTGTTCTTTTGGCTTCATCATGACTTCTCAACACCAAATTCCTTAACCCGCGCCCCACTTGGGTCTGCGTATAACACGCCCTACTGGGGAGATGGGAGGCTATTCAGAGCCCCCTCCTAACTCCGAAACTACTGGGCCCATTTTCAAAATTCAAACGATGGTTGATAGCCCCGGAAAACTGTCGAGCGAAACCTAATTTTATTGACCTCGAGGTCACCGATGATGTCACAGGTCAGGTCAAAGCATACAGTATCGATGTTTGGCTTGTTCATATCTTGGGCTCTGGCCGCCGGCTTACAAGTCAGATAAGGCTCATTTTCGGTTTACGCACTTGTGAATAGTTAGATGCTTTAGATACCCTGAGGGTACCACACTTGTACTTTGATTCTCAGGTCAGGGTCAGGTCATCACAGGTCACGGAAATCTTTTATCATGAATCGGTCACGTGACACATGTTTTATGGTCTCTTTAGGCTATATATTTCGAATTCGGTGTCGTTTATGTCATTCGAGGTCATTTTGAGTTGAATTTAGCTGAAGTCAGGCCACTTTCAGGTAAAAAAGAGCAAATTTCAAACTTGATTTTTTTCAACAACAAATGTGATTATCGGATGCACTTTGAGCTCAGTAACACGCGGTGTTATTTACATTGGTGTACGATGTCAAATACGTACTGAAAAATTGATTTGAAAAATTTATAATTGTGAAATTTTTGCTATAATGCGTATAACTTGGGCCATTTTTGAAGATATCTGGCTAAAACTTGCTAGAGTAAGTCATAAGCATGTGTTCTGGCACACATATTCCGTTTTTTTTTTCTTCGAAAAGTCAACTTTTTAAGAAAAAATATCAAAATATAAATTTTGAACTTTAATATCTATATTTTTCAAAATTTTCTAAATGTTGAAAATCCGAGATAACAGTTTGATAGCGCAGTCTATTGTGAGTCCTCTCATGCAAGGAAATTGGATCTAGCTAAAAAACTGAGCTCTTGAGAGCAATTGCCGTTGTTTTGTTCAATGTTTTGCGTTGAAATCGGCCGAACATGACGTCACTCTGACGTCATTTCCGGCCGACCTATGGTAGCTACGAAGTTTATATTTTAAATTAATGCAGTCGAAGGTGCTGAAAGTTTTGCGTCGTGTATAGCGGTTTATTAATTATTGCAGAAAAACGAGAGGGGAGCTATGAATAGCCCCCTCCCCCTCCCCCCAGCGGGGCCCGGGTTAAAAGTAGAAGCAAGTAACCGTTAAACGTTACAGGGCCAGGACTAAAAACCATAGACAATTTGGATCCGTCCACATCATAGATGTAAAGGTCGTGATGTGGGTGCACCACGGGTAAATGGAAATATCTCTTTGTAGCGCTCCTTAACCCGGCACCGCCTGGGCTATTTCCGTACCCACGACAGCCTGGGGGGGGGGGTCGGATCCGACCCCCCCCCCCTGTTATCTCGAGAACCAATGGTCGCATCGAGCCCCGCGAGGCGGCGTTCGAAAGGTCTCTACGAGACCTTCCCAAAGCACTCTTAAGATTTTAAGATTGAGGTCAACTTTCGGGTCAAGGTCAGGTCAAAGGTCAAATTCAGGGGTTTTGCATGATTAGGCTTACGGACAGCGGAATCGATAGCTGCTGCTCGAAACTCACCAAAAATGACCTCAAAGGCCTAGTGAAGGTGTCATGTGCGTATAGGGGTCATACTAAGTACGGGTCAAGGTCAGGTCAGGTCACGAAAGGTCACGGTTTTCACTTTCTGCTACATAGGCGTGCGACACATGTTTTATGGCTTATTTTTCACGCCGAATCCGATGGTAATGGTTATATGTGACCCCAAGTCACTGTGCTGGTGATAAATGTGCATTGAAAGCATAAAAAATTGTTTATACCATACGAGGGCTGAGAAAAAAAGGTCAATTTTTCAACTTTTTATTTTTGACATAAAAATGCACTTTTCTAGGCGTGCTTTGTCCCAGGAATCTAGTGGTGCCATTTGTTTTCACATGCGATGTTCAGAAGTGCCTCTAATTCACGAAAATGCTTATGACGTCACCATGCCCTATGCATGTTGGAGCTATTTTTTACAATTTGGGGGTCAAAAATCAAGATAGAAAGTTGAAATTTGGGACATCTAATGTTCTAATAGAGCTCTATAACATATATTCCGGTTTTTTTGAAATTCTCCAAATTTTGGATTTTATTAGCTGTTTTCCAAAAAATGTAGTTTTTTGAATTTTAGGGGTGAAAAACGCATTTTAAGGAAAATCCGAGATAGCCATTTTAAAGAACTCGTTGAGGTGCGTCTATTCATGTCCTTAACTTGCAATTTGCTTCAAACCCTGATTTTTGGCGATTTTTTAAACATTTACCACTTTTTGACTAAAAACGCCGTGTAGTTACATCACTAAAATCGATATATCTAAAAAAAATTTGAAATTTTTTTCTTAAAAATTACACATAAGACGTCAAATTGATGGGGGAGAAGGTATGCCAAGTTTCAAGTTGATAGCGTAAGCGGTTCTTGAGTTATTCAAGAAAAACGGAGGGGGGGGTCGGATCCGACCCCCCCCCCCCCCAGGCGGTCGCGGGTTAAGCCCGATACAATTACACAAGAACAGGAAAAGATAAACAGTGCAAGGAACCTAAAATTATATTTAATTTAGAATAATAAGTATGGTCAGTAGTACATCTTTTGTATTCCTTTAAAACATCGTAAACATGCAATGGCTTACAATTGCCTTTTACTAGAAAGCAATTTATGTTAGATTCAGCTAAACTGTTTTTGTCACATTTGTCCACGTGATTCATTGTATTTAGTGGTCGTTTATCTTTCCGGACAGCGGTTGACGGTCAGTTAATCATCCTGCAACTGGCATGTGACAAAAGACGCGGAGCCGACCGCCGGTTGCGAGGCGCCCGGCTGGCTGTGGGCAGGGGAGGTCGCATCTTGGGACGGAAGGGGAGGGGTGGTCGGCGGGCTGCGTGCGACGTCGGTCGCGTCGGCTCCGACGCCCGCCGGCGGGCGGCTCCAGTCGCTCCGCGGTGGTCGCTGCCGACGGGCCGACTCCGGTGCGCGGCGGGTGCGGTGTCAGACGGGCGCGGCCGGCGCCCCGTTCCGCCAAACTGTCGGCCGAAATCGATCTCATTCTGAGCATCTACTCGGAGGCCGGCGGTATGCAGAGCGCCCGGCTGTCTCCTCCGGAGCGGCGCAGCGGGCGCGCTCTCGAGCCGCCGGCGCCGCCGCTGGTGCCGCGCGACCCGCTCAGTCGGCTCTCTCCGCCGTTCCTGGGCCACTCACCCACGTCGCTGACTGCTCCCGGGGGCGCCGGATGGCCGGCCGGTGGCGCCGCGGCCCTCTCACGTGCCGTGTCACCGGCGCGGTGCACACCCAGTCCGGTGGACATGGCGGCGAGGAGGGGCTCCTACTGCAACATTGACTGCACGTACTGCAAGTACCAGACTGCGGCCAGCCCGGCCTGCAGTCCGCTCCGCAGCCCCCGCTCCCCCTGCAGTGAGTCCGCGCCGCCAGAGCGATACCGACGGTATGCTGGATATATCGGACAGTTTTCTTGACGGTTCTTGACGGTTTACCCGTCATGGTCGCCATTCACTTCAGTTCAAGCTTTTCTTGCCTCGAGCTCGTGAAACTTTGTACTGCTCGCAGCTGCATTTCAAAGTACATTCTGCCAGCTCAATGTGTCAATGAAACGGATATTGCGAGAGCTACATTTTCACTTTTTGTCAAGCACTGATATAACGTTGGTAATAGTTTTATCATTGGCCAGCTGCATTTCAAACATTCTGCCAGCTCAATGTATCAATGAAACGGATATTGCGAGAGCTTCATTTTCACTTTTGTCAAGCACTGATATAACGTTGGTAATAGTTACGAGCGAGCGAGCGCAGCGAGCGAAGTGAGTCTTTTCAATATAACGGGAAAATCTCAGTATGAGCGGCCCGGCCCGGCCTGTAACGCTTTTGAGAGGCTTATATCTCAGCAACCGCTGGACCGATTGGCCTGCGGTCTTTTTTGTTGGGTAGCCCCATCCCTTCTACCCCGTAATTGACTACTTTTGATACATCTCAGTGACCGTCGTGGCACGTGCCACGTGAAAAGTCAGGGGTGTTCAAGCTGTTTTGCAAAAGTAGTGATATTGTGAGGCTCATATCTCAGCAGCCGCTTGGGCGATTGACTTGCGGTAATTTTTGTAGGGTAGCAGCATCCCTTCTACCCAAAATAGGATACTCTCGATGTATGTGGGTCACCCCCAGTGCACGTGCAAAATACAACAATAAGAGGTGTCAAATTTGTTCCCATTTCAGTAACTCGGTAATTACTGGGGCGATTTCGCTGACACTTGGCATACAGGTAGGCACCCACCAGGCATTGCATTCCCATGTGTTGCGGTTAGGGTGCTACTGCACGTGCGCACGTGCAGGGGGCGTTTCCAGATCTCGAGAACGGCTGGGCCGATTGCGCTCAAATTTGGTACACGGTTGGGGACCAGTTAGTAGGGTGCCGTGCAAGTCATTTTGGACCCCGTTTGCACGTGCGCACGTGCAGAATGCCGCTTCCAGATCTCAGGAACGGCTGGGCCGATTGCGTTCAAATTTGGCACACCGCTAGCGACCGGTTAGAAGGGTGCTTTGCACAAGCCCGTTGGAAGCACCCTCTCGCCCTTCCGCACGTGCAGGGCTCACTATCTCGCTCGCTCGTTCTTCGCCCAAAAGGCGTTTTACTGGTTTTATCATTGGCAAGATTTTGTTCAAATTTACCACAAGGCGAGGCCACCAACAAAACCTCGTCTCGGTCCGATTCCATGCTGTCCGCGAGTCATAGTGACTAGGTAGGCTGCGCCGCCGAGCACCGATGTAATGCGGCACAGCCTACCCAATGCTGAGCAGGCGGCTGCGCGTCGCTGCCCGGCCAGCCAAGACACCCACTTCCAGTCTCCTCAACTGTTCCCTGAACATCAAAAGGCGGTTGTTTTAGATAAATCAACACAAGGAAGAAATTACATCTTAGGTTTTTGTTTTTTGCGAGTATACATATATGCGAACTTAAAAAGAGCGATACCTTATCGTAAACGTACTACTTATAGACATGGTGTGTGCAAGTTCTATAATAATTTGTTTAATGAAATATTGAGTGCCATTGATATTGATGGCATTTAACGATAGCTGAAGTATTGCTGGAGTTCTTCAGGGCCTTATAATACATCATCTTGTTACTGCTTTATAACAGACATCCTAAAGCGAAATTGCCTACACTACATTTTATTTATAGGATAATTAAGATGGATATCATTTGTTCTCAACTACTCTTATTCACTTACTCTCGTTGTTGGTATGTAACTCTAAAATTCATAAAGATACGGGTAGTGTCTTTTTAATGACATCCAACAAAACTCAGAACCGAGTAGATCCGAGTTCTTTTGTTTCTACAGAGCCGATATCATTTTGGCAACATCTAAGTTTTAAAAACACATTCAAGTGTCGCACATATATCTCGCTAGTGTGAGAGAATGCACGTTGTAAAGCTGTTTCACGAGAAATATCGCACTGATTGTGTCTTAGCTGCGCTTCAATTCTGTAATTTACAGTGGCTGATATGCCCAAGTTCTGTGCTTATTTAGTGGACATTTTGTGAGCGTAATCCCCCGAATGGTTAATTAAACTTCCGGGCTTTACGTATATTTCCTACACGACCTTATCTGTGTTCCTTTTCATCAACATCTGTCATTCTGGAAAATAAGATCGTCAAGTTCTAAATCATCAGACACAGCTAAACTCTCCACGGTTCACACATTGCGAAGGCGTAACCCTGCCGTTCTCCCTGTGCCGCAGAGATCGTCGAGAACGTGCGGAACGGCCAGAAGCCGCCGTTCCGGCCGGCCATCGACGACGACATGGCCGACGAGGAGGTACTGCAGATGATGCGACGCTGCTGGTCGGAGGACCCCGTCGACCGTCCCGACTTCCACGCGCTCAAAGGCATCATCCGGCGACTGAACAAGTGAGGAAGACGTCAGGATTTGTGTTTGGCTGACTGATCATAATAGCTGTTTAACACTGTACTTTTAGTTGCTTATTAGCCTTAGCATTAATAGGCCTTAGGATTATCGTTAGTGTAGATATGCGAGTTGTATCATAATCTTTATTTGTTGACATGAGTATGACCTTACCATTTTTTGCATTCGTAACAATATCTCTGACAGGCTCATCTTACATAATTCCTTCAACCCCTTTCTCTAAGTGTACGCCGCAGTTTGAGCTTCCGGCCATAGATTTCCATCGATACCATTTCCAACTGTGTCTGTTATCACGTCACTCTAGCCCCATTTCTAGTCCTTGGAGACATTGTGATGTAACCTTCATTTTGGTCACTTGAGTCTAATAGCTTCATCAGCACTTAAAGTATGCTGGATCAGTAGCAGTAGCATAGCAACCCCAGTTGGAGTTCGATTAGCTGGCTTAAGCTGGTTCAGTGATATACCGTTTCCTCGGCCTGAGTGGGCAAGGACGAGTTACTTGGATACTGAAGGTCCGATCGAAAGCAACCAATACTTTTCAGTATGCCTGCTAACGATTCCCTCCATTCTGCTTTCGTTCCATTTGCCTCGCTTTTCCGTATGATGAGACATACTCAACCGAACTCCGATGTTCCTAAAATGAATGTATCATTTTATATAAATTTGGAATACCTTGACATACCTTACTTGCTTATCTTTAATCATTGTCATGTTACGTTGACATTACCTATATTGCAGACGTTTTTACGTATAAAATTCAATTAAAGACCGGCGGTTGTTCATGGGCTTATGATGTCATTCGAACGCATCCTTGCTTAGTGTGACACTCTGACTCACAGCCATTCTGCCAGCTGAACCATTTGAACTAAAACTCTTATCTTAAAAACGCTGGATCACGATTTTTCAAACGTCTGCTCATTTTGATTTAAGCATCGCCTTGTGCGGCACAAAATAAAGCTCTAGAAATAATTTTCTTTATTATACTGATTCGTTGAGATCTTGGTTCTTGGCAAGCGCTGCGAATTTCAGCCTTATCCCACCGTATCTCTTGTTGAGAGAGCAGTGTAATCCGCCGGAAACAGAAGACCGGAGCTCGATAAAAACACTCGTCCAGGGTGTTATATGATGATGTAGCCCATCGCTCTTGACAGATGGTGACGCTCATGGGTGTAAAAAGTGACCAATCCTGTGGAATAGTTTGGCCACCCACACTGCAACAAATCAACGACTGCAGTAAAAGCGAAAGATTCCCTGTAGTTGTGTGCACTTGAAAATTTAGCAATACTATGACCCCGTTTCCATGGGCATCACTGATCCGGATCAGCAAATTTAAATCGTATTATATCTATTGAACTCTTCGTTATATGTTATAATTCCAAGTGGATTAGGCTTATATAATCATTAATCAGTTAATCCTTTATTTTGATTCTCATATATTGTCTAACCATACTGGATTAGCTAATCCATTTTTACTGATCCGGATCAGTGATGCCCATGGAAGCGTGGTTTATATAATTTCCCTAAAAAAACGAAATGATTAAATTTTCGAAACGCATTTGGCAGCACTGCTGATAATCAGGTCTCTTTAACCAGGGCCCAATCTCACAAAATGCCGTGACTGCGCATTCACAGCATTTGGTAACATTCAATATTATTCAACATTGGCTAATTCCTGCCTTTAGGTAGCATTAATAATTATTATTCACACCATTAAAACACTCGGCGAGATTAGGTGGATGCAAATAAAAATAATAATTTCATATTATTTTCGGTAACTCCGGCAAGTGCTGCCAAATCCTATTCACGGCATTGGTCAGATTGGGCCCATGAACCACAAATAAAAATCCGTCATCCTGTCACGCATGGCGTAGGAGCACATGCCACTTTTGATAAGTATATTTAGGAACGTTTCTGAACTCCTGGACTTTTGCTGAATGCATATTACCTTCAATGCATGATGTCACACCCTTCCATGGTGTATGACAGAACACATTGGACTTGTTTCAGAGACAATGAAAGCGGGAACATTCTGGATAACCTGCTCTCCCGGATGGAACAGTACGCCAACAACCTGGAGGCCCTGGTGGAGGAGCGCACTGCGGACTACCTCGACGAGAAGAGAAAATGCGAAGAGCTTCTCTACCAGCTGCTGCCAAAGTGAGTAGTGTTTTGAACTCATTTGGCTGTGACTTGGTTAAGTAAAGGTGAATATTTGAAACAGTGTGGATTGTTTAAAAGGCCTGTCTCACGCACTATAATGTCTTTCTAACGCTCTCGGGTTTGCTAGCGTAATTTTCATCACAGCCTTCTTCGGACTGGCTCCCGAGGAAATCGATAGGCGTTATCACAAGTGTATTCGCGGCCATTGGGGCGACGTAAGAAAAGAAGAAAACAACTGGCCCCAAGAACTTTAAATCACCAGTTAGCATGCATATTTTCCTTGATCTGTAGAGAATTTACCATTAATTGCTAGAGAAAATTGCATTTAAAATCTTCCATTTATGCTTTTTTCATCGTTTGCACAATATGTTCTTTAACTATGCTAGAAACACTAATTAGAAATAGTTCCCGCATCATCGTCAAGAACAATAGGGAAGGCTTGAAGTGAATACAATAATCTAAACGGTTTTGTGATCTATGTGAAGACCAGGGTTTCGGAGTCGGAGTCGGAGTCGGAGTCGGAGTCGCCCGGAGTCGTGGCAAGCAGCTAGGAGTCGGAGTCGGAGTCGGAGTCGGTCAAGCTGCCTCGACTCCGACTCCGGAAAATAACTAGAATCTGTGACATCACTTTTCAGTTTTTTTTTATCAGTTGCCCGCGGTAGAATTCGCTTCCGGCGATAAAAATTGCACTCATCTTGTTTTTGTTCTAAATGACAAACATTGGATCTTACAAGTTTCAAGTTACAAGTTTCAAGTTTTCATAATTTAGTAGCCAAGTATTTTGCATGCCTGTTATAACTTCCACTATCTGAAGTATTTGATGAGTCAAAGACTAAATGTATTTTCATTTTATTCGTTTATGCTCCGAAAAGTATCAACACATAGGAATGACCGACATGATGGCGATGCTCATGTTCGTGATACGGCCGCCTCTCGTGCTTCTCGGCGGGTTTCCACGCTGACCGCTGACCTCTTGTGGATTCAGCTGCGTCCACGTGGGAGAAATGGTGACTGCATGAAGGAAACCGGAGAGTAGGAGCGTTCTCCCCGTGCACGTAGACCTAGCACGTGGCGTCATATCACGCAAAATTTTGGCGGCCGCCATTGCCATTCGTATCAGACCCGGAGTCGGAGTCGGAGTCGGAGTCGGAGTCGGAGTCGGTCAGGAGCCCGGAGTCGGAGTCGGAGTCGGAGTCGGAACAGCGCTACCACGACTCCGAAACCCTGGTGAAGACACTTATAAAATTGCCTGTAGAAATATTGAAGGCAAAAGTTCAACTTTTTCACAAAACGGATGTCTATAAAACCTATTCAACGTGTGACAACTCAGCCGGTATTTCGTCGCCTACAGCCCAGCTTTCCCTAGTGACCGATAGAGGCGCTGCTATCGATGTCCGCCCGTGCCGCCTAACGACCCCGCGAGTCCATATGCCGCACCATTCCTCTTTGCAACCACATCTCCGTCAGCTGGTGAAATATACGGCGTCCGAGCGATGACGAATGCGCCCGCCGCCAATTAGGCTCTGCTCACTCTCTGGGTCTCATTTAGGTGCCGGTGACCGGGTGACTGAAATGAGATATAGCCCTGTAATGGGGCTCCCGAGGGCCACAGATGGTATTCGCGAGACGAACCCAGAACACCGCTAATGACCTATCCTCAAAGGAGCGTCCCCGCCCCGGGAAATGAGGACTGACAGAGAGAGAGAGAGAGAGAGAGATGGCTGCTGGCGACGCTGTTGTATATAGAGACGCCTCTGCAGTGCCTTGGCCGCGCATGTGACGTGGTCGGTGTTCGGTGTTCTACTTTTGGAAGCCTTTGAATATGTAGATTACTGCGGTAAGACGGTATTCCGACCATCTCACAGAGTAATTTGGCTAATTAATGAAGCCAGTGTGGATGTAAGGTAGCGCGAGATTAGTTTTGCTTCTGATGTGATTATGTTACCTAGGAGGAAGATTTGTGCATTGGAGATGCATGGCCGGCCATGTGTTCACGCAGGCGAGACGTCCAGCCCACCTCCAGCTCCCAGACTCTCCCAGTCACCCCTCCCCTGTAGCAAAGTTTATCATGTGCAGCAGTGGGGCGCGTGAGTCCCTGCACCGTCTCAAAATACACCACCTGGGCCGGGCGCTGCTGGTGACCTCCAGTTCTGGAAATTCGGAGCCGACAGGCCGACCGGTGCCCGCTGGGGCCTGGGGCGAATATCGGCTCCATCTCCAGCCGGGCTGACCGCGCCCCGGTCAGTGTTCCGCCTGTGAAATGTCAACGCGCTCCAACTCCCATCCGATCGCGGGGAGAATAAGTAGCGCGGCCAGATCTGCAGCCGTGATGGTGTCGATCCCGATGGACGAATTGGACACGGGCTAACGCGCGATCGACCTGAGGACGTGTGCTACAGGCTAGGACGTGTGCTCCAGGCTAGTAATGAAGCGATGGCCTCTAGAGAAAGATTATCCCGAACTCCATCGACGTGGAAGGAAGGCGCCGGTTTCGAAGTGATCGGACGATCGCCTGTTATACATCAAACGTGACTGGTTGCCTGGCGTGCTTCGATGAGTTATGGGAAACAAACTGCAGCTGTCACATAGCATTACTGCACTGCTCACCTGATCACCTCTGACAGCTTTGACGTCTGACATTGACAGGTCGGTGGCCAGTCAGCTGATTGCCGGGAAGTCGGTGGTGGCGGAACACTACGACAGCGTCACCATCTACTTCAGCGACATCGTGGGCTTCACGGCCATCTCGGCAGAGTCGACCCCGATGCAGGTTCGTCGCCCTGCCCCCCCCCCCGCCCCCCCCCCCCCAAACACACTCACACACACTGCTCGATCGCTACGAGCGTACCGTGTTTTCGACCACTGCTAGTCGTACTGACTGTCGACCAAATGACGATATTTTATATTCAGATCTTCAGAAATGAATGCCGTAATATAACAATCCTGGCACGAAGCGGACACGAATTTCGTTGAGCGGCCCTGGCACTTTCCTCTAGGACATCGCAAATCCACTTCGGTTTCTCCCTAAAGAGCTCTTCAATCTAAATCACATCAGCCTTTAAAAGACATCATGTTATTCCTCCTTCGCTGTTCAAACACTGCTTTGGTTATTTTCCTCGCCAGATTTCAGGCTCAGCTGGAGCTGAGTGGAGTGAACACTGAGCACAGCTCAGCACTCGATCTTCTTTAGAACTATAGTTTCATATGAAGTTCCTTTTCGTGGATGAGTAAACGTTTCAGCTCTGGAGTATTATCGAAACAAAGTTTAACGGTAAGGAGCATTTTCTTTCGTGCAAAAACGTGGCATAGAAACAACCAAAGAAACCGTCAAACCATATAGCAAGAATTAATTGTTTTGAAAGTGACTTGTTTAGGTACACATGTTAGAACGGTTACATGAGTTGGAGCAGTTGCCCTTTAGCGGGACTACGATGATGAATTGAAGTTATATAGTGAAGTTGAAGTTTTATAGTGTTAAATTTGGCTCGCTCCAATAGCCTGTAGCACCTCTTTCATGTCACTTGGGGAGCTGTCGTGGGTGACCTAAATCTGCCACTCATACAGATTTGCCATTTTCCGTACGGATGTGTCACACTCCCGAAACTCCTCACGCACTAGTTCTTCCCGGCGACGGAGACCGATGAGAACAAGTACGGTTACTCCCTGGGCCATTCTAGAAATGAACTTTGATCGGCTAAGTGATGCTTATAAATAATTCGTACTGTGGCTTTCAGCCTTTCTTCAGTTCGGACGAAGTTGTAATCTAATCAGGGGATACTTTTCTCTCTGTGGGAAACATATCCCGGATGTGTTTTATCGCAGCGGCTAAAGTTGAATGAGTTAAGATCTCTAAGCTACATCGCTAGCTCAAAACAGTGCAATAATAAACGCTGTTTAGTCTTACATCCCAGCGGAATTACGAGTATGTAGCTTTGTAATATTTAGTTAAATTGATTGATATTATCTGAACATACTGAAAAAATCTGGTAAATTTGGTGATAAGATTTAGTTAAATTGATTGATTTTACGAGTATGATTGAAAGATAGACACGCACCCCATCATAAGAGTGAGTGTTTTAATAATCGACGAAACACGCTATCTCTTCGGCTACCGGCCACGTGCCCATGTCTCCGAGGGTGCAGTTCCCGTTCCCGGCAGCCTGTTGGTCGTTTTTCCTGGACTTCATGGATGGCGCTGAATGCCCGCTTATGATACCGGCAGCAGTTACTAGAAGTGCGACTTTAACAGATCAAAAGACTGGATCCAATGCTGACTGCTTGTCCGTCTCAAGGACACGGTGTGACACGTGCTTGAAATGACAATGCAGCGCGTCGCAGGGGTGCAGTGCATATTGAATCATTTATATTCTTTGGTTGAAAATAGGTTCCTTGATCTAATTTTTGGTGGCTAAGAGGTCTGAATGATTCATCGTTTATCTACTGATCAGATATTCAGCGGAGCTTGCTGCCAGGGTGCACTACAATTCCATGAGCCTTATCTGAATGCGTCCTCTGAGAATCTCATTAGTGATAAGTATAATTAAGTGTTTATTCGAGGACAGTTCAGGCTATTATCACATCACCGCTTGGCTATCTTTGTAGTTAGGTCAATGTGTGTTAAAATTATGTATGTACGATGCACTTACTTTGTGTTTCTCATGTAATCGTTTCTACGTGTAGACGAAACAACGAAGGTTTCCCGTGCTGGTTCAAATGCATCTTCCCCGCTTCCTCATGAAATTCCTTCCATTCCAGGTGGTAGATCTTCTAAACGACCTGTACACTTGTTTCGACTCAATCATAGAAAGCTATGACGTCTACAAGGTAAGAAGCTGTGGTGCTGTGGTTGTGATGTCTCGTAAACTGCACGGTCGCGATCACTCGTCTCCGCTTCACTCGTCAACTTTTCGTTTGCCATACCTAAAGCAGCTTTAAGTCGCTCGTAAGAAGCATGTCATGTGCGTATGCATGTCTGCTTATGGTTGGATATTGCTTTTCAGACAAGAGAAACCTACGCAGTGGAGGCTTATCTGCTCTCCTGCAGCTCTACATAAATGCTTTGATTGCGTATTACGTTCGGCTTTTTCCGTCTTTAGTTTTGCTGTCTGTATTTTATTTTTCTCGTGTTCAACTGTCTACATAATTGTTTCACGCAAGTTGATGTTGTTTGTCGCAATTTCGTCGCAAGTTAATGTTGTCCGTTGTGTATTGCTTTTCCCGCAGCTTGTGTCGTGACCACGTTCGTGGGTTTTGAGCTTACGTCCGAAATGCCGACTTTAATTGCACTTCGTACGGTCGGTGGATGACGTCATCTCTGCACTGCGATTTGGCCCCACCTGCTTCTCTTTCCGTACAGTGATATGGTTAGTATGTTTTGGTTTTACATTGTATTGTCCTGTCTAGCTGGATGTTGTTTCGCACACGTTATATTTGTGACGTAAAGAGCTTTGAAAAATGTATCCTCTTGCCTTGTTTCGCTAAATATTATCTTTAAAAAGTCATGCACTTTATTTTTAAATAAAATATAGAATGGCTTTGTTCTTAAGTGAATTTTAATGTTTGATGCGTTATGATAAAAGTCTAGAAACAAATACTTCCAGCTTGAAAGACAAGTAGGTACACATACGTCCTGCGAACAATAGCTTCTCATATGCTTACATTATACACAACCATAACAACATATCAATAGTAGGTATATGCATTATGTATGTAGTCAAGACTTAGGAGTACCTACCTAGGTATTTATGTTTTGGAGCTTTCTGAGTTGATAATATCGGTACAATGCTATATTCATTATTCATCGTACACGTTTCTGAAATCGTGCATCTACGTTGTCACAAGCGTATTACAGTTACACCAATATCACCATGTTCATACCTAATATAAAAACAAATCCCATGTCAATCAACCCTTCAACTATCGTCAGCTAACAGATGGACTGGCTCGTTTCGATTCCAACCGCGTAGTGATTAAAACTGTGACCTTCGGACGCGGGGTATCAGCTCTCTGAATGGCCTGTTATTGGGAATTCTCAGTATTGGGTCAAATTACATCGACTGGTAATGAATAGCTGAACACCGGACGTTTTATTGGTCATTATTGGCAGGATAATGGAACCAATAACTCATTGAGACAGTGATCACGCGTATGTTTTTTATCGACGCCGTACTGATATATGAATAAGATATCTGCAGTTGACTGCAGTCCTGAGGCTAGCATGTTGTGAACTGGAGGCCTACATATGCTTAAAAAACTACTTTATTTTGTACATTTTTATTTTCTATGTTTTTCAAGAACAAAGATAAGTTTATTTAAAAATGGTTGTTCATAATCACATGCGATAAAGATGCATTTCATACTATTCAATTGTAATCAAATTTTTCAGCTGGCAAAAGTCATCACTTTACTTTATCCAATTAAAAATTCTTGTGACCATGTAGTTAGGTACAACTTGAGTGAATTTTTGGCAGCATTGTTTTGAAGCCAGCCTATAGACTACCTTCTCACGATCATGTATTCACCGTTTATTTGTGAAACATCGGAGCCGCAGTCCAAAAGGTCTTCCTGAAAATAAGAAAATTTTCCAACTAAGACTTGCTACTTAATCTCAACCGACGCAGCAATTCCTAGGTAATTTCCAGCAGCTCAGTGCGAAATTGGCTATTGGGCTAAAACCACGGCTCCATAACCATACAGCACGCTAATTGCTCAGGACCTCACTAGCGTTCATTGGGGATCGTGCTCCACATACACGAGGGCAGTGCCTTCTCAGCTGACGTCAGAGCCGCACTGACCAATGGCGAGCGGCGCCGAGAAAGGTCAAAGAGCTCGGCTGCCCACACGGGCCGCTGACGAGCCGCGGGGTACGGCGGAGCGTCGCCAGGGGACAGGAAGCGGCCTGACGCTGTCGGCGACACGGCGCGTCGTTACCGGCTAGTTGGTCCTCCGGCTGAGGTGACTCGGAGCTGCAAAATGTCGGCTCAGCGCCAGATCAAAGCCGAGTTCGCAGAGGTTCTGATCCGGCTGGGTGGTCCGTCCTCGGAGACGGGACCCGCTATCGGCCTCAGCAGAGGCCGCCTGACGGGATTAGCCGCACATTGGGCCTTGTTACTGAGCATCGGATGTAGCGGGAAACTTTGAAGATATTTCATTACGAAGTTGTAGCTGACAAAAAGTAGGAGTGTTTGCTGTTCCATAAAAAACAAGCACTGAAAGAGGGTAACTCATATCAGAATGCGACGGTATTTTTAACACTAAAATACCATTCAAACATTTGTTTTCTTTTGCATTTATTTTTGTTTCACACAAGTCTTCCCAAGATAAGCCTACGTATTACACATGCACTAATTTTCTCAATTTTTCTTCTATATATGTTTGATGTGCTTTACATCAAAGCACCATGGTCAGCTCACCAGTATAGTATAGCCCAACTGCAACACAAGAGAGATTCTTCAAAGCAGTCTGACGTGTTGAACGATTTAATGCGCAGGTGTCCAACACCTTCACATCTAACCATCACGTTCTTGGCGAGCAGGTTGAGACGATCGGCGACGCCTACATGGTGGTCTCGGGTCTGCCGGTGCGAAACGGCATCAAGCACGCCGGAGAGATTGCCGGCATGTCCTTGGCCATGCTGGAGGCAGTGCAGAGCTTCAAGATCCGACACCGGCCCGGACAGCAGCTCAAGCTGCGCATCGGTCTACACACGGGTAAGTGGTGAGAGCGAGGAGAGCAGAAAATATGTGAGAAAATGGAGAGATGAAGGAAGAGAGAGAGAGAGAGAGAGAGAGAGAGAGAGAGAGAGAGAAAGAGAGAAAGAGAGAGAGGGGGGAGAGAGAGAGAGAAAGAAAGAAAGAGAGAGAGAGAGAGAGAGAGAGAGAGAGAGAGAGAGAGAGAGAGAGAGAGAGAGAGAGAGAGAGAGAGAGAGAGAGAGAGAGAGAGAGAGAGAGAGAGAGAGAGAGAGAGAGAGAGAGAGATAGAGAGAGAGAGGAGAGAGGAGAGGGATACAGAGATAGAAACAGAGACAGAAATAGACAAAGAGGGGTAGTTCTGGGTATAAAATTGAGACTTTTATTGTGCTTTGATTTGTCTCGTAAGCACCGTTTGTGAGCACATTCCATTTCAACTATCTTATTTAGCTCAGGTGCTGTTTACTGGAATCGCTTATGTTGCTCATTGAGAATTACTGAAGATGATAATTTAGATAGCAAGTTATCCTTCCAAATCCACATGTTAGATGTTGCAGAGAATGGTCCAATGGAGACATATGTACTGAGCACCTGAAGGACACATTTTACAGCGCGTATCATGTACCCAAGCATGGCTGGCCGGAACGGACCCTGCGTCTCATGGACTGCCCCCTCCGACCCCCCCCCCCTCGACAGATCAGGAGACAGCGTATTTAAGGGTAATGATATACCTACATCTTTACTCGCGCCGTGGCCGCGCGTTTTTAAGTTCCCTTAATTTTTTGGACACGCATTTTTAGAGACTCTATTTCGCAAATGGCTCAAGCTAGCCAAATGCTTAGCGCCTGCTCAAAGCACTTGGACCGACTGTCTTATGCCATGTAGACCATTATGCCGTAGGCGTCCATTTAAATGCTCTGAAAGCTTCGTAGAAACCTAATCGAACCAACGCTAAAGCTTTTGATAAATCTAAAGTGCTGCACAAATCATTACTCAGAACGTCTTATCACACTCTGTAGAATGTAAAACGGGTTTATGTTTCATACTGAGCCATTTATTTATAATACTTCTCAACAAGCAAAAACGTCACATGTCTGAATAATTTTCCGCTCAACCTTACCACTAGAACGTCAAACCCTAGCCGTCGTCTGCGCCAGTCGCCCAGACAGTCTCCCTCTGACTACCCAAATCGTCTTGAAGTTGGAGCTGGACGGGGCTGTGGGGGGCGGGCGCCGCCCTCCGTACAGATCAATACCAGGTGCAACGGTCGCGCCGGGCCTGTGGCTCTCCCTGACAGGCTGACCGAGCCTTCCACGAACGGGGCGTCGGACGACCCAACTCGAGACGGACGGGCTCGACGCTGGACAGTGCCACGAAAAGTTATCGGTGACACCCTAAGTGATAGGGCTGAGAGACGAGTGGCGGTGAGCGATGAATTGATCGCTCAACCAGACGCTAGGTTTTGATAGATGTTGGTAGCTGAACAACACGTTGGATTGATACGATCATAGTTTGTTTGTTAGAAGCGTTGAAACGGTTAAAAGACACGAGTGTTTCAAAGGCTAGTCTTTGCAAACAGAAATGTCTGCAGTTGCCTTAATTTGATGTGCACTTACAAAGACTGCTATCTCTTCCCAATCAGCAGAGAAGTGCTGGAAATCGCTAGCCGCGATCCTCTAATTGCGATTAGGCTCCAGAGCAATCATTTTCAGAAATGGCGGAGTGGCTGTTTTCTGGGCAATGCTCTGGCGCTGAGCGGCTATTCGGGCGCAGCAAATGAGACGTAACGCTTACACGGCGGCTGGCGGCCTCTGGAAGCGCAATGAACGGCCGCGGCGGGGTCGCTGGGGCCGCACAATGCCACCGGAACTCGCCATCTCACGCCTCAGGGCCCTGATGGTCCGACGGGGGCCCGGCCGGCTCTAATCGACCCTGAACTGCGCGATTGGAGGCCACCACAATGGTGCCTGTGGTGCAGTCATTTGAAGGCGCCCCCTGATGACCACCATATGGCGCTCGCTGCAAATTAAAGGATGCTATTTATAGAATAGAATAGATGAATGAGCACACAATCGAATGGGACAGCGTTAATGAAAATGTATTATGTTGGCATCGACAGCGAATGTGCTGCCTTCAATGGCAACTCGTGACTTTTCCAGTAAAACTAGATTCATATTCACTATTGGCACAGAACTTGAATAACTTTCTCTGTGTAGGACCACCCAATCTTCAAAAGTTTGGTGTCTGAGTATACTATCTTAATTCTGGGTGTATGTTTTAACTTTTTCAATTATAAACGAAAGGAGCTTTGATGAAAGATATGCAGAAATGGCAGGGTTCATATGAGCTTTGATTTACGGTCATTTCAAATAAACGTGACTGTGGGCATCATTACCCACGACTCGGTGTCTAACAGGACTGTGCTCAGTACTGTTCTTTCATTATGGCTACCACTGAATTAAACATCTGTCTGTTGCTCCTCAGGTCCCGTGGTGGCCGGTGTGGTAGGCCTCAAAATGCCTCGCTACTGCCTCTTCGGGGACACCGTCAACACTTCATCACGGATGGAATCCAACGGACTGCGTGAGTGGCTACACAATACAATACACAGTACACATCACACGACACACAATACATACATTTCCGTTTGAGAGAGCGAGTGCAAACTGAAGGGACATGTCAATTTGTATCGCAGCTTGTAGTATATGCTTGATGGTTGGTAGAGACGAACACTAATGAGGCTACGTAGTGTGTGTACGTTTAAAGCGAGTATATCATTAATGAGATTGGGGCCCTAGAAGTGGGTCAATGTTATTGCACTATGGTCTGCTTTGCGTCGTTTATAATCGGCTTAAACTGTGTTTATCTGGAGATTACGGTAGCATACAATGCCTTCAAATGCTTCCATAAATCTCTCTTGCCAGAATCGCTCACAGGCAGTGTTACAAATCTAGCTCCAACATCGGACTGGCTTTAAAGTTTTTTTTTTACTTAGACGGCTTCAACAACAACATGATGTTCAGTCCGCTTTTCAAGATATGCAAGATTTCAAGATATGCTTTAGTTTAGGCAACCATCATGTCAGATGATGGAAACGTATTGCTTGGTATTGGCATTGGTATGGTAGCGTAGGTACTGATTTTACCTTATTGCATCGCCATTTCTTTTCAACAATGATATTGCTCTCTTGAGACGCATACCCAATTCAAAAGTTCCATTGCGGACATGATTGACAGACTGAGAAATTGGCCTGACAGATATGTTGCAAGCTTCGATGAACTTTGATGGTGTGTTTGTAGGCTTGTTACTTACGCCAGTGATGCCACAAAACCATGCAATCTGAACACTCCGTTCCACTGCTCCATCCCACCACCATCCTGCCTGGCACCCGGCGTTCCTGCCGCTGCACCGTTGACCTTTCGCTGTGACGGCGACCCGGGCCGTGTCGCTACCGGGCCGGGCGAGCGGATTGCGTGCCGCACGGCCGTGTGTTCTCGCCACGTGACCATTAGCGGCGTGTACCCCGTGGCGTGCCGGCAGCACTGCGGATACACGTGAGCTCCACCACCAAGGAGGCGCTCGACAAACTCGGCATGTTCCAGCTGGACCTTCGCGGCGAGGTTGAAATGAAGGTGAGATTGTGGAGCGTGATGGAATGTGGCGGCTGAGGTGAGGTGATTAACGGGGTAGGTGAGGCTTGATGTTCTCATAGTGCACGACCCAGCTTGCCGAGAAGTCCACGTCGTGGTTCATCAGCCATTGTGACTTTATACCTTATCCTCCACTCTCCAGACTCCTAAGCCAGAGTGATGACGAGAAAGATGGTTAAATCGACTGTTCAAGTCATGCAGACTTGGGTGGGTGGCACTCATATATCACCACAGATGGCATGCATGAATGCCGGGAGTCTAGATAGTAAATGATGCCGAGTTGAAATATGGAGCTCCGTCAAAAGTATTATGCATACGTATGACATAATTGAAATCAGGACATCGCCTGTTGCTAGGTCTGGAATAAGTATCTTGGTGGATTCATGGAGAAGATATATGACCAGATACGAAAATTTGTCAAAATCGTTTGTTTTTTTTTTGTCCTACGCGGAAAAGATAAACCATAGACCTTTGAATGTTTCTACATACAAAAGTGTAAGTACATATGCCTCGCCCTCCGCAACAAAGTTCCAATTGATTGTCCGCTCGATGTGGACGCACATATCGGTCCAGCCGAACCATACATCTCCAGTCACACAGCCGTGCTGTCTCAGTGAGAAGCCTGTGAAATCACCGGAGCCAATATCGGCCCGCCCGAACGGCTCTTCGTCTGGGTCGCCTTTGTCGACTCCTGAGCCGCCGGGTTCGGATTTAGGCCGGTGATGTGACTCGCGCGCCTCAGAGCGGCTCTCTGCCGAGCCTACCGACGCCAGCTAATGCTCGATTCTGGAAACTGTCGAGCTCGACGCGTCGATTTAACTGAACTGCGGCGTGCACTCGGCGCGGGTGGTAACGCTGGTCGGTCCCTCAGCCGCACTGCGCCGAGCAACCTAATGCAAAGCTGAGCCTGAGTGGCAGCGGTATTGCAGTCAGCCAGTGAGTGATTCTATAATGGGAGGGCGTATGGTCTGTAAGGACAGAACGCTATGGACTCCTGACTGAAATTTCCCGCAAGAATGACATATTTCATCACACCATACTTGGACTAGTTATGCCGGAAGATACAATTATTTGAAATATTTTTATGTGCATCATGTCGAAGACGATCGGTACATGAATTCAGTATCCAATCGTTTCGTTGATTAACCCGCGCCCCGTTGGGCTCTGCCGAGCAACGCGCCCGGTTGGGGGGGGGCCATTTTGGCCCGCCCCTAAGATCTCGAGAACCACGCAACATAGCGACAAGCGGTAAACGGCGTTGGATAGCCCCAACGGGGAACTACCTTGTGACCCAATTTTATTGACCTAGGTCAAACCGATGACGTCACAGGTCAGGTCAAAGGTCCAATTTTCACCGTTTACAGGCACTTCAAGAAATGCGTTGTAAAATCGAGTAAAATGCATTTCATTGAAAATCATCGATGGTGAAATGTTCTTCAAACACATATTTTGCTATTTGAGGTCACTGATACCAGGTCAGGTCACAGAGGTCAGGTCACGGGGGGTCACAATATGAAAGTGTCGTGTGATACATGTTTTATGGTCCATTTTACATGACAAATGCGATTATATGGGTCAGGCAGCCTTTGGGGCCAGCTTAGATCACGTTTTGGTCAAGGTCAGGTCAAGGTCAGGTCAAGGTCAGGTCAAATTAGGTCAAATTTCAAAGTTAATATTTTTGCATAAAATGGGTATCGAATCGATGCAGCTCGTCACGGGGAGTTCAATGGTGGTCTTTGTTTTGCCGTACGTGGTCTAGAATTGCTAAAAATTGAGTTCAAAAATTTGACGTCATCATTTTTGAACAGTTTTTTTTCGCTATAACTTGGCCAAAAAACGAGATATCGATCTGAAATTTGGTATGTATATAGAAGAGCGCTGGGACTATCACATGTATTCCGGTTTTTTTCGAAATTCGGAAAAATTTTGTATTTTTTCAAAGTTTTTCTAAAAAAATCAATTGTTTGATTTTTTTTTTTGGTCAAAAACCAAAAATTTTGAAAATCCGAGATAGCAGTTTTGTAGCGCCGCTTTTTGTCTACTAGACCATATAAAGAACTTTGAAATTGCTTGATAACTGTAGATTTGGTGAGCGTTTCAAGATTGCATGTTTTTTGCTCATTTTTGCTCGAACATGACCTCAGTTTGACCTCAATAACTCCTGACCTAAGGTGACCTAAGACTTGAAATTTGGTGTGAAGGTGTCAAATTGATGCCCGGAAAGGTACTGAAAATTTGGCGGCGCTGCGCGCCGCCGTTTTCTTGCTATTCAGGAAAAACCACAGGGGGGGCCAAAATGGCCCCCCCCCCAACGGGGCGAGGGTTAAGATCGCAATATTTTTGGAGGTGATTCCTCCCTTGCAAAACGTCAAAGTCTCTGAAAGGAAACACATCAGGCATTGACCCCAGCAATTAATGTGCATTGGGCAGTGTGCACGCTTACCGTATTCGAAAGCACCATAACTTCGAGCACACCGCCTGACATTACTCGATAGAAAGTACTCACAGAGCATCGCGGAATCCCCCTTCACCCACGCAGCTGAAGCACGGCAGAATAACTGTGTCAAATAAAACAGAAATTATAGTGAAGCGGTACAAAACGGTGAATGCCGACCGCTGACATTTCACCCCGCACTTGGACGGATTCAGGCACCACTGTGCGAAGCTTTAGATGAAGTTGCAGGTGCAGCGTGTTTTAGTTTACTGGAAATTTGATCAGCTGTTGAGATTACGGACCACGCAGCGCAAAGTTTTCCCTACACTTCCATTTGGTAACTTTCAGTCGTTTGATCATTTCATGATGAGTTACGGAATGCTCACAATTTTAAAAGAACGCATTTCTCTACATCCAAGTTGAAATTAACTTTTTGACCGTGTGCCAAGTTTTGGGATTCAATTCTCTCTGGTGGAGGCTTAATTTACATTCTTATCAGGAGCGCCGCGTCCGGCTGGGCATTCCGTCCACCCCTGGCCACCCCAATCAGCATACGTTTCCCGCGCAGTACCACGACAAGTGAACATTTTCCTGCATTTCGCGAAAAAAATACACTTACTAGTATTTACAATTTTTGGCAAAGTGACAATGAGTGAAATATTCAGCCACATTTCATCTGCCAGTAATCCCTGTAGGTAAGGCCTATGGAAAACATCCGTTTCTCGCAGCAAAACGCCGGGGTTCCACAGCGAAAGTTATGCACTCGACGCGCCACATTTCTGCGCGGGTGCGCCAGTATTGGGCACACCGATCACGCTGCGCGGCTCAGCCCCCCCTCCTCTCCGTGCCCGAGGGCCAAACACCTTATTATAGGGACCGGCACAGACCCGCAGAGCCTAATATTGCTCTCGGATATTCATATATGAAGGCGAACGTAGTCCAAGAATGGAAAATACGCAAAATTGGCGCTGCGAATGTGAATGCTGATCAATGCGTCGTTGAAGGCAATTTTATCATAGGCAACCACAACAGTGGCTAGTGGGATGGCCACTCAATAGGTCAAGTTTAGTCGTTAGGATTTAAGAAATTAAGTAGCTTTGTTGTCTTTTGCAGTCAGTCCGAGAACATGGCACAAAAAATGATTTGCAACTGCAGAAAATCTGACCTGACACTCAGGTGACATGCGACTGCGCTATAGATATGCATCCTTTCCAACCCGTACAAACTGTGTACAGCTTAATTAAATACCTTTTATTACCCTGAAAAACGCTACTTTAGCCCAGTGTCCCCACGAGGTTGGAGTGTGGCCCATCACAAAACCATAAATTGCTGTAACCCGTGTCAAATTGACCGCATATTCCGGTCGTTCTTCTTCATTACCGCAATAAAGTATCGTACATCGTAAAACAGGCTCTAAATTTAACATTTATTGGTGTAGGCGTAGAGCGTATCTCGTCTTGGCTATCTCACATAACAGCTGCGTATTTCTGCGCCGCTCCCCCGTCGACAATAGCCGTGTTTACATCATAGGCGGCGGAATGGGCGGGGGGGGGGGCACCGGGGGACCGTGCCCCCCTTCATTTTGGCCTTTCAACATTAGCCCTATGGGCGTTGCATGGAAAGAATGTGACCAAAAGTCGGCAGTGCCCCCCCCCCCCCCCTAATCGAAGGTGTTCCGCCGCCGCTGGTTTACACAGGGTTTGTTGAGAGTTCCTAGCTCTGCCTGAAATGTTTAAAAACATGCCAATGGCGCTATGTACACAATTTCATTCGACGCTAGGAAATCCGCATCGAAATAGGCAGCATAAGCAAGCCAGAGACTCGCCCAAAAGCCCTTTGTAACCAGCCACAACGTAAACTTCACTGCTAGACTGACCCGCAGCGCAGTGACGTACTGCGGGTTAGCCTACCAATCCAGGTATCACCGTCCGGCCGGCATGTAACTACATCGTGCTTTGTGCGGTGCATCTGTCATTTGGGTGAGACTTTATGGAAATTGGAAAGCTTATAGGTATTCTGTTGTGCTATGTAGGCACATTGTTTAGTGTGGAGTATGTGTAGTTTACTCTGTGCAATGTACACACAACACCATGATGGTTGCCAGGAGAGCCAGCAATACGAAGTGCCCTGGAATGCTCGTCTTTGACCGATGTTGAGTTGTGTATACAGCCATGAAGGTACGACAGAAGAAAATTGAAGTGATGGTGATGGCGGTAAAACATGTTCAAGTTCAGTTTTTCTATAATCACTCAGGCCAACCCAGCCCACACAAAAACGAAATTGAGACTGCTCACTTCAGACTGATTTATGATCCACCTGCCCCGTCAGCGGTTTTCTTCGGAGGAGATTAAGTATCGTTCCGTTCGCGGCGTCACCCCCACTGCTCCGAGCGGGTCAGAGGTAGCAATTGACCGTTAACCTCCACATCCAACCATTCCATTGCCTTCTTCTGAGTTGTGGTACATTACCCGTGGATTCAATATTCGGTCATTCTGACCGGTGGCAGTTGATGAGAATGTAATAATAGTGTATGCCCGGTCGCTCGTTTCGAGTTTGTTAATCGCTGCAGACTCTCAAGACCCGTTCAACAATCAACTTACGTTATGTAAGACCTTACATAACATGGAGTTTTTAACTGCAGTCTTATGAAACAGAAAATGCAATATAATTTTGACGAGCGGGGTTAAAATTCGATGACGCATTTTATTGTCCGTCGGAATGTTTGAGCGAAATATCGACAGCGCCGTTTTCTTTGGACATCGTTTATGATAGTACCCGGCAATCTACATACAAGATAGATGCAAGAGGCAAATAGCGAAATATATTGCATTATAACTATGCGGTTCTTAAACCATTCTTTTCCTGAATTAGTTATCAAATAATTTCGCAACAAAGCGACAAAACAAAGTCACCTTTCATTCTTGGTATAAACCAAAGCAAAAACATGGATCCCGTGGACAATAACTCAGTTGTGATGATTTTATGCCCCACTACCGGAGACCCTCCAGCCTGCCTTTCCTCACCAATCACCAATGACTGTTGTGATTTTGTCGTGACAGCTTTTCTGTGTGGGATACCACGCGATTGTCGATTACCATTAACTATATTGATTGTTGACTTCCCGTCCTTGTTGCAAACTGTCTCACCTCTGAACTGAGTTTCTTACATCCCTAACCGGCGCTGACACACCATTATTTGTTGATTTCAGGGTAAGGGCAAGATGGTCACCTACTGGCTCCGACACAAGGAACCCACAGCCACCGACTTGATTGATATTGACGGCGTGGATCTACGAGAAACAAAGGTGTGACACTCGCGCCGTGAGACGGCGGTGTGATTCTCGCGTCGACAGACTCCGTGAGCGAGAGGGCACCGCGTGCCGCCGAGGGCACGTGCCGACATGTTGGCACACGTCTAACCTGATCTGGGGGCGCCCGGCGGACGGGCGAGCGTCCGGCGGAGTTATGTGCGAGTCTGCGTGACCTGATGCTGTCTTCGGCTCACTCCGGTGCGCTCTGTAGTTTCACATCGTGATCGATTCTCAGTGCGACTGTGCGACGCCGCGCCCCCTTCACGCAATGTTTCGAGACGCCTGGGAGGCACCTAGGGCGAATGATATGATGTGTTGCTCTCTTGTTGACGATTCATACCTTTAGCGTGTGTTGACTGGCTCGGCGTGTGTGACCGTTGTTTCGTTCAGCTGCGCCGCGGCGCATCTGAGCGCTCCTTCCGATGTGATTCTCGTGACAGCTCGCTGGTCGCGGGTGCTGTCTGCGTCGTTATTGTTCGCTGTTCAAGGGCCGGTTACCGGCAACACAGAACCATTGTCACGCGCACAGAGACGCGGGCGAGCGTCTCGAGAGTGACGGACGGAGCTTCTGAAGCGGGTACCTAACCGAACAGGCGGCGGAGAGCGCGCGACTGTTGAAACTCCAGCCCGGCCGTCGGTGTCTGTGACGGGCCCTCGCTGTGCGTGACGGAAATGTGACACTTGGTGATGACGTCACGTGACGTGTCGTGACGCAGGTGATGACGTCACGTGACGTGTCGTGACGCTGGTGATGTGTTGCGCAGTGACGTCATACGGCGTGGTGTGATGTCCGCAGAGCGCGGCGGACGTCACAGGGTAACGCGCGCGTGTGTGAGAGCGAGCGAGTGCCAACTCACTGTGAGAGAAAACTGTCTGTCATCAGTGTCTGGTTGATATGGGCACAAAGCAAGGCGCTGGAGTTTGTTTTATACATGGAGGTAGATAAATATACATACCTTGTCTTATCGTGGTGTACTCGAATATTCCCACATTTGATTTCATCGCACTGTCTCCCGAAAAGGTTACACAAGCCTCACGTGAAAGAATAGTGGATGAGTACCGTACACTACACGACAATTATACCGTTTTCTTCCAGCAATAAAGACAAACCACAGGACGGACAATGTATTGTAACACACACGATTTCATGTTTTGTGACACAGATAGATCATTCGCGCTATAGAATAATGTAGTGCGCAATACTGGATTTGAATCATACAGACTAACGATTGGCGAGCATTCTTTAGCATGTGGGAGCTTTGGAAGTTGACAACAACATGGCCAGAAAGCACAAAAGTAAGCGACATAAAAAGTATCCCACAAACTCATGTCCAATTGTGCTTCCATAGCAAGGCAGCCGAAACGGAGCTTTACTTAGTAGCCCTGAGAACATCTACATTCCACAAATAACGACAGCTGCGAAGTACGATATCAGCAGAAAATATTCCCATGCATTGCATTGGAATGTAAAAAGTTGCAAAACAATCATAAGTATAGTAGATCACCATCGTGCTACCATCGTACTGAAGCACCTTTTCTAGGCATCACATTCTAAGCGTGGTGTGCCTGCTCATTAAGTACTGCCATTTGCACGACGTTACAAAGGCACAGCGGTGCAATCCATTTAGCAGACAATAGAAAAGTGAAGCAGCTGGCACTAGCGGGAACCTAGGCCCGTTGTGTACATACACAGCCCTCTTGGTCGACAGAATTCAGGTAGAACTTGCGGTGAAGGACGGCGCTGGGGACAAGGCAACGATCTTTGGTCTCCAGGTGCAGCGATGGCACAGAAAAAGCAGCTTTGGTTTTAAGGACACTCAGTTACGAAAATTGTAAACGGACGTCATCATCCGGTGCATGTCGCCAATATTGGAGAATGGAGAACCACATGGGCAGACATGACCTTTTCAGAACAGCCAGCGGACATGCGGACATTCAGTGTAACACGGCAATGTTCTAATCACAAACTAAGCCCCTACCGTCAGCTACTACAAACTAAAGGTACAGAACAGCAGCCATCATCCGGCAGTGATTGAGGCAACAAAAGAGACAAACTCAAAATAGCAACATCACATTCATCAATACTGCCCTGCACCCTGCCGGCATAACAAATACCACCAACATAAATAACAATACTACATAACAACACCATCTAGGTACACCTCGCAACAAACGGCTAACATTCACAGTATATAGCCACAACATCGCGGTAACGGTTAGGCCAGGAGTTAGATTCCCAAGGCTGGGACGCGGTGTTACGAAACTTCTGTTTGGAGACATCACAGGCCCTCATATCCGCCCATCAGACACAGACCAACACGGAGCGAGCGACCGAGAAAAGCTCTGGCATTAGTCGAGCAGTTGGAGGCTCAGCCACCCATCTCCTGCTCCTTGGCGAAGCGCAGGAACACCTGCTCCAGCGTGGTCTGGCTCAAGCTGTACTCCTCCATGCCCAGACGCTGCTTGGCTGAAAACACAGAGAGAAGCGTGCAGGTGAGAATGTGGTGGTGTCACAATTATTGCACTACAGTTGATAGGACCGCATGTGCCTTTGATCACTTAAAAAGATTAGGCTTCAGGTCATACTTGGATGCCGAGTATGTAACTACTTGCATTCACCAAAAAGTAAACGTAGATGCGAAACAAGTGAAACTAATTCGGATAGTTCCGTTCGTAAAAATCGTAACCATATGGTGAACTACATAGAATAACTTGTCACTAGCGCGAAAACCTCTCCTCTGTCTCAGTCTAGCAAGCACGTTTCGTTTGTTCGCACGTCTGGCCAAGACTGTGCTGTACCAAGGCCACCCTACACAGTACACACCCGGCCGCATCAGAATGCATAGACCAATAAGAGGCGGCCGCGGTAGCTGTCAGCGGCGGTCGTTTGACTGTCAGCTCTATCTCACAGGAGCCGTTTGCTCAGCACCAGCCCACAGTTTGTCCTTGTGTATGCCTAGCTGAGACGGTTGACATCCCATCAGGACCGGCGAACGGTGAAGCAATATCCAACGGCGCAGGGTATTCGTTTGGAAGGAGCCTGTGGGTTATTTTTACAGGTCGTAATCAACAACTCGAGGCACACGAAATGCAGCCTTCCTCGGCCCAGATCGGTGATTTTATGTAGGCCAGCAAAGAAGTCCTTCAATAGTAACAAAACGAAACGATGCATGTAACTTTTCCACTCCAGTCAAGCAAAAAGAGCGATGCTTTCACCGTAAGCCTCGAAGAGCTTTTAACGAGACGACTTTCATAGGGAAACAATCTACGATTGACCGCAGACAATGACATGAATATTGGATATGCTGATTTTCAGCAGGTCGGTTAGACGAGTGTCCTAGGCCAGACCATACTCCGTGAGCTCCACTCAAAACCCTCTCCCTCCTATCTCTAACCGAAAAGGCACGAGTGCACAGGCCGCCCAGACCAATGTAGTCCCACATCTGGTTCCGACGGCGTACCTGTGGCAATTACGTGCGGCACGGGCCGAGGTATGGCATCGGATCGACATCGTCCGCCGGGTAAGGTCAATAAGCCGATGGACCCATTCGAGCGAGCCCGGTCAAATGACCCTGGTTGGTATAGGATCCCCAGCGACTGGCAAATGACAGGGTCACTGAGGACGATACTTATATCTGGCTCCAAGTGTAGGCAATATCCCTCCAATACACTTCTAAATCTAACAAGGAGTTAATGAAAATTGCAGCCGACACGGTGTTTCTTCCTAGCACCTTAATTCTTCTAATAAGGGTCTTTCTAGCTATTTATTCATCCTACCGTGACGTGAAAGGAAACAAGCCGGCATTTATCTTTGTTTCTGACATACTGATAAAACTGCATTGACCAAACCAAGTAACCAAACATTGGTATTGCAGGATTAGTGTATAGCCGATATAAGCAATAGGCATCCTCCTTCATAAGCTCTACATAAACCTGATTTCGATATTGTATCACCAAAGCGCCAGCTCAGATCTAGCTTCTCCGTCAAATGCTGCAACTTTCCGGCAAATATGGGTGGCTGATTCCCACTGCGACTCAACTACTGGTGAGCGCCTAGAACTAGTCTCAAAGTTAAAAGTTGTGCCGTCGTCACCGTTCCGCCGGCGCGGCGGAAGCCCGCATCGGTCCGACCGAGGCGGAGGTTCGTACCCAGAGCGACCTCGACAGAGTTCACCGGCAAACGGCTGCGCAACGAACGGCCATCGGTTCGGGGCAGCAGTAACACGCGCCTGAGAGCCTTTTAGCAGATCACCCGGCGAGTAACGGGCGGCTTTTAGCCCGGGAGACGGCGATGAGGCGCCGGATGCCAGACGCAACGAGGGCAGATTAATGGCCTTGTCTTGGCGCACCGATCGTGCGTGTAATTGTACTGACATACCCCTCGAAAACAACACTGTGGAGTGTGGTACTATATGGATGCAAAACACCTTCGCCCTAATGAACAGCGATGAAAAAGGTTCAAGTCCAAGCGGCTAAAATCCAGCTCGTGCACAGGAGTGCGTCTGACATTGACCAAAAAAGCTGGCATTTGATGGCCTTTAGCAAGGGAACAATGCCAATAAAAACGTCAAACACTGTAGCTTGTCAACATAGGCGGCGGAGCGGGGAGGGCACCGGGGCACCGTGCCCCCCTTTGATTTTGGCATTTTAACATTAGCCCTATGGGCGTTGCATGGAAAGAATGGGACCAAAAGTCGGCAGTGCCCCCCCCCCCCCTTAATTGAAGGTGTTCCGCCGCTACTGCTCGTCAATACTGCATGGATTGGTAAGCATTTCTCTCATGAATGAGCACTTTACTACCTTTGTGCAACGACGTGGCAGCCTTCTGGCTGCTTACGGGGAAGCGCAGACGCGAAGGCGTGCAGCGATCGACAGAGGACAGAAGCTTCTCCCCTCCCTCCCCGGGGAGCGCGGGGTGATAATAAGATTTTCCCGGACGTCGGATCGAGTCGGAAGTACGACGTTGACACGGGTCTGAGACCCGACGTCAAACTGGTGTGAACTGGTTTGGAAAGCGGTAGCTGGTTTGGAAGGAGTGCTGAAACTGGTGAGAGGTGATTTGTGGGAACCGCGGATTACAAGGGCAGATTCATATCGCATTTGACTATCGACGGTTAACAGCTCAAAATTACACCAACTTGAGATACTGATTTATTGGAACTGCTCCGAAGCCCTTTGTGAAAACTCTCATCATCTCAACGACGAAGATGATTGCGAGATAGATAAGTAGCAGCATCACAAATATGCCTCGCTGGTTGTCCAAACATAACCAGAGTATTCATCATGAATATGTCGTTGAGATCTATCCTAAGCGCTAGGGCAATAATTGCTGAAATACTCATCTTCCACTTGTATTAATTGGAAGACACTAGCTGTAAGCAGTAAACAGGGAAGATCGATGTCGCTGAAGCTCCAAGACGAAAACAGGCGCCAAAGTAACGGATTACTGGTGTAGGGAATTGATATGTAGATGAAAACATTTTCGTATTATGGTAAAAGGTAGGTAACTGTTACGTAAATTTGTCTACTGTACACGTACAGCTAATGCATAGCGGCAAATACAATTCGCGAAACGAGGTACTTTTAAACTTTTATCCTTTTTATACTTTTATCAGGTACTTTTATTCTCGTTTAGTTCCCAATATCACATTTTCAATACTAATAATATTCATAAATGCCGGGACACCGAACGGCGTGACTTGAAATACAGGGATCCACGTTCATATCAGTTGCGCCTGACCGTTACCCCGAAACACACTCCAAAATGAAGGCAAGAGCACGCACCGCACATCCAACGGGACCCAACTTACGCCATAAATCCAACTTGCGCCGTAAATTTATCAACCGAACCGGGGGTTAGACAGAGCGTAGGAGAAAGGCACTATTTGTAGTACTGAACTGCAACTAAATAATTAACCTGCAGGTGTTAGTACTTAGTACACATCCAGAGAAGTTTGAACTGATGAAGTTGTCCACGCATCCAAGGGAAACGGTATATACCTAACTTGGTCGACTGAAAACAGCACCAGTTTGCATGACCAGTGATCATGGTTGGTGGATTACCTCTATCTTACGCATAGAACTAGGATCGCAATACCATTGCTAAGCCGGGTAAAATATCAACATACAAGTTTGGAGAAGCAAAAGTTGTCTTTCTACCACTGACTTGAAGTGGTTTTAAGCCGCGTTTCTCAACACTTTCCCATCTGCTATCATATCAAGTGATCTACCAATTTCATTTCAGCTGAGAACGCAGAACAGTCTTACTTGGCACTCCAGTCATAACACCCACTGCAGGACAGTCTTCTCTAACATTCTCCCAAACGTGACCGGAACACATCCGGGCCACTGTATCTCAAAACTGGCAGCTCTGACGCCTCCAATTCATAGCTGGCCGGCCATTTGGGTCGTATAGTGGTTGCCATGCCACCCGATATGCCCGGGGGCGCCGAGGCCATTTGTGGACCGGTTCCTCTGTCACCAGTCAGCCAATATGTGCCCGGGACGGGGATCCGCCACCGTCGCCGACCCCTCCGACGGGGGGGGGGGGGAGGGGGCGGAGGAGATGTGGGGTCAGCGGACAACAGATTGCATCAAAAGAGGATGGTGGGAAGGTAGTCTAGTGCTCCTGCCAGCTAATAGGTCGTTAGCTGCAGAATACAGATACCAGTATTTGCGGAGATTACAATGCGTTACTTCTCTCTCTAAGCCCCCCCTCTCTCTCTCTCTCTCTCTCTCTCTCTCTCTCTCTCTCTCTCTCTCTCTCTCTCTCTCTCTCTCTCTCTCTCTCTCTCTCTCTCTCTCTCTCTCTCTCTCTCTCTCTCTCTCTCTCTCTCTCTCTCTCTCCTCTCTCTCTCTCTCTCTCTCTCTCTCTCTCTCTCTCTCTCTCTCTCTCTCTCTCTCTCTCTCTCTCTCTCTCTCTCTCTCTCTCTCTCTCTCTCTCTCTCTCTCTCTCTCTCTCTCTCTCTCTCTCTCTCTCTCTCTCTCTCTCTCTCTCTCTCTCTCTCTCTCTCTCTCTCTCTCTCTCTCTCTCTCTCTCTCTCTCTCTCTCTCTCTCTCTCTCTCTCTCTCTCTCTCTCTCTCTCTCTCTCTCTCTCTCTCTCTCTCTCTCTCTCTCTCTCTCTCTCTCTCTCTCTCTCTCTCTCTCTCTCTCTCTCTCTCTCTCTCTCTCTCTCTCTCTCTCTCTCTCTCTCTCTCTCTCTCTCTCTCTCTCTCTCTCTCTCTCTCTCTCTCTCTCTCTCTCTCTCTCTCTCTCTCTCTCTCTCTCTCTCTCTCTCTCTCTCTCTCTCTCTCTCTCTCTCTCTCTCTCTCTCTCTCTCTCTCTCTCTCTCTCTCTCTCTCTCTCTCTCTCTCTCTCCCTCTCTCTCTATTTCTCTAAGCACCCCCTCTCTCTCTCCCCCTCGTTTGGACTGGTAGGACATACCTCACTGACAAACGAAACACAAAGATGGAATGAGGAACACTGACAAACAAGCCATCTCATCTCTCTCCCTCCCTCCGCCAGTGCTCTTATCTCTCCCCGCCCTCTCCCCGTCCTCCTTTCTCTTCTCCCGTTGGCGCTCCGCTCCCTCGGCGTCCTACCAGCGCGACTGAGCCGATTGGGGTCACGGCTGGGAGAGGGACCAGCCGGTAGGCCGTGTGTGTGCGTAGGGGTGGGGGTAACTGGGGTTAGGATGAGGGTCATGGTCGTTCCCAGTGTACTCAGGTCGAATGCCACACAGCGAAGCGAAGGAGATCCCGTAGGACGATGCAGGAGCGGGATGATTAGGATTGTGGCGACGGGATCTGGCAGAGAATGCCGCTTAGGTAAGAAATAAGATGCTGACCGCAGACCGCTACGTTTGAAGTTGTCTTGGAACTGGGCGGATAAAAATGGAACGTTTTTGAGCGTATGCGTAGCAAAGTGAAAACCATGTGTGGATGTTTAGGCAGCAATGAATGCTTATTTTTGAAAGTTTTTCGGAAAGATCAAGTGTAACCCCGAACATTTTACGATTACATTTTGTGCTATGACTTAACACATGCCTTGCTATTACGAAAATGAATTAGATGTGAAATTCTATCAACTACACATAAAACTGACACCTCTGTACTCAAAACCCTGGCATCCAGCAGTGCAGCTATAAACCATCGACAAAATAAAAACGGCACCGGCTCCGTCAAAACCGACAGCACACGGCCGCCTGAGGCGCTGTCTCCAGCCATTTCCTCCGCCTCCGCTGCCACAATTCGCCTCCGATCGGCGTTTTCCACGGCGGAGGGCCGACGGAAACAGTTCCCGGGGGAGAACTGACCTGCTTCCATCTCTGAGAAACCCTTGGAGAGACTGCCGACGTCCTGCTGTGGTATCTTGTAGCGCAGCCGCTCGCCGTAGCTCTCCTCGAGGATGGCCGCGGGGAACACCTCGCTCACCAGCCGGCGGGCCTGCGGGAGCGGGACGCACGTGCGGTCACTGGTAAGGAGGGACGAGTGGCGAGATACGATGGGCAGGTGTTCAGGTAAGAATGGACAGGCACTGAGAGAGGTTGGGCAATGGTCATGAAGGATGATCAGGCACGGAGAATGGGTGCCAGGATGCAAGGAGACAAATGATCACTAATGAGACAAGACGCTGAAGGGCGTGTACAGTTAGACACAAAAGCCGGGTAGTCTCGATAGTCAGGCAGTCTAGCGGACACCGATCGTGGGATACGGGGGACACACGCCGATATAGCAACAGCGCGCAGCTGGGTTACATACATCTGATGGAAGTTGCATACAGCGTTCAGCTAGCTGATGGGCGAGCTGGGCCCGAGGTTTATGAAGACACGTGCAACAAATGACCGTCATGTGGACAATACGAGTCTCAGCATGTATATTGGCACCCCGAATGATGCCAGAGTAGGCGAGAGTTTGCGGACAATGGCCCGCTTCTCTGGAGCTGCTGGGCGTGAAAATTGCTGTCTCTTGATGATAAGTGGAGATAGAGTTTTAGATGGGTCTGACGGAAACAATAGGAATGATTTTGATGAGAGTATACACAAGACGGGCAGCTCTAAAAATGCATCATATTTTATTATTAGTTACTTCATTCATAACAAGTTTACTTATATGGTTTAATATCAATCGGCAAATGATTTGAAACCAAACGAGAGTTAACACTTTTAGCAGAAATCTAAATACAACTCAAAACGATAAGAGACATTGCTACATTTAGCACAAAACAACACATTTGATACTTCGCTGAAATAGCAAATCGACAGAGCTTCAGCCAAGCTTAGACCATCTACGGAGCTTCTCCGGCGCATCACGCCCAAACGAGCCCCACATTTATCAGAGTTAATCAGGCGTCCAGCGACCAACTAAGGTGCATCCGGCGTGTGAGTGAGACGGCCAGCATTTACAGGGCATCTGATGACTGTTCTCGGACCCGGGCTGGGTCTATTTATGGATCCCATGGATCAGAAGACGACCAAGGCTGAATGTAATTCCAGCGGCCACTGGAATACCTGCCACGCACTGGGTTGACTGAAAGTTCTCATTACTGTTTCTGTGTACCGCACGGATTGGATCTGACTTTTTTATACATTAATGCAATATTAGATGGCAGTAGACTAATATTCATCAAATAATGCAATAAAATATTAAAATTGGCAGCTCTGCTGAGTGTGACGCATGATGCCAGCCACCGCACGTTATCATGCAGAGCTTGTGATGTGATTACATTCACCGCTATCATCCGCTAACTACTCAGCACCTACCAGGCACGTATAATTACCATTCTCCGGTGCCGTACCCACTAACATGCCATCTAAACGTCGGTCACTGGGTACTAGAGATGTCAATCGGGTACCAACTTTCTGGTATACCGATACCAAACCGATACCAACTCGGTATTTGGTACTTCAGTCCTAATGTGTTTGGTATTTTGTTGGTATCATGAACCCTCGCTAATGTTTAAAAGAGGCTAAGAAATCGGTAAAAAGTTGATATTTTCCTCACGTTCCCAAGTTGGTTTGGTTTCGGTATTTCTCCACGGTTTTGGTTGGTATTTGGTTTGGTATCGGTAATCCAATTTTCCGTAATTGACATCACTACTGGGTACCTACACCTGGTGATAGCCACGGCCCGTCGCCAGGGCGTCTGTAGCCGTTTGCCAGGTAATATAACCTAACGGCCCATGCTCCGATCGAACGCCAGTGTATTACAGAACCCTAGCGGATGACGTCATTGGAGTTTGGACGAACTTCATAGCTTGACTGCACAGCAGGCGGGCAACGTGGGACGATATTGGGCCAAAGTTACACACAGAACAGGGGTTAGATGCGGTAATACAGGATGCAGTCTGGAGATAAATCGTTGTTCGGCTGTGACACAGTCAGGTTTATTTAAAGCTACTAGAATCGGTCCATGCAGCTCAACTTATGGTATTGAATTCTGAAATGTGAAATACTCACATGGTGAATTTTGGATCTACCTTAAAAATAATGCGATTACCAAATGCGTGAATTTACATCTGGTTTTCATATCATTATATTCATGGTTACACGTAACAATCACTTGGAAGCTAATTTCACAGATTAGTATTAGTAACGCAACCATGTTTGATAGCGCCCTTTTTAAAAACAATCAACATTAACCATTAATAAGCTGTCAAGATGACGAAAACAATCATCTATTGTTACCAGTGTCAAGTCATTAGCTTGTTTTGTTCGAACTTTGGCCTAAGAATATCAGCAACCTTTTCAGCGGACAATAACCTTCAATACAACTATCATCAAAACAATGGCAAAAATAGAGTCGTGTGCGGAAGCTGCAGCACGAAACGCTAGGCGCTTCTGCTTTTCCGAAGAACTCTAGGAGAGCCAGAATTACCTATAGCAACAATACCGCCATAGAAAAGGGAAGACGACCACTTTAACAGCCCGAGCCGCCGCCCCAAAACGACCTGCCAATGTCGGCCGTTTCGCTGACACATTGGACCCCGCCGCCAAATCGTCTCTGTCGCTATGACTCTGCGGCGCGGGTCACTTTCCTCGCCAAGTCACGTCCGGAGGCACTTCCGCCTTGCAACGAACCCCTGGTAGCAGTGGGGGAGGGGACCAGGGCGTCGTACAAAACGCAAAGGTGATATAGCCCGCGCGAGCCGAGCAGAATCATAATCAGGACGATCGAAGTATCGGAAGGACCATAACTGTGGCTCGATGAAATGAAGTAGCGTGGTGTTTTATGACAAAATGAGACGGCGACATACGTTACGACAAATTGAGGTGTGACGATAGACATGCATAATCAGATAATGACATCAAAAGGTGGATGGTGTTTTGTCTTTACGAAATGAGGCGATACTCGTCGAGTCGCTGAAGGGATATGGCTGCCTGAGGCGAAGGTTTGATATTTAGGGCTGTCATCGTAAGACTGCCAAGACTATGCAGTAGATTACTGTCCAGAAAATATGAGTGGGCACTGACATGCATGCGTAGAAGTCGCGTTTTTGCCACGTTATGCTAACGTCGGGCTGAAGACCCCGATACGGCGCCAGTTCACCAATGACAATTTTGACTTGTATCCGAGGAATAGCCCTAAAGTTATTCAGTATGTTTAGCTCACCCGCCAGATCTTTCAACCTCTCGCTCCACCAGTCGTTTCGACTTTCGATCCTATAAGCAAGTTGGAACCGTCAGTCCGCAACTAGCTAAAACAGTCCCTAATACCATCACTGCCGAACTGCAGTTTCGACTTTAGTCGATGATTTGGCCACCGAGTGACGCGTTAGCGTCGGTTAGGTCTGGCCCAGTCGGTCCCACCTCCGGCACAAGTTCGTCCCGCCGGCGACCTTTTCAGGCCGAGTTGGACGACGGCCGGCGCCGACTACTGGGTATCGGTGCGGTGACCGGTGCGCCCCCGAGGCACCGGGTCAGGGGGTGCGACCCGCTCGGTCTTGGTCGCAGCTCTCAGAGCCACAGAGTGATGGGAAGGCGGCCGGGTGCAGACTGCACTCTGCCGTGACGTGAGCGGCGCGCAGCGGAAGTGAGCCGCCTCGATCATTAGCCGCGGGACGTATACGCTTGGTCATTGAAGAAAACGCGAATATGTTGAAATCATTTCAAGATTGGCATCATAAAATATAAGAAGCTGTTGTTTGTAGGGGTTTAGGATCGCTAGCAAACAACTTCATCATCATTTATGACGCCAATATCTCAACGATCAGGGTAAATCCGTGCGGAGGATAAGGTGCAGCTGTATGCACAACATTTCATCTACAAAGTACATATACACATCAGTTTAACTTTTCCCGAAAAACAGCTGGCGATGAAGCCGTTTCCGGCCCACGACCTTTGATGACCGACGCGACCATGACTCCGCCATAGCGCGGCGATTCTCCGGGGATCTCACCATTAGGGCGAGCTATCGATCACGTTCCTCCAGGTAAATAGCACATCCGGCGGCTCACCTCAGCGATGCGGTCAGAGAGGTCATCACCGGCACCCAGCTTCATCTCCAGCATGTAGCCGCCGCCGTACTTGTTCTTCAGGTGCTGTGTCGAGCCGAGGCACCTGTGGGCCGGGAGGGGGGTGTGATGATCGGGCGGTTCGGCTCGTTAGGCCGCTGATAGATGGGTCGGAAACGTTGTGATTCCGAGCGTGTAACGACGGAAACGGCGAGCTACTCGGCTGATCTCGACTGGATGGCAGGGGCGTTCATCAGATAAAGTTTAGGATTACTTGCAGCACATTTAGCATTCAACTTTTACGATTGCAAAGAGCATACTGTGTAATAAGTATACTTAACCCTCGCATGTGTAGGGGGGGGGGGTCGGATGGACCCCCCCATGGTTTTTCGCGAATAACTCGCGTAAAAAGCGGCCGATCGCGACGAAACTTTCAGTACCCTCGCATTGATCAATTTGACACCTACCCTGAAAATTTCATGACCCTGACCCAAATGACCTTTGACCTGTGACCTCTTTTCCGAGACCATGTTTGGCCGGAATCGCGATTTCGCGTATGTCGGCTCGCACTAGCCGCGTGTTTGCAAGCTTTTCATGGTTTCAAACGTTCAAACATGTGATTTGATGTTACTCCCGTGTGTGTCAAGGTCACCTGAAGGTCAGGTCAGGTCATTGACCTTTGGTGACCTCGGGTGACCTCGGGTCACTTTTTCGAGTTTTACATGTTTCTAGGCTAGTTTTTGGAGCTGAATTCGAATTTAGCAACCATTTGAACATTTACGAAGTAGTTTTGGTGACTTCGTAACATGTTACGAAGCTGTCAGAGGCGGTTGACACGTACTACGAATACCCGTCACGACGCCTACTGGTTGACCTGACCTGACCTGACCCGACCTGGTCTAAATGCTTCAAGACATCATCTGTGATCAAAACTAACACGATATTCGTGATCAGCACCCCAAAAAACCCCTTAGCAGCCACACTTTACGACTTTCTAACAGGTCCCGATTTTCCCGACTTTGGGTCATTGACCTGACCTGGAAGGTCAACCAATGACCTAGGACCTTAAAATTGGGTATCATCGGCTTCCTCTCGTCACGGGCAACACGCTCGTTTTTTCCGCGAAGCTCTAGCTCGATCAGGGGACAAACGGCAAGGGGGGGGTCCAACCGACCCCCCCCCCCCTACACATTAGAAGCTGGCAAACGCCGCACACATGCGAGGGTTAAGTCAGTGTTCATCCCAGACGGTAGCTCTCAGTATAGCGAAGGTCTATGGTTCACCCATAGACCGGTATGCAGAGGTCTATGGTAGCACGCATACGCACGAAACAGATAAAGTGCTTGCAAGGATAAAAATCACTTAAGCTCCATCGTCGCATACGATAAGACGTCATGTCAACAGCACTTGTATTTTCTCTCCTAGCGTTGCGTGTTGTTGCTGAGCATTGCGTCAAGTTCGCGAATCTCATTTGGCAACACAATATCGCGCCCATAAAGCTGTCAGCTCTCGTTCGGGTCCTCGAGACCCGGCCATTTTAACTCTCACCCGACAAGGCACCTCACTCCTAGTTCAGAGTGCAGGTGCGCTGTGCGCCCACGCAACAAGGGAAAGCTCTCATGAGGTGCCTTGGGCCGTATAATTAGATCATCGTCTTTGGTTATTATCTATGAAATCTTCATTGTCTTTAATATCACCGTCACTGGTTTTCACTACCTACACCAACACTAAGACAACCACCAGCACCAGCACCAACACCAGCATCAGCACCGCCACCATCACGACAACCACCACGCAGCACGACCACCACCACCACTATAACACGTCTATCCCCGGAGGAACCAGTCCCCATTTCCGGCCGTAGCGCTGTCTCCGGAAGTTCCCTTCCGGTCCCGACACCCCGCCCCGTCCGGCGGGCGCAGAATGGGGTCGGACATACCGCCTGTGAGCCACATATGCATGCCCGGTGAACAGTGGGTGGCATACGAATCAGTTGCGTGGCGCGGTGGAATACAAAACAAGGAATAGGCAATGACTTCTCTCGAGAGAAGGTGCAAACGAGATGCGACTGAACGAGGACTTAGAATGATGCGCTTGAGGACACTGTTAAGACCAAAAAAGTAAGAAGACCAAACAGCAGCTCCAAGATTGTACACGTGATCGTATTAAGAATATCATGACATATTACTTACCGACACACGGAAACTTTCACTGATCAACTCTACCTGTAGGTATGTCTGTGTGCACGGTTGCATAGGTGTCTGCGTGTGTATGTGGGGCCGGATGAGGTGTACGTGTTGTGTTGCGCAGACAAAAATCCTCTACCGCGGCGTCGCCCGGTAAGGACGTTCGACAAACAAGAAGAGCCGCGTCTCTTTGACGGCTCAGCGTGGTCCGGTATTACCGAGAGGAGCAGAAAAACAGGATGGAACGCACCAGACCGCACAACACTGTCAGCGGCAGGACGGGGTTGTCATGGACATTTTTATACGCTCAAAGTGTTTTGGATCACAAACAAAGCGCAATCACTATAGAGCTAGAGCTGCATGAACTTAGAGGACAAAATCCGAATCTGCCCAAGAGCATCCGTAAAGCTGAAACACTACACCAGATTATGTCTAGGCTAGGATAAGGCATGAAGACAAGTCAACAGCTTGAGCCAACTTATGTTTAAGCAAAGGGAGCATTTCTTTAGTCAGCCACATGCTTTTCAAAATTGCGGACAATTCTCGCATCGCTTCACTCGATAAAAATAGGAATCGTGCGCCACAACTCGTTATAGGTACCACGTGTTGCACTGACACGTGAAAAAGCACGCGAACCTTAGATGACGCAAGCGAACCGAAGGGACCGTGCCCAACCGCCGCCTGACGTAATGAGTTCGCGCTAAATATCAAACCTGAATACTAAATGCCTGCTTACCCGATCAAGCATACGCTCTACGACAATCTTAGCGCTATCTTTAGCAACAAATGCGGCAATGTTAATTTTCCACACAGCCCATGCATTGAAAATCTAAAATTAACATCTTCATTACCAAGGCTCGATTTTCCAGGCAGGTTTTCATAAATCCGCACCTATATTTGGTCGAGCCGTCTATTCTAATATCTGCCGCCGTGAGCTGAAGGCCCGGTACGGGCGTCTCGGCTGAGAGGTAGCGTTGGCAGAGTGTGGCGCCGGCCGGCCCCGGCGGCGCCGGCAGAGGCGGCCGGCAGCACGCGGTGGCGCCCATAAACCGTCCAAATGTGTACCGTCCCTCCCCCTCCACCACCGCACCGGGCAGCCTGGGGCGAGCGCCCCCCCCCCCCCCTCGCGGACCACGCCGTACCCAATGGAGCGGACAGCCTGCCTGAGGCGGGTCGAACCCGATACCCGGACGAATCGAGAGGAACTAACTCCGGGATAATGCGCCGAACTAAACCGCATTGCAGCGTAAACGGCGTGTGTTGTAGCTACACAACGTTGCCACATCATGGAATGGATATTCCAGCTCGGCAGTCGAACGAGATATCTCGTTTAAAGAGAGGTTGTGAGATAATGTGCATGACGTTTAATAAGGAAAAGGTGATCATTTAAATTTTGCCTGAGAATGATAAAATGCCGAACAAATATGCTCAAAATCCAATCAACTGAGCACACTAGCCAAAAAAAAAACATGTTCGAGATGAAACTTCTTCAAACATATCCTACATATTTGAAAAACGCAATTCCGTAACTGAAAAAGGCGACGATGTGGAGCACCAAACTTTCCAGTGAACACCATTCACCAGCGCGCAACAAGTTCGGGCGTTTTTTGTTGGGAGCCGTCGCTCGCCAGAGACAGCCTCTCTGGGGCCTCTGCAATAACAGCGCCATCGGTCACAGAGCGACGGATATCCCTCAAAACACGGAGACAAGAAACTGCGCACAGGCGTCCGTATTGGCGGACCTACACCGTGAGGCGGTAAAAAAAACGATCGAGACGAGATGCAAAGGAGAGGATGAGCGAAGAAGGAAGGGGCGATAAAGTGAACGAAGTGGGGGTAATAGAAGAACAAGTGAGCGAAGAAGAGGGCGAGCTTTGAACGAGGGAGAGTACGGGCGAACGAACGACTGAAGAAACAAACAAGCGGCCACGAAACAAATTACCTATACACACGAACAGCTGGGCACGACGAACAAAAGGACGCCTGAAATATATGCTACGTTTCCATGACACAATCTAAGCCGATTTTGAAAAATGGATTTGCTCCATTACAGCATTTAAGCATAATTTAAAAATGTACATATAGGATTAGATGCTAGTTAAAACCATATCTACGCTCATTTTTTTGCATAAGGTAAATAGTTTCCGAGAAAAACGCACGTGTAATTTCGCTAAATCGATGTTGACAGCATACGGCTAGTGTTAGCTGGAAACTGCCAAGCCTCAAGGCGTCTGTTGAGACTACTTGTTTGTTGATTGTGGGTATTGTGGGATGTTCTCTGCATGCATTGTCGCTTGTCGATGCTTAATACATTGATTGATTGATTGATTGATTTAGACGTGTCATGGAAACGTAGTGATAGAGAATACGGAGAATACCAGATTGTGATGGCAACAGTAAGTACAAATAAAATTGCACCGCAATATCCATGTTTGCAATGCGTATTCGCCAGTAATGGCAACAAATCGCCGACTTTTCAGTGTCGGCACAGAATTAAACGACAAACTATATATTATCCGTCATGCGTAATTACTACTCGGCACTCGCAGGATGCGATAACAGTTCGATTTCATTTCGGAGCAAACCATATCCTTCAAGACAGTTGATTGGTTGTGAAGCTAGCAAGGTCTTAACCAGAATTGCAACCCAACAGTTCCGGGACACTTCTTGCTGCTGGCGACAGTTCATGACAAAATCAATTACCTCGCCACCGTACACAGGCTATCGACGAGGCAGTAAAGCAACTATCTCGAGGCAGCAGGTTTCCTGAACTGTACGGTTATGTAACCGTCCAATTTCTGTAATAGACATCAAAGTAAGAATAGTACCCGCCGCGGAGAAGCGACTGAGGTGGACACCAAACAGTGGATACTGTGAACAATTTCTGCACCAGGCAGCAGAGTAAGAATAGTACCTGCCGCGGAGAAACGACTGGGTATTCTGTGGATGGACAGCGGACACTGGATGTTCTTGAAGGCCAGGAAACGGAGGGAGGGGGTCGCTTAGCGAAGAATCTCCCTTGAACTGGGGCCGGTACAAGCGAATCTCCGGGGTGGATCAGAGGCGGGGGAAGGGGCGAATCTCCGGCGGACCAGGAGGGGGGAGAGGGCGAATCTCCGGCGAACCCAGTTGACCCGGATCACGCGCGGCAGACCAGGTCACGTATCGCCCCACCCCAGGGATCCCGACCGGCAGCGACCGTCGCCCCTTCCGCATCACAGCACTGCGGCCGCCGGTCGAACCAAGAGAAATCAACAACTTGGCGCTGGTTTATATGAATATTTGGTATTTCACCAAAGATAGGATAGAAGACGGTCGTTCGAGCGTACTCAAAAACACGTGCTGAGTATAAGTGTATTTGAGTAGGCACACATCTCTCCGAAACCCAAGGATCTCTGATTAATCGTTCCCGATTTCCTACAGCTCGTGTTTTTTTTTCCTCCGACGGGGTGTCGCGGCAGAATCGGGTCACAGTCCGGTAACCCGAGAGGAGGATCGATGGGGAAGACGCGGCATACACGAGGTCGGAGAGGGTGAGGGGGAGGGAGAGGTCCTCCCACCCGGTCGGCCAGTCAGGCGAGGAATGGTTACATCGTGTAACCAACGCGCAGATCTCGGAACTTGGTGCTGCGTTAGTAGAATCGGGTGATGGAGAGAGACGATATAGATACCCGTGCAGGCGCCAGCAGTTACGGCTCACCAAGCTAATACAAAAGAAATGGTTCATTGCTGCCAGCACACTGTCATAGCAATCATGCATCAGATAGTGAATTACTTTGCATCGCAAACGCTTGCAGTCGCCGGATTCATCCTCAAACCAGCGCTTTTCTAATTTAACCACTCCACGCTTTCGACGAAACTAGCACGATGAACAAATCACTCAAGTCGCCGATACCGTAAAATGAGGCTCGGACTTTACCATCGAGGGATCGGTTAGGCCGCTGTCGGATATCCCATGGATCAAACTGGTCGAAACTGAGCCGCGCACGCGTCTCACATATTGCGAGCCCAATGCGCCGCTTTGTCAGCGGCCTCGGGAGAAAGAATTGGCAATCTACCGAAATCGCCGACCTCGAGGTCGCCTCGATTGACTTGACCTACTAAAACGAATCCACAACTTGACCACATTTAAGAACCACCATCCAAGTTGAGAAAATTTCGATCGTTGCTGGTAAAGTTTTTAGTTTTCTACGAGTATAAACTCGAAGCCTGTGTTCTGTTTAGCCATGTGAACATCAGAAGTGAGTCCTCTCCTCGAAATCTCCCTCCTCGTCGTGAAGTGAGTCACTGACGTTCTACGAACTGCCACTGAGGCCCATCGTAAAAACAGCATTCCGCATCTGTCAGCTGGCGTCGACCGGAACAATTTGGTGTCAGATTGCCAGAAATAGGCCTGGGGCCGAAAGATGGTGATTGATAGCTAATTGTCCTTCCTGCTCAGACAATGAGTTTTACTATGCAGTCAGACACCATAAAAAATCCTATATTCGAGCATTCCTCACATAAACCACACCATAAATTATTGTGGCGTTGAATTTTCGCGATATACTTGGTTATAAGCCTGACTAGCACATCAGCAATCAGCATTCATTTCAATTTAGTACTTGTTTGTTTGCTCGTTTGATTGTTTGTTTTGCTGGATTAGGTCCTTTCGGTCTGACGAAACCATTTCAGAGCCGGGAGGTTGGTAGGAATTAGGGAGGACAGTGGTTTGGGCAAGTACCCTAGTGACTAGTGAGTCACCTGGCCTGAGCCCATCCAGTTGGACAGGCCACCCAGCCTACTAGTACCGACTGCACCCGGCTACGGGGTGCTTCTTCTTCTTCCTTCTTCTTCCTTACCAGCTTAGGCCGGGTCCCGTGGGACCCGGCCCGTCTCCACCAGGAAGTCTACGATGAGGTCAGCATCGGTGGAGAATATCTCCCCCAGCGTCGGCAGGGGGCCCCACCGGCGGGTCCGAGGCCCCTGGTGTGCGGGGCAGTCCATCAGCAGGTGCGGGACCGAGTCCGGCTCGCCGCAGTCGACGCACGCGTCGGACTCGGCCAGCCCGAGTCGGTGCCGGGTGTCTCCTGTCAGGGGCGAACATCCCACCCGGAGCTGCGCCACGGTCACCGACGCTCGGCGGTCCAGTCCGTCGTGCCCGGGCGTCGGGTCGGGGTGCGGGTGGCTGCGTCTGGCGCGCGCATCACACATCGCCCGCGCCCGGCGGGCCACCGCGGCTCTCGCCGACCACAGGTCCACGGGGATCTGGTTCTGTCTGCGCGAGCTCCCGATCGCTGCCAGACGGTCCGCCTCCTCGTTCTCCGGCAGGCCCGCGTGGCCGGGCACCCACTGCAAGTGGAGCCTGTGGCCTGAACGAGTGATGGTGTCTAGCAGGTCCCTGATCTCCGCTACCAGTGCCGACTGGGAGTCCGCCGTGTCTTGCAGCGACTGGATGGCCGCACGCGAGTCGCAGCAGAGGAGCAGCATGCTCGGCCGGTCAGGCAGATCGCCCGCGGCCTCGGCCAGCGCCTCGCGAATGGCCACGAGTTCGGCCCTGGTGCTGCTGCACACCTTCCCGGCCGGAAGATGTGACACTACGGGGTGCTCCTATGGGAGCTTCCCGCTCCCCGCATGGGATAAAGTTGCCCGTCCAGCCCAGAACAGGGAGTTGAGGCGTGGAGGAGAAGGATTTGCTATCACGACTCACGAGGATGGAAAAGACGTAATGGTCTCAATTTAATACTAAACAGCTTACCGTATCTTCTTTTACTACTCCATCCTTTACAGCTATGTAGGTACCTTTAACACTTCTCATCTCAGATATCTACACTCCATCTTTCACTCATTCACTGTCCCCTTCCGCCCTCATCCCCCTCCCTCCCTCCTCCCCCACTGTTCTCCTCACCTGAGGTTGCCGCGAACCATGATCCCCAGCCGTGTGCAGAGTGCGTCCGCCTCCTCCATGGAGTGTGTCGTCAGTATGGCGCCTCGCTCCGCGCGGAACCCGGCCGCGATCGTATCCCAGAGGAAGCGCTTCGACTGCGGGTCCATACCAGTGGAGGGCTCGTCTAGTAGGACGATGCGGGGCTCTCCCAGCATGCTGAGCGCGTAGCTGAGTTTGCGACGTGTACCACCCGAGCAGACGTGGCTGCGTTTCTTGGAGTGCTCGGCGATCTGGAGGCCTTCGATGTAGTGGTTGGCGATACGCTGGGACTGGAACACGGGGAAGGGTGGAGACGGTTAAATGAGACGAGATGGGATAATACACAAAGTACAGGGAATTAGAGTTAAGATACAGGGAAAGTGAGCAGTTATGTAGCGGGATGGGAAAATATAGCGAAAGGGTAAATAGCAAACCAGGTAGACAATCGACATATCTTGGCATCAGACCAGACTCGGTGGGTCATATGAAAACTCGCATCCCCGTTTCAAACAGCAGGAAGTGACGAAAACATTGCCATCGGAGCTCAGCGAAAGCCAGCGTGTGATCGAAAACAAGATACGCGAAAGATCGCTGCATCGAAAAGTTATGGAAATGACAAAAGAGGTCGTCAGACGAAACTAGAAAGTCAGATGCTGCTGGGATTCAGGTTAAATTGCCAATAGATAACGAATGGCTAGCACTCTCGACCACATCAAAATAACCGAGGCACATATCAACGAAAACAAGACAGAAAGCTGATTTTCAATCATTGAGCCATAAGGAATAGTGGTCTCACATTTTACACAAAAACAGATAAAACAGCTCACTCACTCACTCACTCACTCACTCACTCACTTACTCACTCACTCACTCACGTACACATAACTGGCAATATCAATGTATACCCGGCTCCACCTTCGCCGATCGCCCAACAACTCACGTCCTGCGGGGAGACGCCGCGGATCTGCGCGAAACACTTGAGATGCTCCTCGACGGTGATGTACTTCCAGAGGGCGTCAAACTGGGGGCAGTAGCCGACCATCTGGAACGCCTCGGAGAGACTGTCCGTGATGGGCGTACCGGCCACCTGGATCTGTGGGAGGGGGGGGGGTTATAGTGGGAGAGAGTTTACAGTGGGGAGGGGGTACCTCGGAGAGGCTGTCCGTGATGGGTGTACCGGCCACCTGGATCTGTGGGGAGTGGGTGGACGGGTGGGTTAGTGGAAATATGGGTCACAGTAGGGGGGGGGGGGAGGGTCACACTGTGGATGAGATGGGCGCAGTAGAGGAGAAGGGTTATAGCGGAACGCCTCCGAGACAGGCTGCGGAGTGGTGGGAGGAGGGGGGGGGGGTAAGAGGCGATTTTTGTGAAGGGCGCGGATGGGAAGGAGGGTCAGATAAGTGGGTAACTACAAGATGGCAATGTGATAATACAGAATGATTACAACTGCTGTAATTCAAAGCTGCTGTATTTCAATATTTACTGCTGTATTGCAATGTGGTGGGACTAGCAATAAGCTGAAGAAAACAAACGTCGAACTCTGCGAACTTTCCAGAGCTCGTCGGGCAGTAAATCGTCGTCTGGGGACCGCTGTTCGTGCGTCTAATCCCCAGCAGGCCACCGTTGATTGAGTACATCAGCGGCGTTATGAAATAATGGTCACATAAAACCAGTTCAGATCATGTAATGTCATTCGCGAATTAAACTTGCCCGGCGTTAAGAGGCAATCCAAAGCTAGGCTGTCGGAGGGGTTGTTTTGATCGAGAAGCCAATCATACAAATGGATTTTGGTGGCGCGCCTGGGCTAACAGTAAAACAGCAAAACCACTCTGCCTTTAAACACTTTTAGGGCGATATTAGTTGGAAAGGCTTGAGCTCAAACTTCGTTCAATTTGCCAGCTGTTTCTGACGCACTGAATGAAACGTCAGCGAAATATAACTGAAATGTTTTGGTGAGATAGAGCGCCGACAAAAAGAAACCACCTACGAAGGCAGCAGTACCTAATTCGAAGCTGGCTTTCCTACATACAGAGCCTCGAGTTACTTTATGTCTACATTTAAATACAGCACCACTGAATACATTGCCGCTTCAAAAACTGCACCCATAAAACTACCGACAGCGGTAGGGCAAGCTCAAAGTCACGACGCACCACCGAGGCCCCATCGCTGCCATCGGTGCTTCAAAGTTCGGGCACTCAGACGGTTCGACCTGACTGGGAGCCGCTCAGGGAGGCGCCGACTGTCGCCGCACGGCACCCCCCGTCTGTCACGGCGACAGCGGATTGGCCGGGCGGCTGTCGCGCGCTGTCACAGTGGGCAGAGACGCCGGCGCCGGACAGTCCGACACATCCCTTCCACGCCTGACTCCGCTCACAGTGTACAGCGACACGTCCGTCTGCGCCGAAAATGCAATCAAAAGTCCCTGCGTGACTTGTGTGATGAATGATGATATAGATGCCGGTAGGAAAGTATTTTCAGGCAATCACTAGTGAGTATCTTGTGGTTTTATCCTCTTGGCACCCGAGAGCAAGGTATCAATAGAATCACCATAAAAACTCATTCCCTGGCTTAAAATAAGGTAAGTATGGATAAAATACTCTTTTTTTTATAAATTTAGTCCGAACCTTTTGATGGGAAGGATTCACAAGGACAGAGCCACCGCTAAGCGAAGCTTGTTGCGGTGACCCTGCCCTCTACCCTCCGATCGCGTAATTCCAGTTCTATGGCAGAATTTAGAGTCCAAAGTTTAACGTGTGCACATAGCCGCGCACGGCCGGTCCCCTCACTGACTTCGCCTGGCTACGGCCTGCCACCAACCGCAACCATACCTGTCAGGAGGCCCATAAATGTCAAGCGCCCGTCGCGCTTCGAACCCGGACTGTTGTAACCGGGAACGCGTGCTCTCACCACGCGGAGTCCAACGCTCTACCAACTGAGCTACGGGACCGGCAAGTCACAGTAGAGACTTCTAATTATGCGCATGCGCTGTGACCTGTACACTATAGTACACTTTCGGATTCGGGGACTACAAAAAATGGTGTATTACGTGAAAAATGACATTGCATTGTTTCGACAAACCTCCCTCAAAATCATCATAAAACCAGAGTGATTGTATTTATCAACACTTACTGTTGTGTTCGGCACTCTTAACGATCATCAGATACAGCAGCTGAAGGGCGCGCTGACGCTCACCAGAGACGGAGACGGAGCTGAAGAGTGCGCGCTGACGCTCACCAGAAACGGAGCTGAAGGGTGCGCGCTGACGCTCAGCAGAAACGGAGCTGAAGGGTGCGCGCTGACGCCCAGCAGAAACGGAGCTGAAGGGTGCGCGCTGACGCTCACCAGAGAGGGAGCTGAAGGGTGCGCCCTGAAGCTCCCCAGAAACGGAGCTGAAGGGTGCGCGCTGACGCTCACCGGAGAGGGCGCTGAAGGGTGCGCCCTGAAGCTCCCCAGAAACGGAGCTGAAGGGTGCGCGCTGATTGTCCACGGTGTTTACTCATTCGAACCTCCCTCGTGGAACTGATGGAAGCAGTCACGATCCGGGCGGCAGCAGAGGAAGATCTTGCACCTGCGGCACTCCATCCCTGTCTGCTGATGGCACCCGGGCTTCCTGCACCGCTTAAACTCCTTCCGAGGGTGGCACTTGGGGAGGTGCTTCCCTGAACGCAGGCGAGCTGGTGACGGCATTGGCACTGTGGCTCGACGGCGCTTCTTTGGATCCGGTCCGTCAGGCTCTTCTACTTCGCTGCTTCCTGAGCTGCTGTGGGATGAGCCATCGGAGCTGATGCCCTTCAGGAGCTGCATCGCCAGGGCATACTTGAACTGGAGGAATTTCATCATCTCGGCACCCTTGATGCCGGCTTCTTCGGCATCTTGCTGGTACAGTAGCCACGCATTGACAGCTGACAAGTCGAAGAAGTGAAGGATTGTTTTTACCGTCCACTTCCGAGTTCTCGCGCCTGACCTATAGTGCGCGATCATCCGATCATTCAGATCCACTCCTCCCATGTTGGCGTTGTAGGCCTTGACGACTGCAGGACGAGTTACGTCAATGTACGACCGACTTGTCTTCTGGTACCTTTTACATGTGTCTGAAGGCTCGACGCCGTGTTCGGTTGATCCCAACAGGATCATCTTGCGATCTTGCCAGGCCGTGAACGCTACAGCGTCGTCACTGCGGACAGCGCACACAGACGTCCCTCTTCCTCGTTTGGCGAGTTCCCTCTCTGTCGGCAGTTTGGCCTCCTTCGGGACCAGATTTTTCTTAATGGTACCAGTCCCGTGAAGCCCTCGAGCCTCCAGCTGTTCCAGGAGGCGGGACGTTGTAAAGTACCTGTCGAAGTACACGGATGTCCCCGGAACCAAGGTTTGCACCAGTCTCATCACCACAGACTCGCCCACCGTCCATGGCTTGCCTTCAGCGCCTCCGTCGTCAAGCTTCTTCCCTTGGTAGACCTCGAAGTCGAGAACGAGTCCTCGCGGTGATGCCAGCACGAAGTTCTTAAGACCTTCTGGGTGAGGCTTTCCAGGCACATACTGCTTCAGTGTCGTTTTCCCCGTGAAAGGAATCATCTGCTCGTCGATGGACACCTGAGGAGGCCTTTCCTGCTGCAGACAGCCACTTCGAACGCTTTCGACGAGGGGACGCACCTTCCACAAGCGGTCCTTCTTCTGCTCATCGGTGACGTCGACATCATTCACTACTTTCAAGTGTCCCCGAATGAAGTGGAAACGATCCCGAGTGAAAGCGTCTGCCACTGCTGCGATTCGCGTTGGTTGTGACCAGTACATGCGTATCCAGGGGAACTTGAGCACAGACATCAGCAAGCTAGCCCCGAAGAACTGCTCGCACTCGTCGTTCTTCAAGAGGAGGCTTTTGCCCGTTTGAGCGACCGCATGCTGATTAGTTCGCAGCGCGATGGTTCGATACATTTGAGGAGGGATGAACACTTCCATGTACTCTCGGGGAGTCTTCACCCGAGCCTGGGAGGGACCTGACCTCTCTGGGATACATCGGCCAGCATCACCAGCTCCCTGCTGGCGAGACTTCGGAACGAACTCCTCCGATCTTCTGTAGAACACGCGCCTGGACAACGGATGCTCGGAAGGACCATCGTCATCTCCGGAAACACCGTGTGCATCGTCATCGCTATCGTTTTCTGGCCCTGAGGACTGAATTTGGTCTGGACCAGGACTGAAGTCTTCATCAGAGTCATCGAGGGAATCATCCAGGTCGGAATCTCTCAAGGACTGGAGGTAGGTGGCGATCTCCTCTGGGGTCCTCAGGACACCTTGGAACACACACACGGTAAGGAGGATTAGATAGGTACCTATTTTGAATGAAATAGCTAGCTAAGTATGCTTGCGTATCGAAAATAAGAATGAATCATATTATGTATGAATCATAGTGTTATGTGACGAAAGTGTACCATAGTAAACAATTTTTGTGGGTGCGATTACCTGGTGTGTACTATAGTGTACAACGCGACCTAATTTGCTGTAAACTAGGGGAATATTTGACACCAGGAAGGGAACATGAGCTCTTTTGGATGTTTATGTGGCTCAATGACAATATATCGCGCTCCATTGGAAATTATTTTACGAAAACATATTTTTTATAGAAAATTACTTCGCTCTGCCGAATGTACACTATAATGGACATGACCTATTTGAACCACTTGCCTTCATGTGAACGGCTCTATATTTATTTTTGCACCTTAGGGGAATCACCCAAGCTTCACTTAAAACGGACCAATAAAAAGATTATTAAATTTTGCACGAAATGCACGAAAATATTAAATTTCCCGAGAGCTCACCTGAAGCGCGCTTCCCCCGCGAGGACGCCATCACTAACGACATCCGGTGGCAAAATCAAAAAGCGTTGTCGAGTGAACTGACCAACAGGTGGCAGGCCCGGAGTGTCAAAAACATAGGAGAAACTTAATCGAGAAGCTGACACTGAGAGAGGCGGTCCCAGCCGCCTAAATGTCAGTGTGTACCAGGGGGGTTCGCTCCCGTGCCTTCAGCATTACGAAAAATGGCAACAGCCCGTGAGCAGCATCAGCGCTCACGCACATGTTCAAGGAAAACGACATGTAATGGACTGCTAACGACGGCCCTCTCCACCAATCAGCGCTCGGCATCTCGAGCGCTGATTGGCTGGTAGCAAACGCGTCATATGTGGGTCTCATTTTTTGCGATCAGTGAACGCGTTATTTAATATACAGTGGCCTATGGAGTGTGGTGCTGTGGGGCAGTTCACCACATATCAGTGACTGGATTTTTACGTTAATCAGAAATGGAGAATATCAACCTGGTGCGTGTTCCAAAAATTCAATCAGTTCGATCCAAACGGCCCCAAGTAAAAGAATTAATTAAAAGAGCGGGTTGTTATATTTAAATTACCAAAACGAAGTCAAAAACCAAAACAGCGAATCAGACCATGGAGCGACGAAGAGACGAGAATGAAATCCAAGTTGGCCTATGGAAAAATCGAACAAGAATCACGTCGGGGTCACCAATATGTGGTGCTGTGGGGCAGTTCACCACATATCAGTGACTGGATTTTTACGTTAATCAGAAATGGAGAATATCAACCTGGTGCGTGTTCCAAAAATTCAATCAGTTCGATCCAAACGGCCCCAAGTAAAAGAATTAATTAAAAGAGCGGGTTGTTATATTTAAATTACCAAAACGAAGTCAAAAACCAAAACAGCGAATCAGACCATGGAGCGACGAAGAGACGAGAATGAAATCCAAGTTGGCCAAATATGCCCTACCTAATCTAAGTTATAAATCCCGGACAGAACGGGCCAAATCGCGGAGCCAGACGTGACGCGTCTGCTCGGGCCAAGAGCTCGGCCAGAAGTCCCGGGGGAGCGCAGCGCGCGGCCCGACGCAGCGGGCTGGGCCCCAGACATGCGCAGAAACACTCTGACAACACGTGGCTGCCGATCGGAGCGCGGATTGGTCACTGGCCGACGCACTGCGGCAGCGCAGGATGCAGGCACGCGGTCGCATCGTGATGGGACAAAGTTCACGAACAGACACGTCCTGGGCCGCCCCCCCAGCGCCGGGGCGGGGTAGCGACGTCACAAGTCGGCGCGCGAATCGGTCTGCGCCGGGAACTCCCGTGCCGGCCGGCGACACACGTGGTTACCACAGGAGAATGGCACGCGGAACTGAAGGTCAGTGTTTTATTGCTTCGTACTTGCGAATGGGGGTATTTGAGTGGCATTTGACACCATTTTCGAAATCTACAGTGAATTTCTGATCGACTCATGTATATATTTTTATGAATTTGACAGTGTTAGTGCTACATAGTCGGTGTTTTATGTTGGTGTTGTTTCTCTCGACCTTTGTCTTGGACTCTTATCCTATCTTTTCTCGAAAATGCTTGCCATAACCAGGTCTTAACTGTATCTGTATAAAGGGAATATGTGTTGAATATGAGGAGAAGGTAGTAATGACCACTCTGCCTATCAAACTGCCAGAAGGTGTGCTTGTAAGGTGATTGAAACTGCAGTACGGGTTGCAGATGTGGGTTTGACATTAGCATTGTTGTTGTAACCCCACTTGCTCTAATAAAATGGCAACATGGGGTTATGTACCCACTATTGCACAGCCTGGTATCAAGCTGGTTGATATGTGGAGGATAATGAAAGTATAAAAACTTTTCTTTAGTGAATAGGAGTGTTGCGTCTTGTGATTTATGTCAAGTCATTTTAAATGAAATGATTGTGATTGTAACTTTTACTTCAATTATTATTGCTAGTTTTGACCTTTTTAATCATCAAGTTTAATGTGTACCAATTTCATATGCCTGTGTAATGTCTGTGCGGCTTTGTGCAGTGAGCGTGTCTTGAAACAAACCAATTTATTTTGTACCCTTTTTTTACCTCAACAAATGTATGTCAAAGGACAAAAATGTCATGTCTATTATCATTGACACTACTACAGCTAACTTTGCCTATATTCCTATCTTTCAGAGGCATTCATCTGCTTTCCAGTGCAGTACCTAGGAGGCTGCAACTGAAACTCGCGCAAAGGCAACCAAGTGTCACTTCATCAGCCTACAGTAACAGCCCATCTGTAATCAAGATATGGGTGAAGTGGCATAGAAGAACAACCAGTAAACATGAAAAGATGTATTTTGTTTTGAACTATTTCTTAGCATAACAGAACAGCACAATGCACACTTACTGCTTTTTATGTTTGCCCTGTGTGCAGTTTTGAATAATTTTAACTATGAAATGCTTTTGCTAACTACTCTCTTTACATAAGCTTCCTTTGTCATGCCTGTGTAATTTTGAGTTTACATGCATGATGTAGTCATGTTAGCATGTATTTCCCTTGTCTTCATAAAACTACTTCCAAGCATTTGTTATGGACATTGGTGCTACCTATATATGATGCTTCAGATGTGTCCAGTAGTTGATGAAGGGAGAAGAGTAGTAGGACAGCTGATAGGCTGATAGCTATTACCAAAAATATGTGCTTGTCTGCACTTCGGGCTGTTCCATCATATGCAACCTCTATTTACTTCCTTGCGTTAGAAACACCCCATCTTTTGTTTCTTTCCTGTGCGCCCATTGTTTCCGTGGTGCTATAAACGTCAAGTTTGAAGTTGGTATCCAAGTGAGCAAAAGTTGCATTATTTCAGGCCGTCTTGAATCATTCGTCTTGAATTATATCCCTAACTGACATCCTGTTATTTGTCCTGCAATGTCTGTCATGCCTGTGTCCGCCCTTACCTCCGGCTCCAGCCTCCAACCAGGCCTGCTGAGCTCTGTCGCCGGCGCGGTGTGTCGCAACGTGCTGTTTCTCCACTCCACCCGACAGCTGCTAGGAATCGTCCTGTGCCATGCGCCATGCGACCAAGGCTATATAACCCATGCGACACAGCAATTGTAAGCTGCAGGTCACATTCGGACTGATTGGCTCCGCGTATGTGCATCCGGCCGGGTGCTAGTCGATATCAGGGACGTGGGTCGGACTGTTGTGGCGGCGTGCACTGTGCTGGTTGAAGTTGTTGTATTTCTGTTAGTGAAAAGCATTAATACATAACCGTGGCCGCAGCCCAATGTTATTGTGGATTTCAGAGGGAGTGGCCAGTCAGGAGGGCCCCATGTGGGTATAGATCCAGTGTCCAGTGGGATTGGCTAAGATTTCCGGCGATTGATAAACGCTTCTATGATAGTAAACCTATTGAGTTATGAGGGGAGGTCACGTGAGGGACTGACCTTACTAAACTCTTGTGAAAACACGACACATACGAACGGTAAGAAACTGACAGCTCTTCTTTCTGCCAAGTGTCATCTTTCTGTGAAGGATTTCTTGGCACTGAGTGTCCAGAAATTGCGTTGCTTTTGGATTGTGTAGAGGCTCACGAGTGACAACATAACATAGGTCAACAACCTGACGTACCTTAAATATGCGACTTGTACCAGAAGATCCAGCTTGATCAAAAGATTGTACATGTCAAATTTCAGCTCTTTAGCTCAAAATAATTTTGAGTTATCGTAAAAGCCGTCAGTGTGGCACCGTATCGCCTCCCCGCGCGGTCGGAAGGTAAAAGTTCGCCGGCTCTAACTAAACAAATAGTCGTCGTATCGCAAATTCATTGACGGCGTTCGAAGCGTCGTTCAATTTACTTTCGAAACATATCCTAACATTAACATTTATCTGCCTAGCGCAGTCTCCAACAAGCAAAAGTTCCGTGCATTCATCCCCATACAGTGTTAGCGGCCGCCGGCCGCCGGCCGCTGACCCACATTCGCGTCATCAGGGAATGCCGCAACTAATTTATTGTTTCCAACTTTTTTCCCGGAGCGTTCTACCTGGTTTATATAGCCTTGGTGTGTACTATAGTACACAAAAAGAGCCAAGAGGTTATAAGAAATATATACGTTTCTGGTAGAGTGGCACTGACGGCAATCTTCTACAGTGTACCTAATGCCATTACGTAAAGCGATTACACAATCTAACAAAGCGCAATATGAGATTCGTTGGGCCTTTGGCAGCCCAATTATGTTCGTATGTTAGCATATGGAGAGTATAACGAGATTGGAACGCCAGGATAAGTGGCGAGAGAACGATGAATGGGTGTGATGAAGTGTAATTGTGACGAACAAGGCAGAGTTAGGGGAAGTATTACGAATGAAGCAGGCTTTGTTTTACATGATGAACGTAACGATGCAAGTTCGATCAAGCGTGCATGTGCTATTGCTACGTGCTATGTATGCTATATTATATGTGCTATATATGTGCTATGGCTATATGTGCTAATAGTGCTATTCGTACCTTCCGGTACTAAACATTAAACCCCACCGCTCTCTCCCAACTATGCAGACACCGTCCCATTCTTACCTTCCCGCGTGTGGGCGCCTCCTCAGCGATCACCATCCTCATACAGGTCGTCTTCCCGGCGCCGTTCGGCCCCAAAAGTCCGAACACTTCGCCGGCATTCACGGCGAAACTGACGTCACCCACCGCCTGTAGAACGCCGTCGCCACCGGCAGACTTCTCAGACTTGTCGTGAGATCTGTACAGCTTACATAGGTTCTGTAAGACAGGGAGAGACGGTATTCAGGTAGGGTGAACGACGGTGAAAAGAGAGGAATTATGAGGGGCGAGCTGGGAGGGATGACGTTTGGGTTATCAGTATTCGGAGTTGACGATATTGCATGCATTGTTAATGGTATTGATTTTGCATCTTGTTTTGTGAAGGAACGGCGTGTGGCTGGCGGTACCACAGATGACATGCCAAACACATGCAACAGAATCGAAAGAAAAATATTCGGTCGAGCCCCGGAGAGCGCACAATTCTTTTCACCAGTCAACAACACGACTGCTTAGCGCTTACATTACGGAAGGAGCACCCATTTTCGTCGCAGCGCAGTAAAATTGCATAGAGAGCTGAGACCAAATGTTGGTGGCAGATATCGAGTAATAAGTAAAAGTCGTTCCGATATGGTGAAATACTTTGACGACCCAGCTTGAAGATCATAATACTTCATAAACACGACGTCATAGATTGTATGAAAATCCAATCATGACAAAACACAACCAATTGGACGTTTTTTACAGGGACCAGCCACAACCTACCGGAATCTCTCTCTGAGGCTAACCTGGGTCACTCTCACCAGAGTCGCTGCCACACTCTCAATTGGGCAGCTCAGTCTCACTTGAGTCTCTCTATCTGACCCCAGCTGAGTCGCTAAGACGGATTTTCTCACCATGCCCACTCTCACTATCTCACCTGAGTCTCTCCCATTCTCACCTGAGCAGCAATGACGGGCGCCGGGCCGGTCCACGACCCGTCCATGATGCGGTCCACCCGCTCCCGTACTGCCAGTACGTCCTGATCGGGCTCCCCGCCGTCCGCAGCAGGGCCCTCCTCCATCTCTGCTGCGTCACGGGTGTGTTTCTGTAGACGAGCAGGGGTAGGTGAGGGGTGGAGTGCTGCGATGAAGAGCTGATAAGTAGCTTACTTGAAATTTAGATCATGAGAACCCTATCGAAATATTCTCCTTTGGTTATCTACCACATAAGCGCAGCTGTATGAAAACCAGACCGCAATGAAAAACTATAAATTCATGTCTAAGCACAACTGAGTATTGCCAGAGCATGCCAGAAGTCGGCGACATCTGTTGGCTGCGTTCAGTGGCAGACGTCACGACGAAAATCGACACATTTCAACAGTCACATGACAATATTTCCTAACGCAGGAAACGGGTCGGAAATTCGCTCACGATACGTGGCAGCGACAGCGCGGACTCCTAGTGTCCAGGGGTTGATACCGTGTCAGTTTGGTGTGACAGTGAAAGAAGAACAAGTTGTATTGTGTCTGACAGTTTTGGGATACAAATGGCTGGCACGACCTAGTCTGCAATGTTGATAGGGTGATCTGATAGCGCCATGAAAACCGTGATAACTTCATACAATGCAGGTGAGTAGCCATGTCAAGGTGAATGTGCTTGTTCAATCGGAGGGTAGAGGTACTGAAATCGTTTTCGTTGTGATTAATAGTTTAACTAGCTCTTAAGGTGGATTCAACGTGACCTTATCAATAAAGAGAATTGAAGTCTGAGCAAATCTACAAAAGAGCAAAAGTTCCTTCAAGCCACATCATACAAATATCTTATCTACATGCACAAAGCACTAAGATACCAAAAGGCTTAGAGGTTTTCCTACTTTCACTGTAAAACAGGAGCCAGGAGCCCTTCCTTTCGCACTGAGGACCACATAACCCCATAACAGCTCCTTACCAGACTAAACGTCCCCCCCCCCCCGAGTCTCACCCGGAGCCTCACACCCCCAACATCACATACCCTGCTCGCCAGATACGTACCCTGCGCGCCAGGCAGCCGGGCTGGTCGTTGTGCGCGTTCTTCTTGGCGTCGACGCGCCGCAGCACCAGCCAGAGCAGCGGGATCTGTACCAGCTGCACCAGCAGCGGCACCAGAAACTCGGGAGCCGCCCAGTAGTCGGCCGCCTCCACGTCTCGCTGCTCAAGGAGTCTCACCATGATGTACGTCTGTGGGTAGGCAATGGTGAAGTTGAAAAGGGTGACGGTCGTGAGCCGTCACATATGTAAGGTTGTTATCAGCTGGGAATTGCTGGATTTATGTATAGCGAACAGCGAACATGATGATTTGGCGAAGAAGGTCATATTGTAAATGTTGTTTCCAGGCATCTCATTCGGTCCCATCAGTAAAATAAATAATCAACTTAACACATAATTAACAATTAAGGCAGAACCACCACGGCTTTCACCTAAATAGATGCCATCACGAAATATTTCAAGAACCGCGACATCTACACCGCTATTCACAACGAACACCCACACGGCCAGCCCGGCCCGGGCACCCACCTTCGACAGATAGTAGAGCGCACCACATGGGATGTAGAACGGATCGATCAGGCAGAACACGTAGTGAAGCGGCAGGGCCACACCAGAGTCGGGCAGCAGTGAGTCCAGCAGGGAGACCAGCATGTAGGGCAGCATCCCGCACATGATGGCCACGTTGGGGTACACGGACATGGAGGTCTCCAGCTTGTCGAACATGTAGGAGACGATGCTGGCGAACAGCAGGCCGACGAAGATGTACTCGAGGTAGAGGACGGCCAGCATGGAGAAGGCCGGCATGGGCTTCAGCAGGGTGACATCGGCAGCCTGCACCACGATCAGCATGATGACCCTGATGGAGAACAGAGAGGCAAGGAGGCTAGAGGTCATTTCGAGTCCTCAGCGGGTTCTTAATCTCAAATGACTGGTTCAGAATGTATCTATCAATTCGGAAAATGCATATTCGACGAATTAACATTCCTTCGCTGCATGTAGCGACGTGCAAATCAATGAAATAGTTATTGTGCGGTGCACTACAGCAAATCATCAACTGCGACAGAATTAAGAGCTTATTCGATGTGAGAATTAGCATTCAGCATACACATAAATCTATAATGAGCTAATCAAGGGGACACAGATCGCTCTTAACCATCAAACGGAATTCAAATTGATGTCAATCGTGAATCAACAACATACAGGCAGACACGTAAATCAGTTGCCAATAAGGGATCTGATAGAAGCCCCAGTCCCCTTTCCGGATCGCTGAGCGCTTGACGTACCACAGGGCGAAGAACAGGCCGAACACGACGATGAAGAACGACAGGAAGTAGGTGGTAAAGCTGAGACCGTTCACTCGGAGCTGGTTCCGGATCTTGAGCTGAAATGGGAAATAAGAGTCAACAGCTTGCAGTCAACAGCAGACAACTGAAATCGACTAAATGGGGGATCGTGAGATTATAAACAACCCAAACTAATCCGCACTCGTCCCCTCCCCAACTAGCTGCTTCGCCTTTATTTCATCAACCCCTCAGTTACTCCCTTTTCTAATTCCTCGCATGCTATAATTCACTTTTTCTCCTTCCTCGTCTTTTTCCTTTCATACGCCTTCCCTATATTTATCTATTCCTCTCCGAAACATCACCTCTCCACGTCTCTCACTTCTTCCCTTACCCTTTTCTCTATTACCTCCCTTCCTTTCCCTTCCTAGCGCTTTTCGTTTTCCTCTAATTTCCTGTCATCATCCTTCCTCTCCCAAATTATCACCTCCTAATCCTTTCCCCTTCAGTTCCTCCATTCCAGCCTTTCCTGCCTCCCTCCATCCTCTCCCCTCCCCTCTTTCTTTTCTCACCTCTCTCTCCTGTACCAGCTCTCCAGCGATACTGCAGGGCACCATCAGGAACAGAAAGCCCACCATGAACGACGAAAAGAACACGCTCGAGTCGAAGTCCAGCGTCACGCCGCTGGGTAGAGGATGGGAGGTCACCGACAGAGCCGCGGAGGAGTTGAACGCAGACTGCAGCAGCTGACTGGAAAGCAGAGAGACGGAGGGACCGTCAGAGATGGAGGTGTTCATTGGTGCAGTGGTCAGTATTCTAACGAAAAATGGCCAACCTGAGACTGAGGGACCATGGTGCCCTTACGATGCCAAAAATGGAGCGCCCTGCCATCTATCGAAAGTAACTGAACTGTAGTTTCAATATCAGGGCATATGAAGTTTTCATTCAATGAAATGCAGTGCCTAATGAGTGATGATGTTATTTAGATGCCAGACAACCATAAACATATCTACACTGCTAGCTAGTCGGTTCCAAAACCTAGCAAGGGTCACATAAGCCCTGATGAAAGCAAAGTACCTAGACGGAAATCAGGTATCCTTAAGAGTTTCCGACCAGTAACCAGCAGGATACCTTTCACCCACCCACCTGAGTCTCCCGTTGTTGACGGCGTTCAACACCACAGCCGGCGAGTGGATGGCCTGGTCATGCAGCACCGCCGCCGCCTCACCGGCACTCGTCACATTCAGCCCGGCCAGTACAGAGTTATTGAGCAGCGCCCGGTACGAGCCGTTGAAGCTGTCCGCCGGCAGACCCCATCCACGCAGCACGGCCGGGTCCAGAGCAGCCCCCGGCTCCATGTGGTACAGCAGGGAGTAGCCGGGGTAGAGTGTAGCATGGAGCGGCACCTGCGCCGGGCCGCCGCTCGATCCGCTCGAGCCGCGGTTGATCATCAGACCCCCGATCATCATGGCTGCCGGCATGATCAGGATAAAGAAGATCGCGGCAGGTACGCGGATGAACGACAGAACTCGGATGCGGATCAGGGCGGCCATGGCGCGCTGCCAGGACGGCTGCAGCGGCACCGCCGGCGGCTCGGCCGTCCGCGCGGTCCGGGGCAGGTCGGACAGAGGGATGGAGTCAGGGCCATCCCCGCCGCCGCCCGGCGAGGGCACGCTGGGAGGACGGCCGACGGCCTGCTGCGAGGACCGCGAGTGCTCCGCGCTGCCCAGGCTGGCCCGCTGGTTCAGCACCGTTCGGGTGACGGCCGACAGAGGCTCCGAGTCAGCCGAGTGGTCCTCCGTCTCAGCCAGGTGCAGGAATACCTGTAGTGGCAGACAGGAATAATAAATCACCAGCTGTGCTTACAGGCACAAGGGTGATGTGATGCATGAGATAAGGAAGAAATAAATTGGAGTGATGAGACAATTTAGAGAAGCGCCCGTGACGCAAAAAAGCAGCACTTTATAACAAAACATAAACAAACTTCTCTGAAAGGCGTTTTTTTTTCGTATCAGAAATCTTTAGCAATAGCTTTAGCCTGTACTGTGTTGAATATAATAAAATCAAATACAAAGGGTGTCACCTTAACCAAGCGCGCATTGTCAAGTATTTTCACGAATACTCAGCTTACCTCCTCCAGTGTGGTGAGCGAGACGCCAAAACTCTGCACTCCCAGCGTCTCTTGCTGCTTCTCCAGTTCAGCAAACAGCTCCGGAAACCGACCCACCTAGAAACATGGTGGTTGGTCATAAGTTACCCAGCAGGGCGCTGGTTAGTGGATGACGGCATGGACGGTCAATCAAGCACATTGTGCAAGGTTTCGAGAATAGTGTGACACGAACAAATTACTAAAAAGACGGATATCAATGACAAAGACGCTCTAAAACAAACGACGATTGCCAGCCAAAATATGCTGCGTATGCACAATACGCTTTCCACCATAATTCACCACATCCCCAGCAGCGAATCCGTTTACGGTCAGATTCCCCGTACTGACCGACGCCATGGGTAGTACGAATGTGAGCTCGTTGCCGTGCGCCCTGCCTCGCTCCCGTGTCGGTATGTACGACACGATGATCTTGTCCACAGCCTCCAGACACGGCGTGGAGCCCTGCACGATGCTGAAACACAGAGGGGGATGGCAGTCAGATGTGGCTGGTTGTGGTACTACGCTACTCTATCTAGTCAAAGGCGAAATTGAACCGGAGAGATGTGACAGAGGTAGATTCGTGAGTTTGTTTATCGACTGGCAACACGTAACGCACATGCTAATAAATAGGATGGAAGCGGATGCAACGAGTCCCAAGAGGGCTCTGATATAGCCATGGCAAATAATCCGACACATAACTACCAACAGATACTTCTACCGGAGCATGCACAAGCCACCCAACGCCTAATTTACTAATTGATTACGCTAGCATGAGAGCCCACCATGCAACATCTCTCATCATCTCTGCCTTCTGCCCTCAATCTAAGCCTCGCATCTCCCATTCGGCGCTCACGTGAGGTGATAGCCGAGTCCGAAGCGATTCTTCAGAAACATGGACGAGCCGCAGCAGCGCAGTTTGCCGGCCGACACGATCGCCTTTCGGTCGGCCAGGATGTCGGCTTCGTCCATGAAGTGGGTGGTGAGCAGCATCAGTCGGCCGTGTTTGCGTCGCTGCAGCAGACTCCAGAGGTGGCGCCGCGAGTACGGATCGACGCCAGCCGTCGGCTCGTCCAGGATGATGATGCGGGGGTCACCGACCAGCGCTTGACCTGGGGAGTGGGGGAGGGGGTCATGGGATGAGTAAAGAGTTTGCATTGGGAAATGGACGTTGTGAATGTGTTTGCAAGTACAGTCAGCGTGTCTCATGAGAGTCTGAGTGTTAGAGTCTAGTTCTGAGTGAGAATGTGTCTGATAGGTGACTGTTGTATCATTTGTCAAAAAACAGCGTTCCTGCCGGCTCCCCTAATATCCACTATCCAGCTAACCAGTTCATAGCGAGATCCATTGCACTAAATAACGTAAATGCACTAAATAACGAGTCAACCGTTACATGCCAATTTTTATATAAATTATGCATTAATATAGACAACATATGCCATACAGCTGTATCAAAACACTGTCGACACTCTTCCTCCCCACACCAGCCACGTCTCATATTCAGCCAACTCACCAACGGAGAGTTTTCGTTTCTGGCCGCCGGAGAGGCCTCGCACCACTTCGTCTGCCTTCTCTAGTAGGTCCACGTCGGCCAGAGTGGAGTTAATCTCAGCCTGAACACGCTCTGGTGGGATGCCCTGAGGAGAGGTCACAGGTCAGGTCAATGGTGAGAACAAGTGGCAGGTCGCCCGGTTGAGCCATGGGTAAGGTCAAAGTAAGTAAACTCACTTAATTGCCTAAATCACATGACGGTTATATGTAGGATCACGGGTTTTGCTAAGGCCAAGTGTCATGAAAAGTCACAATGGACACCTGCATTCTGCAAGTCACAGGTTTACGGGTTGGGCGAAGGTCAAACACACGTCAGGTCAACGGTCAGATCACTTAGTCTTTTATCGGTTTTATCTAAGGCTTCAAGCATAACAAAACGGTCCGATTCAAGATTGTGAGCACAGCAGCTGCTCCACGCTTGTGAAGATAGCGCTATCACACGTCCTTGAGGGCGTTTTTACAGAGGTGTGTCAAGGTCTACTCTGGTCTCGGCGACTGGTGTATGAGGTTGTTGTGACACTCGTGTATATTGATACAATTGTGCATGCACAAATGAGAAAAGTTGAATTACATGCGTAAAAAGCAAGGCAAGAGGCTGATGGGGACATGGGATAGAGACGAGAAAGAGAAGAGACTAGCAGAGGCGGAAGTGAGGGAGGGAGGGAGAGAGAGAGAGATAAAGAGAGGGAGCTATATGGAGAGAGACCGTTAAAATATGATGCTGACTATAGCATGGAGCCAACAATCATGCAGCATATATTAACGAAAGGACTCGGCCTGCGAGCACGCGCCGCGAGTGGTCATTCGGGCCCAGTTACGCTCCTCTCACCCTAAGTGTGGCGATAAATCCGAGGTGTTCCCGCGGAGTCAGGTCATCCAGCAGTATGTCGTGCTGAGGGCACAGACCGATCATCCCCCACAGGTCGCGGAGGTCACCCGGGTCACTGTCAACAGAGGCAAGTTCAAAGGTCAGGCGGCGTCACACAGCTCTGAGGCCTCCTGTTGGAAGGATGAAAATAAGATGAATGAGCATATGTTGTCCCAAAATGCAACAAGAAAATTAACACAAACGTACGATACGTTTCCCATTCCTTTCCAAAGCATAAAATTAAACAGAACAACTCGAAAAGACGCAAAGCAGAGTTGTGTCAATCTTGCAGCCATAAACTACTCCGTTATGTTGCAGCTAATGTAACGTCTGTTCCACCAACACCTCACACCCCGCCACACCGTACTGCCCCCTCTCTCCCCGCCCCTCCCCCGAGCCACTGACGTGATGTCCAGTCCATAGATGGACGCCGTGCCGCTGGTGGGCGTCGTCAGGCCGGTCAACATGTTGAAGAAGGTCGTCTTGCCGGCGCCGTTGTGCCCCAGGATGGCGGTGATCTGTCCCTCGTACATGTCCAGGCTCAGGTCTGTGGTAAAGGTAAGGGATGTGAACTGGGTGATGGAGGGTATGTCGAGAATAGGCGATGGAAAAACGGAACGTGATGGTGATGGAACGGAATAGGTGATGGAAAACGGATGCTAATTTGGCTAAGATTTGCCTACACTGGAACAACATGCAATGCATTTTAATGAGCAAGCAAGGTAGTCAGCAATTACTTATATTACCTATTGTCATTTTGTTAACACCCATACATTTCAGAGATGATATTATCATTCCCAAACTGTGTACCGAGACGTCAATTAGAACAGGGGCGTGCATGCAATAGCCACCAGTGAAACGCAACGAAAACCTTAAAATGGACCGTCTCCAGTATAAAAGCTTGTGTGATCCGACCCCAACTTGCTGCAGCCCGTATCAGTCAAACCTTCCCTCTCTCGCCTTGCTCACCATTCACACTCCTCTCACTCACCATTCACTGCCACCACCTTCTTCTTGTTGTTGGTGAACTCCTTCCGCAGGGCGAACACCCTGAGCGCCAGCTTCTGCTTCACCTCGCCGGAGACGGGCTCGACGTCGGGACTCGAGTCCTGGCCGTCCAGCGCCGCGTGGTCGCCGTCCATGTCAGCCAGCAGCTGAGGGCGACCGAAGGGGTCACGGAGGTCAAAGAGAGGGGTAAATGAGGTCAGGGGCAGGTCAAAGGTCGGGTCGTGAAGGTCAAGATGGGTCACATATGTCCAAGGGTTAGGAGAGTTTTATATAGCTCATGGGTGGGTCACGTGGTCCATGGAAGTAAAAAATAAAAAATCCAGGAAACCACGCTTGAAGATAGTGAAAATAAAACGAAGAAAAAGAACATGAAAAACGTCCTGGTACGCTCATGAACTTATCTTAATATAGCTTGTTGCCTACCAGTGATCAGCTTACCAGTGATTTGTTCGAACCGAACCAGTAAGATTTCTTGAAAATAAAAAACACCGACTCCCGACGGCCGTATTCATCTGCAAAAAGTCACATTACCACTTAGGGTCAGCTAATAATTGTCCTCCTTAATTACAATGAGTCATCACAATGGACCTTAGAGCACAGGCTGAGATAAAGACAAGAAAGTCCACTTTTTCACTTAATTCATCTATCTGAAATATTCTTTACAACATCCTCCAAGGCAGCGTACGGATAGGATATCGCCCATCACAACACTAAATCCTGACACACTACATACAGCGCTAACTCCACTCCTACATCACCAACTCCACTCACTGGGCAGGACGTTATCCAAGTAGAAGGCCAGGAAGGCGTAGAGCACAATGTCCACGCACAGCATGACGATGCAGCCGCCGAAGGGCAGCCCGCCGCTGTCGTCCCACATGTTGAAGCTGTGTAGGCCGATCTTCCGATTGTCAAAGTCCACCGCCTGCGGGCGCGATGGCTCCGGTTAGAGAAATGTGGGCGGAATAGTGCCGTGGGCGGATTTATGTTGTTGGCTGATTGACCACGCAGCGAGTTTGGAGGATTTGTTTTTACCGGATCAGGTGCACCTTTGAGAAAGATTACACAAAAAGTAAATCCTAGACAAGGAGAAAGCGAAAGGTTAGCTATCCTATAATGTGAACATTCTGTTTTTACATTTTACCTGCACATTAACTTTATAACCAACGAATTAAAAATAAATAACAGATAACAGCGAATCATAGAATGTGCCGGCTTGTGCCATTTATCTTCTAGCAGTCGCATATCCCCACTGCGTTCGTCCCCCTCCGACCATCCTCCTTATATTACTCCCCTAAAACCCTTACACCCACTGCAGCAGCCACCTCACATACACCACAGTCATATACGCCCCAGTTTCTCACCCTATCAATGCCCAGAGTGAAGGCCACCGGACTGATGAGAGACATGAGCCAGTACACGCCGTGAGGCATTCCTTCCAGGTAGACTTGGAGCAGGAACAGCAGTGAGACCACGGTCACTGCCAGGTTACCCACACCGCCGGCCACCTGAGAACACGGAGGTCACGAGGTCACGAAAGGTTACCTACACCGCCGGTTATCTAAGGATGGAGGTCAAGAGGTCACGACAGGTTATCTAAACCACCGGTTATCTAAGGGCGGAGGTCACAAGGTCATGGCCAAGTTACCTAGAGCGTCGGTTGCCTGAGCGGAGAAAGGTCATGGGGGCACGAAATTACTCGCCCCGCTCGCTACCTATTGGATGTGGGACGCAGTTTGCTGGCAGCGAGGTGATAAGGACCAGCGAGTGGTGAGGGATGACAGCCAAGCATGGAGGTAAGTCATTTTGGAATGAAATTCACTCCTAAAACAACTTAACAGATCGTAAGAGGAAAACCTATAAAAACGGTGTCGATAGTATGTTGCAAAACAAGGTACACAAACCTCAAACACAATGTTAGACACCTCGTAACGCGTATCCGGTAACGGTCTGAGTATCACCCGTCCAGCCCACACCTTGGCCTTGGTGAAGAACGGAGTGAGCATGAAGCCGAACATGACGAGCGACCAGCCGTAGAGCACGTAGACCAGGTAGATGTAGGCGTTGTTGGAGTAGGGGAACACGTTGCTCAGCACCATGATGGCAATGCAGATGCTGGCCACGACGAACACATACACGGCGTACACCACGAACCAGGAGAACCTGACGGACAGGTTGGGTGGAGCTGTCACACAGGGGCTCGTTTGGGCACTCAAAGATGGAGCGGGCTTTTAGCTAACTTTAAACAGAAACATACTTGGTAATCACACTACTTCATAACAGCAACAAACAGGTTCTGCAAAGCCCATACGTTTCCTAACGGCTAACACAACAAACATGATTCAATGTCTTTTTAATACGGACATCACTTTTGAGAATGTTCACATTCAGTGGACAATACTCAGCAATGAAATAATCAAAAACGTTTGAAAAACAAGAATCACAACTAAACAAACTATGAACACATCACTTGCATTTCCCGGCAAGGAAATACTTATGTAACCGCCTATCAGCCGGCCATGCAGTATGCATGGAGTAGCTTTCACTCATTAGTGGACAGCAGCTGACATATATCATAAAACATGACCTCTCAACTACTGTTAGTTTCAGGTATTCCTGTCGTAATATGCCACTTACGCACTGGGATTATATCCCGCGTGTCTCACCAATAGACTGAGTCTCGGAGACCCATCAGCTTCAGGCCGTCCTTGATCTTGGCCTCCTTTTCTCCGACGATCAAAGTCAACAGGTAGGTGATAAATTGAGACAGCGAGATCGCCATATACAGGGGCACGAAAATGCGCAGAAACTCTGAGCTGTCTGAAAGCAGAGACGTCAAACACATATTAGTATTAGCTGCATCATCAGAGCTATAACAGTACAACGAGGTAAGCAGTGGTCACTGAAAGTAAAAAGAAAGATTGGCTGCAATTCCCAATTATAACAATTGAACGCATTTTTCCTTGTTGTGTATAATTAATACCTATGCACATTTGCTCTTGCGGCCTGGTACTATAAAGATCAAATAAACCCAGTTTCTAGTGCACACAGTTACGCAATGTATGCAGTTAACTGTTACGAGCGCATTTGCCAGCCCCACTTTTCTCGGTAATTAAAGTGACTCCTCTATTGCCCGTTAAGTCGGCATTTATCGTGACAGTGTGCCACGTAACAGCGCTTTCCGACGAGAGATATCGACAGAGTAAACTCGCTTTGTATGCGTTCGTGCAACTACTAATAGCACGCATAATTTTTTCGTCGACTATGAGCCGGAAATTCAGGTCAGTTAGCTATGGGACATTTTAGGATCAAAGGAAGTCGTCAATGTTTTACGATCGGGCATCGAAAGCCTGGTCGAAATACCGTTTCATCATAGTATTACCCTTTATGGATGCTGAGCGTTCGATGTCAGTCATGGCACGCCGCAATGATAAGAATATCGCCGTTTATAATGCATGCATCATGATAAGCGGTATCGCAACAGTCATACAAAATTACCAATTCCCAGGCAAAGCGGTGGCTAGTTGCGCCACTCATTACTTCCCCACAAAATTTAACGGCCGAATCATCTTAATTATTGCTGCGATCGATCCGGCGCAACTAAAATGCGGCACCGGTCTGATAACGGCTGCGGCTCGCTTTGACACTACAGTGACAGGGGGCGACGCGCGGGCGGCACAGCTCCGGTGGCGTCCACTTCGAACATACTGAGAGACACTCAGGGGCGGCGTGGGTCATGGTTCGGAACCTGTGTCTGCCAGCGCTTCCGCAGACAGTTCGCCAGACAAGGACCCACCGGCCGTCTGCACAGTGAAGAGGAGCTCTGAACTGCCACAGAGCCGCGGTGAAACGTTCCAGCACGCAAAGGTAAGTGAGAAAACATATTATAGTCGTGCGAGAGTCGCGTGAGACGTCCAAACGACGAGTTTCCCCCAAAGTCGTCCCACAATCTCGGGCCAGGGACACTAAGAGAATGTGAGGTTCATATAATGAAGGGTACATGGAATCAGGGCTGCGGAGTCGATGGATTTTAGGATGACTCCAACTCGACTTCGACTCCGGCTTCAAAAATCGACTCCGACTCCAACTCTATCTCCGACTCTGACCCCGGACGGTTCTATTAAAGTCTATATCATAATATTTGAGTTCAGAATGGAGATGTTTTCATCTTGCCTGAAACGATCCCTTGAGCGTTCCAAGGTGCGTTGCAAAGATACATTAAAAATAACATGTAGAATTAAAAAGCAGGTTCTGGGGCATTCACCGTCTTCTGCTTCTTTCGCTGAAAACGTTCGTCCAAAACAGCAAAATGGCCTTTTATCGATAAAACCCAATTTCGAGCACAGTATCGTCAATCAAACAGGCGCAGTGCATGGCGTTGAGCCATGCAGCGTTAACTCCGACTCCGGAGTCCGGAGTCGCATTCGGCAAGATTTTGGCGACTCCGACTCCGACTCCAGGCAGAATTGTCGACTTCGACCGACTCCAACTCCAACTCCGACTCCGACTCCGCAGCTCTGCATGGAATGACTAATCGCGTGACGCTTAATAGGTATATACATACATAGACCTATGTATACAGAGGTCTACGGGTATGATACATATTTTATCATATCTAGTTTCAAATCGTGAAATTATTGGTTTGATCGTGATTGCTTTGGTGATGCTGAACGGCGAACGCTCATAACTATACCTTGTAAATCAAGCCTTGATTAATCTCGTAATACTGATTGTAAAAAAAGAAACAGCGGCATTATGATGGTAACAAGTGAAAACTTATGAACTTTCCTTCTATTTCACAGTAGCAAGCTACATCGCTACAGAGCCGTACCAATAACGTTACAAAGCCCTTCACGATTATTTTCCGAAGCCAAAACATCACTTTTCTCCCACAACAATTTGTTCCGAGAAAACGTCAGAAAACAATAAAAAGGGCGTACTATTCCCGAAAACAGAACTATTAACATGTGTGCTGCGAATGACGACTGCATTTTGAGTACCGTAAACGAGGGTGACTTTGCCACGTTTCTCGAAAATGGTGTAGGGTGATCATAGTTCACTTTCCCGAAATTAGTTTTTTTACAATTGCTTTATTATTTTTTAGACTCAAAACGATCAGAAAATAAAATAAAACCTTTCTATGAAAGAAATTATTTTATATATTTCAATATAGGAAGAACTATATTATATATACCTATGTAAAATATTGTTTGACGCGGAAGCATTATTACGCGTTGACCAATCATATTGCGTAACTAGTATAGGTATACAAGCTCATTGGCTGTAAGCAGCATGCTGATTGGCTGACGATGACGTGGCTGCATTCCTCAGCAACACACTTTTTCGGAACGAGAAATGGAATATCTTCGACTAGGGTGATCGTTGGGTCGTAAAATCTTCTGATTTGTGCTAGTCTCAGCTCAAGCTACAAAACTGCATGCAATACCAGTTCAAAAACCCATGTGAAAAGTGAACTATTTCCTTCAAGAGCAAAAAATCTCTAATTGCTTTATTCTCATTTTAAAACAATGCAGGGTTTCTATTGTATGGGGTAGGGTTACCATGGTTGCCCTACCCCATACAATAGAAAAAGCGCTGGAAAAAATATTTATTAGCTTTGTAAAATCCTTCTTTAGCATTCACCCCTTTTCATTTTAACTTTGCCACGACTCTTTTTCTTAAGTCAAAAAGCTAATCTTCATCCGTGTTTTGAACGTAGAGTCGCCCCAATAAGTTTGCAAGCTTAAAAAAAAAACACAAGCGTCTAAAGTTGAAAAGGTGGCAAAGTTATCCCTGTTTACGGTATAGCTTGCGAAACGTAGCATGCGTTTTCACAGTAACTTGCGTACCTAGGTGTCTTGCGCAGCGATCTCAAACTAGCAACAATGCAACCATTTAATGTTAGCAGAATGACCTAGTCCTGCCTAGAGAGAGCGAGTCTATCCGGTCCACATTCATGGTATATGGGTTGAACATGTTGAACAGGACTGAAGAATCAAGCCTTTAACATATTCAGTGACGGCATGTACCCACCTGTGGATTCCTCGTGTTTCGGCCCATTCAGCATCGTAAGGTTCGTCACTGGCACCATCTGCTTGGATTGGTCCTGTAACATCAACGGAAGCGTCAGCAATGTAGCGCCAGACATCAGAATAAGCCCACGGCACGGCCAGAAAAGTCAATCGGAGATAGACAACGATTTACTGAATTATCTAAGAGCAGTATCGTTCAGAGTAATTGAACAATTTGTGGTTAAGCCTTGGCAAAATAATCGCCTTACGACCCGGACAGGACAAAGGATCCGTCCTCGAGCAATTTATGTACTTCGGCAATAGTAAGCCACAGCAATCCTTTCCGAGCGATGAAGAGACATTTGCGATGCTAAGCTCGACATTTCCAATCATAAAGAAAGGATACGGTGGCATAAACGGAAGACAATTTAGACACATGGTCCATACTCAAACAAACCTGATTATATGGAAACAGGAGTGCATGCAGCTTCTTAGTGTGTATAGCCTCCTATTATGCGTAATTATATTTGTGACGATACATTTAAAAATGTCGCGAACATACAAATGCTCGGAGCCAACTCCATATTTCGAAGCGCTGTCGAGCAAATGTGCTTACGCACACTTATTGCACACGACAACCGAGTTATAAATACTGAGTACACCACCATCAGAACACATTGCTTTACAATGATTCATCTTCTATAATAAAAACCTAGCCCTTCCACATCCCACGCCATCCTCACCTCCATCATAAGTGCGTCGATGTGACTCTGCAGCTGCAGAAAGCCGCTGTAGAAGTAGTCGTTGGTCGGGCAGGTGGCCGGGTTCTCCAGGCCTCCCTCTGCGCCCTGGCCGCGGCACTGACCCACGCCGGCCCATTTGGCTACACTCAGCATCAGTCTTGGATCGGTGCGGATTGTATACTCGAGGTCCCTCGTGCCCGGCTCTGGGGGTAGCACCAGACCGGCCACTATCTGCTGGGCCGGCAGTGCAGTGCTCAGCTGCTCGAGATCCGCCTCTGTGGCGTGGTACTCAACAGACGTGTTCAGTCGCGCCGCCAACCGGCGACCAAACTCCCGCTGGGCCGTCCCGTCAGGGGTGACATGGAGTTGGAGAGTGGGTGCCGCCGAGAGGGGGCCGGTGACCACGGCGGACCCGTGCTCTGAGACGACCGCCTGGTAGGAGGTCTCCGGCTGGACAGCGCGCACAATTGCCAGGATCGCGAAGATGTAGATGGGCATGAAGACCTCCTGCGAAAAAGAAAGGGGAGGGTGGTGAGAAGGGAAGCTGATGAACCGAGAAAATGATGCGGAGGAGAGGTTACAAAATTGTTGTATCGGCAAATGCATTGATTTGGTGTGACAGTTGAGATTACTAGTTTTGAAATTAAATAAATTCTGTATGACATAGCCAGCACTTGCTGAAAACATAGAAAGCAATGCGTTGAACTTACTGGCATGAAATTACACATACGAAAAAAAAAACAACAACGCATGGCAGCTTATACCGCTACGCCTATAAAATTAGCAAAGAACATCTTAGATAAATGTTAAGTACGTCATATCTTTGGTGGCAAACTAGGCAAAGTATTGCTTCTTGGTTTTACGTAGTGCGCAGTGACCTAGCTATGACGGCTAGCACAATGAGTACTGCATTTGAAGTGAGTTGAAGCTAGCTCCAGCGTTTACTGTCTCGATTCGCGTGCATTTAGATAATAACGGCGATAGCTTGCAGCTTAGCCGACTCACAGGAAAACGAAATTGATCTCAACGTTAATCAATTCATAATCAATGGCAACAAAGCGAAATACTACTGGTTAACTCAAGAAAACGAGCAAAAGCATGTTCGGAGGCAAAAAAAAGATAGACAAGGAAAATAGAGTAAAAAAGAAGAGGGCAACATCGATTGTTTTGCCTTTCACTCGCACAACTGAAATTATCAATAGGCAGCACAAACAAGACAAATGACTGCATCAGTTCCCGCAAACCCAAAGGATTTCACAGCACTTGACCGCATTAATAAAATTAGCCCGTGCGGCGAATAAGTGACTATTACTTTACGCCACTAAGCCTTACATAGTGGAAATAAGAGACACATCAATCAGCATAGTATCAATTATCACAATGAAATACGACTGCTGTCGCTGCAAAATGCCGAGGACAGGCTCCACTGTGCCATCAACGGAAACACGCGACATTCACGGAAACACGATAGCTGGTCAAATTTACATATCTACCATGGAGTAAGTAGTTACTGTTCACAAAACAGCCAACAGGCTAAAAACGGGCGAGAGAGAGCCACGCTAGAACTGGAAGGACCGTGCCACAATCTACCATCTAGTTACACCATTAACTCGGTATACGGTAAACTTTTGAATAAAATTATATCCGGTGAGCTGGGCGCGGGCAAGATCGGATGGTGGGTCCTTGGTGTCATTCGTAAAGAGCACCGCTTAGCGTGGCAACCAGGCCAAATCTCACCCATTTATCCATGATTCGGGCGACATTCTCTTAAATGTCAGGCGAATGACCGCCAACGCTAGAGAGATATCGTGGCGCTGTATTAAATAAAATAAAAGGACTGACAGCAAATGATGTATGCCTGCATTACAGCAACAATTATGTATGCCTGCATTAAGGTTGATGTTCCAAGATTGAGAAAAATTAATTAACACTGTAAGGTTAGATGTTTGCAAGTGAATGCTGAATTATTTCAAAGTTAAACGGAAAGAATGCCAACATAGATAATTGATCCATGAACTATGTACTATCGCATGGGGGCATCAAAAACAGTATGTAATGACAAAACAGCATGCGTTATTATCCATGTCATATGCACTTATTCATTCCAGCATCAAATGCCACGATTCTAACAAGTACGATTTATACAACAACATCGTTCCTCATAGGTTTGGAAGTAGGTTGGTAGTTAAGGTTAAACGCCGTATCTTGTGGACAAAGTGCTAATAGGAACTCTCCTATAATCGGGCAGAAGGCGACTCATCCACGTGACGTGCCTAGCTCGGGAATCGAACAGAGATGGATGGCGTAGAAGGCCATTGACTGAAGTCGCAGACCAACCCTGGATTATTCGGCCGTATCAAACTACAACGCGCCATTTCCAGTCTTGCTCACTCAACGGTCCGCAGCTTCCTGTCTCTCTAAATGGTGCGCCGTGTCCCGTCTTACCACCCCAATACGCTGCTTCTCGTCTAACTCACCACTGGACTTTCCTATCTCACTCATCCCCTCGGTGCGCCATTTCCCGCTTTCCTTGCCGATTCGCCGACTCCCCTCTGACCACATCAGTACGGTGTTTCCCGTCTTCTTGCCAGTGCGCCGTTTCCCGTCTCACTCACCACTCAACTATAGTCTGACAAAGCTAAGAAAGAACGGATTTAACCCTCGCCCGTATTGGTGTTTTTCCAGCCGCGAACGTATAAGGGGGGGGGGGGGTCCGTTGGACCCCCCCTTGCCGTTTCGCCCCTGATCGAGCTAGAGCTTCGCAGAAAAAACGAGCGTGTTGCCCGTGACGAGAGGAAGCCGATGATACCCAATTTTAAGGTCCTAGGTCATTGGTTGACCTTGCAGGTCAGGTCAATGACCCCAAAGGCGGGAAAATCGGGACCTGTTAGAACGTCGTAAAGTGTGGCTGCTATGGGGTTTTTCGGGGTGCTGATCACGAATATCATGCTAGTTTTGATCACAGATGATGTCTTCATGTATTTAGGCCAGGTCGGGTCAGGTCAGGTCAGGTCAACCGGTAAGGGTATTCGTAGTAGGTGGCAACCGCCTCTGACAGCTTCGTAACATGTTACGAAGGCACCAAAACTACTTCGTAAATGTTCATATGGTTGCTAAATTCGAATTCAACTCCAAAAACTGGCCTAGAAACATGTAAAACTCGAAAAAGTGAACCGAGGTTATCAAAGGTCAATGACCTGACCTGACCTTCAAGTGACCTTGACACCCATCCTAATGCATGGGGGCAACATCATATCACATGTTTGAACGCTTGAAACCACGAAAAGACTGCAAACGCGCGGCTAATGCGAGCCGACATAGGTACGCCGAATCGCGATTCCAGCCAAACATGGTCTCGAAAAGTAGGTCACAGGTCAAAGGTCATTTGGGTCAGGGTCATGAAATTTTCAGGATAGGTGTGAAATTGATGAACGCGAGGGTACTGAAAGTTTCGTCGCGATCGGCCGCTTTTTACAAGAGTTATTCGCGAAAAACCATGGGGGGGGTCCGTTCGACCCCCCCTATACGGGCGAGGGTTAAAGTGCAGCAGTTATTGATGCACGTACCTCTTTTTATATCCAAAGCACCTGAGATTATTTCTGTCAAATTTAAGCACCGGTACTCGGTAGGATATCTCCAATGTCCAATGCACGTGTTTTGGAGGCGCCTTAGCTCCGTTCTTTCTTAGGTTTGACAGACTATAGCGCGCCGTTCACCGTCTCACTCACTACTGTAGCGCACCGTTTCCCGTCTCACTACATGCGACGTTACCCGTCCACTCACCACCGTGGTGCGCCGTTTCCCGTATACTCACCACTGTGGTGCGCCGTTTCCCGTCTACTCACCACTATAACGCATCGTTTCCCGTCTCACTACATGCGCTGTTTCCCGTATACTCACCACCGTGGTGCGTCGTTTCTGTCTCAGTTTGATGGTGACGTTGCGCCGGACGGTGGCCACCATTTGATCCCACCAGGTGCGCCGCCGGCGGCCGGTCGGAGCGGCCTCCATGGCTGACCGTCCCGGTGCCTCCGCCTCCTCCGCGTCCGAGTCTTGGGAGCACCCCAACAGACCTCGGCTCTCGCTTCCTGGGGGAATAGAAACAGAGCAGTGAGATGGGGTACCAAGGCAGATGGGGCATAGATGACACAAAGCCGATATACGACATCCTGAATCGTCATCGTCTGCACACCACTGACACGATGTCACTGATGCGACACTGACGGTGAGGGTAGCAGCGCCGCGGGTACGTCACTTTCCGGCTATCCCTTCCATCGTTTGTCACTTCCCCGGCACCTATCGGACGCAGACCAGCTCAAGCTACCCCTCCGTCCTGCCACATCCACACGAATACCCGGCAACGCTGCGCTGCACCACTCCTCGCTCCGCACCGGCTACGATTGCACTGTTCCGTTGTGTCAATACCGAGCAGTGTCCACATGCTCGGCATTACAAATCGCCAAACTTGTTAGCAGAGTGGAGCAGGGTTAAATTATGACCCGGCACACTACCAAAAACAAAGTTAGCCCCCAGTGTACATTTCGGTCCAAAACGTAGCTTTGGACTTATCGCCTCCTACCTCTCGATCTCACGACTAACTATTCGACGACTGTCTCAGCGAATAAAGGGATGCACGTCCGTTCCAGACCGCTACTAGCCCTGGCTCAGCCGCTTACACTGCCGCCGTCACTATCGCCTACACAAGTCGGCTGGCTCCCCTTCCCCAGCGTCCCGGGAGCTACGTGGGAGGGCGTGACTGGAGGGGTCAGGGGACTCCCGCAAAGGCGGTTGAAATGAAGACCGATTTGCCCAGCGTGGGGGTAGGTTCAAAAGAGAAAATAATAAATGTAGGGGATGGAAGAAAAAGAAGCAAAACCTCCGGCACAGAAGAGCACGATCTACTCAGAGAAAGTGCAGTAGAGATCAAAACGTTATTAGCACATTACACCCTACGGCGCCGTGCGTGTTGCCAACTCACGTGCGCGCTGCAGCGGTATCAGAGTCCGTGCCTGCACGAGCCCCGAGCCTCGACTGGAGAACGACACGGCGACACGGGGCGATATGAAGGCCGGTGTTATCTTCCCTCCCGCCCATTCTGACGAGTCAGCGGGTGCGATAACACATACGTGTCGGGATAACCCAGGGAGTGAGTGGTACGTGGTAACCGTCAATTGCAAGCTGAGGAGCCAGCGATAAAAGCAATGACGGCTTTGGGACGAACATATCGCTTTGCACGATAAAGCTAAATTTAATGGGTAACAAATAACAATACATACTTTGATGTAAGGTACAAATTACCTAATGCAAAAAATAAAAGGAGAACACACAAGGGCGTAGTTTACTCGTGGCTTTTGATGACCATTGACCATGCCATGGATAAAGGAAAGGTCAGGTAAAAGGTCACGGCAGGAGCATTATGGTAGTAGCTGTTCCTTCTCATCAGCATTATGTATGCTGGAGTCAATTTTGCTGCTTGCAGAAATCAAAGCATTATCGTAATGCCTTCGATTTTTGCAATCAATTTTTATTTAAGAACCATAAAGGTTTTTAAATATCATGTGTAACGTGATGCGGATAAATATTGTGTGTGGATATGTAAATATCGAAGGAATCGCGTAGCTATAAATATTCGGCATCTTCAACAACCTCTTAACATTTATCGTTGTGACGTTCATTTGATGTGACGATGCATTGACGTCACTGAGTGAGTACACTGTGGTTACACGATTTGAAGATAAGATGACGAATGACGATTGTTTGACATGTGTTGTGTGACGTTTGAAGTAAAGCACTTAGCACACTAAAGTGGATGAATTCATGCAGTTTCTATAACTGGCTTTGAAAATGAGTAACTATCGCGGGCATCATCAGCGATAAGTCGTGAGATGGTTGATAAAACAGATATCAACTATAAGCTTAGTAACCGAATACAGACACTCTCTACTCGAAAATAATGAAGAGTAATACACATACTGCTTTTGCATCTTTGGGACAAGTGGAGTTGGATGTGGTTCAGAGCGTTCCTCAGTCCTCACTGGTGACATGAAGATCGTCAGCACTCATTTACGTCGCGACGGTAGACAGAGCCAAACATAAGCATGCAAGTGGAAGGAGATAAGCTGAGCGTTGCATTCTAAAATCCCAAAGCATTTTGATGCATGACCTCATTGATACATATTTCATTGACTTTTTCATGCATGTGAAAGTTCAGACCCAGCTCATACAAGGCCAGGTTACCAGGTCATGTCCTGACCCATTTCCTTAACCTCCATGAACATGAAGGTAGCATATGCACACCTTGCTCATCACTCACCAGCAGTTCTGCAATCCCTACCATAGCCTTCTGGCATCATCACAGGGCTCAGCACAGCATCCATGACCAGGCACACTACAGAGATTGTCTATTGTCCGTTAAGTACGGACCGAGTCCTCGCAATCATTAACCCGCGCCCCAGTGGCGGTCTCAGCCAACTTCGCCCTAGTGGGGAGGGGGGGGGGGGGGCATATGTTACCACCCACCTCTAACTCAAAAACTAAGAGGATAGAAAGACGCGGTAAAAAGCAGTCGATAGCTCTCAATGCGTACGTTTGAAAGTATTACGGTCATTTTTCATCTTAGAGCAACATTGGGGTCACCAGAGGTCATCAAAGGTCAAAATTTGCCAATTGTTATTATATTTTTCAGAAAACATGCCGTTATCTCAGGAACTATGGTAGCTAGAAAAACGCATGGTATAGCAATCGATAGCTTTTGAACTCTTCTTTTGATAAGGTCATTATCAAAATTGACCTCAGGTCAACGGTTTAGCCTCCAGAGGGCAAAAACTCCAAAAATAGCTGTTTTTACGAAAAGTGTTTTTCGACAATTACTTTCGACTACAAAAAGCGACGACATTTCTATTGCCAGAATCGTGTTCCTCTCGCCAAGACGCGTCGAATGAACTAATTTGATCTTGAAAGGTCAACTTGAAAATTTGACCTCAGGTCAAGGTCATGACCTGGCCAGAAAAGGTCATGTTGCATATCAGTCGATGCGTCTCGGCAAGACAAACACAATGAGACCATCCCCAGCGTTCTATCTCTTTCCAATCTCGAGTTATTGGCAAAAATCTGTTTGTAGCCTCAAATGACCTCGGATGACCTTTCTAGAGGCTATCAGCAAAAATGACACCTTGGTCATCACGGGTGGTCCAAATCATTGTGATTCTGAAATATTTGGACTGTTCCTATGCGTACACACGGATCTAAAGGCATTTTCATTTTTCTCCATTGACTTGTAATGGAAAGGTCATGCCACTGACCTGACCTTAGGTCACGGATATAAAAAATCTGAGATATACAAATTGTATGCGCCCATAACATCATGCAATCCACCAAGTTTGAAACCTTTCTGACAAACACTGCAGGCTGGACATGATTGCAAACTTTTATAGGCTTGGTTAGTTAACTTGACCTGGTGACCTGGCCTGACATGACCTGGGGTAAAAAATTTCACACATTGTCCAAAATTGATGTACCAAAAGCTACCCCAAGCGGCGCGGCGCATAGCGCCGCGGTTTTTTATGTACACGCAAAAAATGTGACAGGGTGGTAAGGTAGGTAACATATGCCCCCCACTGGGGCGAAGGTTAATGGAGGGGAAACATTGCTGCTGTTTTCCCAACATAAAAATATCAACCACAAATATTTGCACATAACAGCATGCATGTATTGCCCTGTTTTCACTATCGTCCCAAAAACCGGTGTCATTTTAAGGTCCTTTAAACCGGACCCTATGGGAGCCAGTCCTGTCACAGTCACAGGATCATAAAAAGGGCGCTCCAATTTTGGCTTATTTCCCTGGTACGTCACCACCAAGGTCACCACTCACCAACAACTGACACTGACACCAGACATGGTCTTCAGTTGTTTGTGGGAAACGTAGGTAGATACAAGGCCAAATATAGAGGTAGATAGGTTGGCATTAGAAAGTCAACACTCACCTAAGATATTGTTCTGCAGCGTTAATGACTTGATAAACAGGTTTTGGACCTTTCCTTCGCTCGCCCAAAGCTACATTATTCATACAATATACATGCTATATCGCCTTAGCAATGTCCCCTATCTCTTCGTCGTCTTCGTCCGTTCGTCGTCGACACTCGACACCCACACCCGGGCCCAATCTTATAAACGCCGTGAAATGGATATGGCAGCACTCTAAGGCTGGATATATAGTACGCAATCTTATAAAACTCTGTGAAATCGAAAACACGGCACGCTCTTTACGGTATTGGTAGCCGCTGGTTTTGAGGATACCGTAAACTGATTTTAACCGTGAGCAGCTGTGCACATCTCAAAACACCGACAATCATCAGCTGTTTGCGGTTTCAGCGGCGTCCATTTCACGCCAGAATTTGTGGCGTACTTTGACGAGCTTCTCAGACAGTTTAATTGATTTAAGATAAATTCCATGTTTTTATGATATAAGTACGCAATATTTTACATTATGATATTTCTAAGATTAAAACATCCTCCACATATTAACTCATATTTACTATAATGATGCTTAATTAGACAGACAACGATCAATTTCAAAACATGTATTTCCAGGAACTAAATGCACACTAAAACACATAAAAACGAGTGTTCATCGTTATATGGCTTTATTTTTCCAATAAAAAGGGGATTTTTAAGAGAATTTTAGCATTAGTAACCGTCTTAGATTTTCGGCAGCCACTGCATTATAGAATCGGTATGGGTCTTTAGCCTATTCTCACGTCTCACGTATGACACAAATAACGGGCACTTCATGGCTTCTGATTAGATATTTAAATTAATGATGATATACCTTAGTTTGTCAAAAAATTATAAATGCCTACTCACCATTCGTATTTCCTCACTTTCTGTTTGGCACAGTCACTGATCAGTGATCAATCTGTTGTTTCTCTTCCTGCATCTCGATCTGACTTCTGAACCAAGTATTTTTCTTGATATAGCTTTGATATGTAGACTGGGTACTTAAATCTTTTGAGGAATTGCTTTTTAGCTTTAGGCTAGGTAATAGGTACAGCCCACCGCTAAAGTAATGTAGGGTTTTACCAATCTCAACGGTTGGCTTTGACTGGCGATTGTTTAATGCGGAGTGATCGAAAAGAAGATGTCAATAGCTGAAGTTGCAGCTGCAAGGGTGACGATACATATAAGCTACATTCAAAGTTTCATTGTAGTCTGGTTAATCGTTCCTAAGCTTCAGAAGCAGAACATACCTATGACTGAAACCCCACATTACTTCTGCTGTGGACTGTACCTATGCTTGAATAAGAAGGAAAATAAGCTGTGACTTGACCTAATTCAGTTCATGTACGTAATCTTCGAATTTTAGTAGCTTTATCTTCATGAAGACAAGAAGGAAAATAAGCTATATCTTGAATTGATCCAGCTAATGTACGTATCCTGATGCTCAAATTGTAGGAGCTTCATTGTCAACGGCATTACTTCAATTACTGAAAGAGTAGCCGAGCTATAATTAAATGATTATTTAGATATTTCTTTAACAAATTTATTGCAATGCCTTAACAGCAAATAAATGCAAATGATAAGTTGAAGAAACACTTTATTCACTCGATTTTCTGAGCGCGAGAATGCCTTCGCTGAAATTTATTTGGTCGGCAATCCACTTTTCAGGAGAATTCTTCAAGCATGTTGGTGTTTTCCATACTTTGCTATCACGTTTTCCATAAATAATTTGTTTATTTCACATATGTGTGTCTCTAAAAGAAATAAATGCCCAATAAAAATTAAAACACATAACTTTTGCTGTTCGCAAACAGTACGCATAATTTCCAATAGCGACGGCGACAAGACATTGACCAATCACGTTGGGTGTTTCCTGCTGGCGTTGATTTGTACTGTGGGCAAAATGGCGTGAATAGAATTAGCATACTATTCTCTTTATAAGATTGCGTGAATAGGGTGCCGTAAATAGAGTGGGGTGGAATGATAGTACGCCATTTGGTAGCACAACCTTTATAAGATTGGGCCCCGGGGCCCGCGTCAATCTGTCCGCTTATGCTGAAGAAGTGTTCATTACAATTAACAATTTCTGCTTTTGCAATGAAACCAGACCAATGAACACCGGGCTTCACAAAAGTGTCATTTTTACTCGGATTCTTTCAGATGATCATGCCTATTTTGAAGAAGTGGGCAACTATTTCGATTGCCTAGGTTCCTTTCTTATAAATAAAAATATTATGACTGCACAGAAAACCATATGTATGTGAAAATCACATTCATCGGACCGCCACCGCTAGCAATTGTACCTAGAGACGAACACAGTAGTGATTGTCACACATGCGCAGATATAGGCAACAAACAAAGAAAAACAAACCACTAAATTAAAAATATCGTGTGTCATACCCGATAAATTTACAATCCACCCACTTGTGTCAATATCCAAACACATACCATCTTCAATGGATCAATTTTATCACCAAAAGCAACATATAAGACTATGACAAATTTTAAATACACGATGATAATTCAAAAGGGTGACTGAACATGCGATTTTAATTTCATAGTGCATTGCGCTGTGGTCACCTACCATACTTGATGTCAACGTCCTCATACGACCTTCGCATGGGTCGTTTCCTTCCAGTCAGCGCCGACAGCCACGGCGCTCCCATCACATGGACGCACGGGCGCTGCTCTCACACTTCTGTCCTCACTTTCTACCGCGACTTCTCCGCATCGATACACGTAAATACGCAAAAAAAAAAAAACACAGACGATCCTCCCCGCTCTCCCGGCAATGCGGCCGTGACGTCACCGTACTGACGGCTGCAGCGCGACCCGCGAGCGGCCGGTCCACCGCCAGGCACCCCACTGTTCCGGCCCGGCGCGGCGGTGCACGCCGTTGAACCTCAGCCGGAACAAAAACCGGCTGAGCGGACAGGCCGTAGCGGTCGACGGGCCACCGGTACTCGGGTGGTGCGAGACCCTGCTCGCGGCCCGAGCGGGATGTGGAAGATAAAACCAAATTACTGGTGGGAGATAGGTTAGATCCCGGAGTAATGTAGGTAATGGGTTGAGCTATCGTTCTAAGGGGTTGACATTGCAAGCACAGTAAACCATAGAGCTGCGATCATGACCGAAACTCCGAAAGTCGGGCCGTAACGCATCGCGTGCATGTCTAACCGCAGGAACTACTTATATTACTGTCCGATGATTACCGTCGGCGATTGATATTATTGGCCCGTTACGTTTCGGGCACGGAATAGTTAATTACTGTTTAATTATGTCTACCTGACGGCCCACAGGCGTAGCGTAACTAAACGCAGGCGGCGCATCGCCTGACCGCTCCCGCTCTCGATAAGCTTTATCGGCGACCAAACGATGCAATTACTTCATCAGGTGCACAGCAAGAAATGTGAAAGTGAAACTCGCAAGCAACTACATAGATGAGAAAACACTCAGTCATATGATTCCACTTTGGACATCCGATTACGGTACAGTCCTCATAACATGACATTATTCTTCGAGTAAAAACGGACCAACACCACGCTCCAGAGACGAAGTCGGGCAAAAATCACGGATCACGAACTACCGCACGATCGGTGGTCCCGCAGACGTGGTAAAAACTCGGGCAAAATAACCACTTGCCAGCTACATGCGGGCTGTTGAGGTGAACGCCGCTATGTGCTCCGTTCAGCAGAGGTGCCAGCCCGTGACAATACTGTAGTACGACTACCGTTACAACGGTGCCGCGATAAGTGTTTCTGTTTTATAGCGCAAACGTTTCGCCCCTGCATTTATGGATTGTATGCCCATCACATCAGTGATCTGAAGATTGACTTCTGACCTAGCAGATAAGTAAGGTACATATTTAGACTTAGGACGACAGGCGAATTGTGGATGATCAATTAACGGTTCTCTAGCTTAGGCAAGACAACCGCTCAAGTAGTCCAACGCGCTCATCGAATAGCGAGTTACTTAAACATGGCCCTCATCAAATAACACTAGCTCCGCTTTGAAACGTGAAAACATAATTTCGCTTTGGTCGGACCAGCCCACGCCGTGTGGCAGTTGCGATACGGTGTGGGCGCTTTCTGTTGTTATTCCAATACCACATTTGTCACCCATGGGGGACGCATCACGCATGGCTTACGAGCGACGAAAACACGACCGGTGGATGAAGGCGATTCTGATGTCTATTCTCCTGTCACGCAAGAAGTTTATTACTGTTTCGCCGAATCATTCCACTCCAGCTGCTAATAGCTTCATGGGTATTGGGCCTTGGCCATCTTTAGACTTATGCTTTTCGCGCTTAAAAAGCTCGTTAGAGACAGGAGCATGTCTTTAGCTACGATAAACCCTATATTGATAAGGTCAACAAACGTAATATTTTTTTTCAACCAACAGACATCGTGAATGACTTTGAGCTATCCTATGCAATGTCAGCTTCGATTACGAAGTCAGTCTGATATTATGGTAACTATGACTCCGAGTAGAACTGCTGACTCCGGCCGACTATGACTCCGCAGCCCCGTCTCTGACACCACTGGCGTGGGAGAGGGAATGGATTGGATGCCACTTCATCGAACTACTGCTTATGGCAACGCCCGCCAGAGGCGCTGAGGCCAACCAGCACACAAAATTGAAATCCGCCCGGACATACAGCACAATGCCACAGAAAAGGGAACTGCAAGCGACTCATATATTATAAACGATATATGGGATTCAAGCAGACTGATAATCAAAAACACTTGGAGAGTTTCTGATTGCAAGAATGCATCGCATTGGGACAGCCTACAGTTTAACGATGATTAACTCGTGAACAATGCGTATAGAGAACATTGGGACCCATCCCGAACCTAAAAAGCCTACTGCCTATGTTGGCAACCAGTGCACACACACGCGCATACAAGTAGCATGACGTCACCAACTGGTCTAAATTTACTTCGTACGGTCTCGAGAGGATGCTAAGCCCACTACACATACACCAAAGCACGTATCAAAACCACGTCCACCCACGGATAACAAAATAACGTCACTTATCACATGATGGAAGGGATAACTTTCGACCAAGCGCACATGGGACTTTTGATTGCCAACGATAAACGACTATTGGTCCCGAAGATATTTCTAAGCCAGGTGTTCCAGGTATGCACCAAGTGGCGCCCACAGTAACAAGGACCTTGGGTTATCTTACAAAAGAAAAAAAAAACAGAGAGAACCGAGTACACTTGGACATTCTACTACCCCTGCCTCCCCACTGCGACTTGTATCACAGAAATGCACGCCAGCCACGATGCTATTTTGAGGGTCGTGCTACCAACGATATTTCACTACAGCATTAGGATAATAGCGCGACGGGACAATGTTCGCTGCCACTGCCGTAGCCAGCCACGGGTCTCAGTGCGGGATGCACGTCAGTCGTCAGCCTTGAAAAAAGCAGTTGCCATGCCAACGAAGCCTTCACTGGACCGACTGTGATCGGTGGCGGCAGCATTCACATCACCTCATGAAACGTCCTCCATTCGGCGCCGGGCCAGCAGGAGCTCTGTAACGCATAAATTATGCACATTAATGTATTAGATGATCGACTGGATACTGGTTTCTTCTTCGAATATGAAAACTAAAAAAATTGACCCAATAATCATGATTTAAGCTTCTTATATTTCGCCAAATGAGTGAGTCATCACACATTATTTACATATTTCGCCAAAAAGTGAGTCATTACACAATTAATACTGACCCCTGTGACAGACACATACTGAATCAGCTACAGGCGCATACTGACTTCTGACAGAGGCATACTGACTTCTGTGACAGACAAATACTGACCTCTGTGGCAGACGGCGGCCGCCTCCGGGCTGAACAGCAGCTGCAGCCGCTGCCGCTGCTGCTGCTGCTGCTGCTGGCAGCTGCTCAGCTGTACCGTCAGGCTGAGCTGGGGAGCCCAGCTGTCTGGGTCGGACGAGTCGCGAACAGTGGCCACCTCCCACTGCACCTCACTGAAGCCCGGCTCTGTGAGAGGAGGC